AGAGTATTAGAATTCTTTTTTAAGAAATAGGCTATAGTTACGCTAGTATATTCTAGAAATAGAAGCTTTTTAGCAACTAGTTAGTAGAGTTTCTTCTCTAAATTAGCGACTAGGGTTTTCTTTCTATTAGTAATAAGCTAATTAACCTTATAGATACTAAGGTACCTAATTATAGTATCTTTTTAATACGCGTTAATTATAAAGGTAGCTACGCTAATTATATTAACGTTAAGTCTAGTCTTTAAGTATATTTTCTATAAAATAGGTAGCTTTTTTAGCTTATAGAGTAACCTAGTAGGTAAGTTAAGATTCTTAAGCTACCTATCTATCTTATATAGGTTTTCTTAAAGCTTCTAGTATTACAACTCTCTCTTCTCTTATTATATTACTCTTAGCTTTTCTACTACTAATATTAGAGCGTTATAGTAATTAGTATTAGCTTAGTAAGCTACTTAAGCTTTAGTAGTAGATTAAGAGAATTATATAAAGATAAACGCGTTACGTTTATAATTAATTAATTAATTAGTATCTAGCTATATTAGTGCGCGCTACTTATAGTTAACCTAAATATTAACTTCTTTAAGTAGCTTATAACTAATTATTATATTATAGTAGCTAGTATTATAATATATAAAGTAGGTGCGTATTTAGTAGCTCTCTAGTACTAAATTAGCTTTAAAGTATTTATCTACCTAGCTATTAGGTTATCTATTATATCTAGTAAGAGGGATAGGTTCTATACGCGCTAGCTTAACGTAGAGGTTTTTTCTAAGAGTCTAAAGGTGCTTTAGGTGTACTAGAATATAGCTACCTACTCTAGTATTAATTAAACCTTTAAGCTTAATTATAAGGCTATTTATAGATATTTAGTAGAGTAGAGTAAACGTAGAACTACTAAATAGCTTTTCGCATAGATTTATTACTCTAGTAGGTAGCTCTAGAGAAAAGACTTCTTCTAGAGCTAAGCTTTTTCTAAATTATTAGATTTATATTCTAACGTATTATTCTTAGGTACTTATAGCTCTATAGGCTCTATAGGCTTTTTCTCTAGATTAATATTCTTAATAGCTTTCTACGCAGTAGGCGCTCTAGAGTAATTATAGCTTAGGTAGCTAGGTTAGTAGTATTAAAAATAGATAACTAGCTTCTAGATTACTAGAGCTTTATTAAGTACTAGAAAACCTAGAAGAGCTAGAGGCGCGCGTTATAGTATTAACGTAATTACGTTACGCTTTTTAGTCTTTCTAGTAGCAACGCGTACTTCTCTAGAGGTAAGCTTTTAAGTAAGATCTTAAGTAAGGTCTATATAGTAATTATAGTTATTAACGTATTAACGTTAGTATATACCTAACTACGTATATATATTCTCTAGTAGCTTCTTATAAAACTTCTCTATCTATTAATCTACTAGAAGCTAACGCTTCTATACAAGGTAGAAGAAATTATTCTAGAAGTAGATAAAGTTAGTAGCGCTTTAGTAATAAAGCTTTTAGAAATTATAATAAGTATTTAGCCTTTTATATAAGTCTCTATAGCTTCTCTCTAGCTAATTAAGAATATAATTATAGAAAACTACTACGCTACTATTCTTAATAATACATAGTATTACTAATAGAGTCTAGTACACATCTCCTTTAGTTTACGTACAAATATAGGTAATAATAGTTTTCTTAGTATTCTTTAGCGTATCTCTAGTATACTAATTCTAGTTTACTTAAAGTTTATTATATAAGCTATCTCTCTACTACTTAAAGGTAATACTCTTACTATCTAATAATAAGAGTAGATCTAGAAACTTAGTAAAGCGCGTTAGTTAGCTCTATAGTACTTACAACGCTAGAGGTATAGCTAGCTAGTATATAGAGAGGTAAGAACCTAAGATTAAATTCTCTAGTAGTAATACGCTTAAATTGCGTATAATTAGTATTATAGAGAAACACGTTGCGCGTTAAACTAGCGTAGTAGATAGTATCTAGTCTTTAGAGTAGGTTAATCGCGCTTATAGTTACTAGATTTTAGCGTTTTTTTTAGCTAGAGTAGTAGTCTATATCTAATATCTTACGTATATATTATCTCTCTTAGTAAAAGCGTTAGTAGTAATCTAGTAATATATATAGATTTATTATTTATATACCTATTATATATATAATTAGCTAACTATTTTATTAATAATTTTAGCTAGCGTTTCTAGAAAGAGCTCTTAAAGCTCTTTAGTAGAGGTAGAGAGTATATATAAACCTAAGACTAATAATAGCTCTAGTATTACTAAGCTCTAGTAGAGTCTTATAAGCTTCTAGTTAAAGTTATTATTCTAATTCTTATTAGTTATTACATTATATTACTAAATAAAATTTTTATAATAGAAATATTAATTAGTATATTCTACTAGTAGGTTTACTACTCTAAATTTAAGAACTATTAGAGTAAAGAGGTATTATAGAGCTAAGGTTCTACCTCTAGATTAGCTTTATAAGAGTTCTTCTATAGTATTTAAATTTATTTAGCTTTTTAATTAAGAAAGAAGTAAAAAGAGGGGAGGTATCTAGCTGCTAGCAGAGTAGTAGGTTATTAGTTCTACTAGTAGAGTAGAGAGATTATTAGCTCTGCTAGCAGAGTAGAGAATTATTAATTTTTTATAATTTTATAAAGAGAGAGAGGTTTTTATACGTAGAAGTTTTATAGAAGTTCTTCTATACATAGAGCTCTTAATAGCTCTCTTTAGCTTAGTACTAGTATCTTTCTACTACTAACTAGATTCGCTAGTAGTCTTATATAGCGCTAAGAGGTAAGCGATTAATTAGTAACGTTAATAGATTCTTAGAGTAAGCGACTAGGCTCTTGTAGCTCTAATTCTTAATATAGCTATTAGTAAACGCTTCTTAATAAGGCTACTTAGTTTAGCTAGATATTATGCTGCCGTCTCTAGCTAAAGAGGTATTAACCTTTAGATAATGTAAGGGCTAAGTCTGCAGTCTCTACTACTGTAAGCGCCTCTAGAATACCTAGCTAGGTAAGTTAGCTACAGGCAGCACTGTCTCCACGAGCTGTAAGGATAAGGGGTGCTAGCAGGGTAGGTTAGGTTAAATTCAGCTATCTAAAGGTAAGAAGTAGAGAAAAGGCTTCGAGAGGCTCTATATACAGAGGTGCTGAGCGCCAAGGCGCTAGGCTAGGTTACGTGATAAGATTACGTGACCTGAGGTTATGTGACCTAAGGTAAATCTCTAAACTAGACCGTTACATCTTTTCGCGTCGTAGAGCGACTCTGTCGCGTCGACTACGGACTTTCTCCTACCCTACGTTATAGAGAGCTGCAGCGCGCCGCAAGCTTAGCTCTAGGTTCTGTTGAATAGCCTAGAGCGCAAGCTGTATCCGGGATTCGTCTGAAGTTAATTAGGCGTTTGTGGAGGGCGTCATGATAGATGGTGGCATTTGGTAGGGGCTTGGTATTTTTAGGGGGTTCGGTGGTGAAGTACGTTAAGCTTTGTTAAATTAGGTGTCTTTTCGCGTCGTGAAGCGGCTCCGTTGCGTTGACCGCGGAGTCTCTCTTACTCTACGTTATAGAGAGCTGCAGCGCGCCGCAAGCTTAGCTCTGGGTCCTGTTAAATAGCCTAGAGCGCAAGCTGTATCTAGGATTCGTCTAAAGTCGACTAGGCGTTTGTGGAGGGCTTTATGATAGAGATAGTGGTATTTGGTGAGGGCTTAGCATTTTTGGGGTGTTCGCTTGTGTTGGCTGTTCGCTTGTGAAGTACGTTATACTTAGTATTTTGTCTACCTGCCTTATTAGCTGCCTGCACACCGTGCAGAGCTTCTGTAGCAGCTGCGACGCCCGCTAACGCAATACTATTTACCTGAAATTGCGTCACGATCGCTGATTTGTATGCGACGCCCATACAAAATCTCGCTGTCTCTGCGCAGGGCGTGGTTGTGAGTGGGCAGCTCTAAGTTCTCAACGTGGGCGGCAATTGACGACTTTTCGATAACTCCGATGACTCCATGAGTAGGCCGAATGTTTCGCCGATGCTAAATATCGTTGCCCTATATTAAATCTGTACCGAACTACAGTGCCGAGGCTGTATTTAGAGACTATCAATCCCGAGTCAAGCTCGCGACCGGGAAAGAGGCTTAGGTACAATCTAGCTATGATATATGCCACCGGGTGTTTAGAGCCTTGTCGCTAGGTTAAATCATTAATATTCAAATATCAGCATTCCTTCAGTTACGCGATAATACCGACCAGCGAATTCTCATCAATCTACCGTTTTTAGCTAGCATAGACGCACAGCCAGGCACACGACAGTCCGCGTCCCACACCCGTCTCCTCCATCCAGATAAACTCACTCTGGGCGCTTGCGTGCCGATTTCGCCAGGCTGCTACGGTATTTATTCGGCGCACAGGCTTCCTTGCTTAGTCGTTCTTAGAGGCCAGTATAAAAGCACTACAGCAAACCGTAGAAAGGCCGTTCAAGCTCACCAAAGTGAATTGCAACAAGCGGCGATACCCTCAATCCTTGGTGAAGGGTGACACTGGCCCGCGTCAGCATGAAGGCATTCAACGCTATCCTTGGCCTATTATCTCTGGCTGGCTCAGCTCTTGGAGCTCTGCAGCAGGTCACCGTAAGCCAACGTCGCGTGGTACGAATACTGGACAGTTGCTTATCGTACCGCCACCTAGGGCTTTGGCACTAACCCCACAAGCCTCCAAATGTATATTTCTGTCCCAGCCAAGCTCGCGACAAATCCAGCCATCGTTGTCGCGGCAAGTCTTTTCTCCGCTAGCAGCTGCCATACTGGTCGCTAACGCGATCCCAGCTACACCCGTGCGGCGGCACTGCGCAACAGTGGTATAGCGGCACCAAGCTGCCATCGTACTCGGACAGCCAAGGCTTCATCCTGATCTACCCGCAGACGACAAAATATAGCAATTGCTGGGACGTCAACAACGGCGGTTCGCTGACCCACGGCGGGAACGGGGACGCTCTGGGTATCATCAGCATGCTCAACTACACCCTCTCCAAGTACAACGGCGACAAGAGCAAAGTCTACGTCATGGGCGGCTCGTCTGGCGCCATGATGTCCAACGTTATGGTGGGCTCGTATCCGGACGTCTTTGAGGCGGGCGCCGCGTACTCGGGCACGGCCTTTGCGTGCTTCGCCGGCTCAAAAGGCGACCCCACGCCCTTTGGCTCCAACCAGACTTGCGCACAAGGCCTCACGCACACTCCGGAGCAGTGGGCTCAATTTGTCTACAACGCTTATCCTGGCTATACAGGCAAGCGGCCGCGCTTCTTGGTCGCTCATGGCCTCGCCGACACCCTGGTCCGCCCCCAATGCGCCTACGAGCAGCTCAAGCAATGGTCCGCTGTGCTGGGCGTATCCAACACAAAGAACCTCACTGGCAGCCAAGTAGAAGAGGGCTCGCAGTACACGCAGCTGGTCTACGGTGACAGCAACAAGCTGGTTGGCTACCTTGGCCAGGGTGTTGGCCACATCGCGCCCGTGGTCGAAACTGTGCTACTGAAGTTTTTTGGGCTCACGTCTTGAGGTCGCCCGCGGTTTTCCTCAGCCCTATCCAGCATCTTAGTGCTCCCAAGGTCAGCAAGGCTCATGACGTAGTGAGGAGTTGATCCGGCTGTATCTGGGTTGAAAGGGTTTCAAGGCAGGTGGGGGACATGCGAAGTTTGCTTGTTTGTTCGTGTATATACTTGAGGGCTGCCCTACATAGTACGTATAATAGGCCTCTGTCGTTGAGATACATTGCAATGTAGCAACTATGCGCGGCTCGTCATAAGGTGAGGAGTGGAGTCTTGAAGATTCCAAGCTTGAGGCCTGGCATAGACATGGTTTGGCGTAGAATCTGTGCTCTGCCGAGTACTCGTTAACCCTTGACAAGCACGTGTTCTATTCTCCAGATTACCTTTCTCTGCTTGAATCTACATATGACATTCGTCTGCATGCAGAAAGTAGCGTTGTGAGTCAACCACGGCTGGTCATGAGCCATCTCGAATGCAAACCTTCGCAGAATCTCCGACGTGGCCTTGTATATTTCGGCCATCGCCAGTAGCGCGGTGTGAGTGCACGAATATGCAGCGGCCGGCCGGGAATCTTACATGCTTGCCTGTACAGGTCCTCGATCCAGCGCAAAATGTGATGGTTGCCTTCTCCATCACCTGAACGCGCTCCTCATCTTCAAGCCATCGCTCGGGTCTGAAACCATAGGAGTCGTCGCCGAAGACCGTCTTGTTGAAATGGACTACGGCCTGGGTTCATTCTGTTTTAGTAACCGGCCGGGATGTACTTCCCACAGAGCCCAATGCCATGTATAGGAGTGTAGCATGGCATCGTGGCCTGAGACGAAGGGAAGAGGCGCGTAGCTTCCTTGACAACCGCAGTGAGACATGGAAGTGCGATGGCTTGGTTGTATTTAACGGGGTACGAGAGCGTTCCATTCTCAAAGACTGCATCAACTTCATTCGCGCTTTCGCTAGCTTCTCGGGGCTCTTCATAAGATAGTAGAAGACGGCGCGGAGGCCGAATCGAGGTGCTGACAGCACCGGGCATGCTACGACAGGTCGGCAAATCAGCCCACTCGCATATACAGCGCACGTACACTCTAGTCCACATCTCTGAAATAACTTCCTTGTGTATGAAGTTGACCGTCTTTCCCTTCGCTCGAACAATGGCCAGCAGTTGCGTAAGGACGTCAGGTCGCTTTGAAGTCTCTTCTATAGACGTGTCCACTGCCATGGCGGTTTCTCGAATTGCCTTCTGCCTTATACCATCTGCTGCCATAATACCCTTTAATAGCTTCGGAAGGGCGGCGGCGGCGGCTATCAGTGCGGGACGGGCGTACGATGAAGCCACAGCCACCATAGAGAGGGGGGGCATGGCGCGGTGGGCCCCTTGGATCTAGTTGCCGCGATCGTGACAATGTTCTAGGAAGCTAAAGTGCTTGCCGAAGAATGCGACATCGATGATATCGTAAGCGTACCTAAATCTCGCGGGTTAGCTCCGTGTGCAGAAGGCCCACGCCAGCTGCTCACATTTCCAACCAGAGCCCAAAGTCAAAAGCCTCATTTCCATCCGCAAATGCTCCCAACCTATCAATGAAGAGTCCAGCACTCTATCCAGAAGCTCCTCATTTCCATGACACTGTTCAAGACATGCTTCCCACGATTCTTCGATAGGCAGCATGCTCTCTCTCTCACTGGTACTGGTGAAGAGGTCTGGTCGAGCACCAATTCCAACGGGGTGCCATACGTGGTACCAGTTCGTCTTCTCAAGCGGCCTTTAGATTGGATAGATTTGCGATATAGCCTCTGGATTGCCTATTAAGACTTCATCAGGCGCGGTCCGAAGCAACGGGATATACTTTTCGTAAAGTGCACGCTGCATAATCTCAAGGTCACGGATGTACATGCGATACATGAGCCATGTTCGCGAGACAGACGGCCAGAGTGGTCCTGGTATCCTCGCAAGCGAGTGCCAACTGCGTGCATAAGTAATCCAAAGCGCCCAATATGCTATGAAAGATAGCGGCCACACAACGGTAAGCAAGCCGTCCATATCAGGGTTAGGGAATAGATCGAAGAGGGAGGCTATTGTGAGCTGAAACAGAGAGTGCAACAAGGCGGAGTGAGGTGGGACTCTTAATGCTAGTGGCAGACGATAAGTCTTGAGATGATGCACCCTAGAATATACATGGCCTACGTGTATGTAGGCAGACAGCGCGTGTTGAATAATAACAACTGACAGTAGTGGCTAGCTGTACTTGCATGATGAAGAGGCGTAAGAAATTCTCGCTGGTGGGTCTTTTTTTCCCTAGGGACTTCTGGCGCTTTTGCTTGGTACTGTAATATGATGAACGCCCGAGGCATGGATGCGCATGCGATTGGCGTTCCTGAACCTAGGCCGCTTGGTGTTGCTACCTCTTTGAGTTGTGATCGGCGTCTTTATGCAGGGCGTAAAGCGGACGGGAGGGTACAGAAGCTCTTGCTGTGGCAATCTGACGCATGGGTATCACCGGCCAGTATAGATAGCTAGGCGATCTGGGAGCTCGTAATTCCCGCGGGAGTCCCTCTCTGGAGGATGAGCGCGATGCCGTGCTCAAGAATTCTGGTCCTCAATAAACAGTCTTAGCGCGTGCCAGTGTCCATATTGTCACTGGTGAAAGGCGCAGACTCTTGAGACACAAACTGTGATAGAATGAGAAACCCATCTCGTACAGAGTACGGCGAGGAGACGGAAAAGAAACGAAGATACTTGTGGCTGAACGGCTCCAGGTACTCGGGCAGGGCGCGTAAGTGGCCAATGAGGTCTAGAAAGGATATTTGAGTGACAACAGCGCGTGTGCTAGCGTGTTTCTGAGGTATGTCAATGTGGCGTAGCTGCGCCGAATATCGTCCCGTGTATGGTGTCGCTCCGGAATACTCCCAACTTCATGGAGTAAGGTCGGGTCCACCGAGCTGAACAAGATCACTTGAATGTGGCGAGGAGGCTTCCTCCTGCCTCACATATATAGTAAGCTGGTGGGCCTTCGTGTTCTAAGCGCCGGGAGCGGTAACGCAGGGCAGGCCAATGCTCCCCGCATCATGTGCCAATAGGGCCTCCCCGTGAGAAGTACCTAGAGTACTGGGACGCTGCTGGCACTCTTATCCGGCCTTCTCTTCAAGAATCCCCGGCAACGAAAAGCCACAAAGACCGTATGTGTACCCGGGCACCGACATGCGCGCTTAGGATGACTTGTGCAGTTCAGAACAGGTATTCTGGACACGAAGCGGGGAGTTGTTTACCAACTGACAGCAAAAATTCCCATTCGTAGGCAGTGCATCCTTCACATTGGGCCTGGCATAGTCACTAACGGGTGGTGTGCAGTGGAGCATCAGCGAGAGCAAGCGGCCAAATTACGACGAGCTGCTTCGCCAAGCAACTTGCAAGCCTCCTTTGGGGCACAGCAAGACGCAGGACCATTAGGACCCGCCCGTACTGTCGATGGTGACCGATCGCAAGGGACGGCTTCCCGACACGATAGTCGATCGTGACTGCGATCGTGACAGTCACTCGGCAAGCACTCGTGCCGCAAAGGCAATAGGAGTGTCTGGAGAGAAAATTACCTTGGGTATCCTTTACCCCAAAAACCTGTCGAAGACGCAGCGGTTTACGTTCTAAGCAAGTTTCTTCGTTGGGCTCGTTGCTCTTTCGGACGCTTGTTTTAATCTTTTCTACATCGCTGCCGTGACTCGATATTTGGGCATAGCGAGGCCGAGCGTGGCATCTCCTCTCATTTTGCGTGCGATTCTGTATTGGGTATGCGGTATGCGAACATTTTGGGGGTAGGGCTGGCCCTCTTGAGCCTGGTAGTAAAAGCAGTATTGGCGCAGGCTGCGTTGCCGGATTGCGCAGTGGGTAACACTCCTATAAAAATTGAAAGCATGGGCGCTGATGGTGGGCAGGTAACATGCTTCCAAACCGCCTTCACGAGCCAGTCAACTTGTCATCCTGACGATGTCCAGTGTGTATGCACCGATGAGCCACTCAATGCAGCTATGGAGGCGTGCGTGCTCTCAGCATGCACGGTCAAGGAGGGCCTGAGTACGTATTCTTTTCCTCCGTGCATGTCTGTAGGGTGACGCTGACACGTACAGATGCCGTGAACGCCACCCTTACCAGGTGCGGAGCCCCGGTGCGTGAACGAAGCAGGGCACTCTTCATTGCCTCGACTGTCTCCGGCTCAGTGCCGATAGCAGCCGTCATTGTATGAATTTCGCTCGCGCTCTTGCAAGGCAGCTTGGTTTAGACGATATATTCTGTATCGCTGCCGAGACTGCTTGCCTACCTGTCACCATCAAGCAAAGCGTGACCCCAGGCCTCGGCTTTGGGAAGGATACTTGGACAGTTCCAGCCGACAACATCTACATGATCCAAAAGGTAAGCGCCTCGGGCGGGCTGATCGAAAGGAAGCCGCAGTACTCACATGAACGCAGTTGGTCTATGCTTCCGAAGTCTCGTACTTCTCCTGCTCCGGTTTCACCAAACTCTGTTTCCTCTTCTTCTTTCTTCGTGTATTTCCTGGAGAGCATATCCAGAAGGCCATATACGCCGTCATTGCTATCTCTGTGGCCTATACCGTCGGCTTCGGGACTACCATGATCTTCGCCTGCAGGCCCATTTCTGCTGTGTGGACATGGTGGGACAGGGAGGAGTGGCCATCCTACTGCATCAACCTGCACCTCTTCTTTTGGCTGCGGCCAGGTTCAACATCGCCATCGACCTCGCGATTGTTGCGATTCCGATCCCCAATTTGCTGAGGCTGAAGCTCGGTCTGCGCAGGAAGCTTTTCCTCGTAGCGATATTCAGCGTTGGCGCCATGTGAGTTTAATCTCGTCGTCCGGCCAAGCCACGCAGCTGATTCGCCCGCGAACCAACAGCACCATCGTCGTCTCGTGCATTCGTCTTGGTGCACTCGCTACGTATGCGACTTCGACCAATCCTCTCTACGACAACTTGATGGCCGGTGTCTATTCCGTCCTAGAGCTCAATATCGGACTCATGTGTGTCTATATGCCTGCGCTCCGGCGCTTCCTTGCTCAGTTGACCCCCAGATGCTTCGCCACCACGCGAGATGATTGGTAGGATGGAACTCCAAACCCGTGCATTTCGTCAGGCAAGCGGAGCGGGAAGAGAAAGAGCTCATTGGGAGGAAGCCTGTTCTGCACGACGATTATAATGACTGTCGATACCCAGGCGGAGTTTGTGGTGAAGCAAGACGATGCGGTTGAATTAGTGGAATTGCAAAAGTTTGGGAAGAGTGTCGCTGGGAGTATGGAGGGCAGCAATAGCCGCAGCGTCGATACCGAGAACAGTGTCGACGCGGAGTCAGGGTGCCAGCAGGTGTGACCGGAGGCTGTCAGAACCTGAAGGAACCGTGGACTGAACTAGGTCGGACATCGTGCGATCATAGAACGGGAGCCTCGCCCAATAAGCGTAGCACATGCAAAAAGTGGAACAGGTTGACTTATAGTCGTTATACCTTGTTATCTCCAACTTGCGCGGACCGAAGGTCGTCGCCGTACGATCGAAGTGTGCAGGTGCGAGTTGTAGGTAGCTGGATCGTCACGCAGATATCCCTCTCCGTCCCACAGCAAACGAAACCAAAGATACAAGAACTGCACGTCAAAGCTCATCTGGCGGGAAGCCCGGTCAAATCGGCAAACGAGGCTGATCATCGGAACGTTTAGTTCAGAAGGCACGCCCGTTTAACTTCATCTCCTGTGTCGCCAGCTCGTTAGCCTAGCAGACTCGATCTCCTAAATACCTTGACGACTGGTGCCTCCCGCTTCCTCTCCATCTCCATCAAGCTATCCCAGAGCGTCGCATCGGCGCCACTTGGCTTCAGAACTTCATCATCAACACCTCCTACCCCGTTCACGACACCTCCACCATTCACCGTACCTTGAGTCTCCGGCGCCGGGGGCGCAGCCGGGTACACTTCCCTGACCGCTTCACGGCACCGATCGAGGACATTAGAAACAGTATTCGACACTGCAGCCGCGCGCTCCCTCATTCCTCGCCTGATGAGGCCGTCCACAAGGCGTTGGATCTCGTCTTGCATGCCATTGATTCGTTCGATGAGGCGCTCGATGGAATTCACCAAATATTCCTCTTCGTACACGGTACCTTTCTTGCCCCTCGCTCGCTTCCGTTCCTCTCTTCGCTTGTTCTTCGACGTTTTGCGCGTGGTCTGCGTGTTCACGGTGCCGGTGCGATTGGTGTAGCGAGTCATGAGAGTATTTCCGGAAGTGGTATCCGTGGGTGCAAGGGAGATGTTATCCGGTATGTTTGCATCCTCCATCCCCTCGAAGAAGGCCATGGGGTCTTCCGCTTTCTTGGCTCTTAGTTCTCGTAGGCGGGGGACCTGAGCAAGCAGTTGTTCCTTCATGTCCGCGAGGAACTCCGTCATATCCGCACTTCGCTCTATGAGTCCGGCATCAACTATCTCTTCGATGAGCTGCGGCTGTCGGCGGAGCGTGACGACCTGCATAGCCTCTGAGAAATAGCAACCTCTACAAAGTAGCCTCGCTGCGTTTGGTAGGTCAGAGAGGTAATCGAGTGTAACACTAGAGGCAGAGAGGTAGTCCTTAGACTCTGCCAGGCCTTCCGCAAGCGAGTTTGCCAAAGACTCAAGGTCGCCCCCGGGAACGCCGGCGAGCGTGGCGGCAGTGAGTGCTTCGCGCCATAGGTTCGCTGAACGGTAGCTGGGCCATGCAGAAGCGTGGTCATTGAGGAACTCGTATGCTAGAGCAGCTTCCTGGTGTCGGTTACTGGTGCTGAGGTAATCCGCGTAGAGCCTCATGACCTCCTGGAGATGGACCGAGTCATACTGGTACATTCTGAGAGCCTCCACATGGAGAGAATGCCTCTGCACGTAGTCTAGTACTTCGTCGAAGGCCTCGAGCTCCTTGAGGTGGAGGAGCCCCTTGGTTCGGCGGCCCAGTTGATCGTCGATTTGGAATTTGCGGCGCAGAGGCGGGAGATCATAGAGGGATTGAAGGTGTGGAAGGTATTCACGCGGATCCTAGGTTGGAGGTTAGAGTAAATTTCAGTGCGAGGAAATAGATGTGTACCTTTTGGGACTGCTGTGCAATGAGGAGGGCAAGTTCTAGGTTGTAGATGCCGAGCGATGTATCGTAGAGCTGGTTGACGTCTGCGAGAAAGCAAATATGCTCGGCAGCCTTCTCGCTGAGGGTATCTTGGGCAGCTAATGGGGATTAGTCCATCTCCATAGGGCAACCCGAGGGCCGACTCACCTTGCAGCCGCCCTATCACCCGCAAGCCGGCCTCCAAATCTGCAGGTACCTTGCAGACGTGTGCGGTGATAATGTTCTGTATGTAATCCTCTTTGTACTGTGGTTGCTGAAGGACAGCCAAGAAGGCGTCACAAATTCGGTTCACCTTGCACCCACTCTGAGCTTGGGAGAGTCTGGCCCTTGCGCTCGGATCCTTGGATTTGAGTGTTTCATTATACATCGTCTCAGACACATCCTCGTTCCTACACTGATCAGCCAAAGGCCCCGGTCATGTAAAGTTGAGGCTTACCGAAGCTGCGAAAGAAGTAGATCGATATGCTCGATTCTCTTGATCTGAGCCACAATCTTGTTTATATTGGCTATAAACTTGTTAGGATCGTGATCGTGGAGGATGTTCATGTCCACACGCTGGTTACGGCATGTGAGAAATGCTTCGCCGTAGCATTCAGCCTCGATGCTCCGCCGAATAGCCGCCAAGACGAGCGCCCGAGGATAGATGGATTCCAAGTTCCCTCTTGGCATCTGCAGGACGACCGAGTAGGTGCTTGGCATAACGGTGACAAGCTTGGCTCCTCTTTCGATACTTCTGCATCGTTCGTCCTTTTGTGGTTCATCACCAGGTACATCGAGCTCTGATGCAGTTAGTAAAGCGGGTAGAGGTAGAGTGCACTTTCTCTTACCATTCAGTCTGGTTAGGTGCACGAATTTAAGAAGATGCTGAGTGGTTGTGAGGATGAGATGGGCGGGGGTCACTACAAACGACGTGCAGTTTCGTAGAAGGACTCGCTCGTTGGCGTAAAGTATGCCGCTTCGGGTGAGGCCGAAAGCCACAGGCTGCTCTAGTCAGAATTCCTCTCTTCATCAAATGAGGCATCGTACCTGTCCCTCCAGAGTGCTGACTTTCAGGTCCGGTGCAGGGGAGGATAGACGGACAACCAATGACATTTGCAGTGGCAAGTCATGGGGCTGCTCGTCAAGGATGACCTCGCGCACAGTGCCGTCTCGGAAGGGTACAAAGAGCTTCCGGACATCTACGCTTGGTATGATCGAGGAGACGGTGTCGGCCTCTAAAATCGGTCCCTTGAGAAGGAGCTCTTGACCATTGCTGGCCCAGAGAAAGCTCTCCTCCTCATCCCAGCTGTCGGTCAAGACGTAGATCTGTTCATCGCCAATGAAAGAGACGTGTCGCGGACAATGAGCCGCAAGGGCATCGCTTCTCCAAAGCATCGAGGGGGGAGGAACTGGTCGCCTGTTCAGGTCAAGTGCGTAGACTGAGATGCCGGTATTGGATAAAACTGCAAGCCTGGTCCCGGACATTGAGAACGCTACATCTATAGCTCTGTCTTCCAAGGTAAGCTGGTGGAGGGCCATTGGTGGAGGAATATTTGCGATTCTTAAGGGAGTGAGTTTTAGAGATACTATAAGCGTCAGCCTAGCACCCTCAGGCAATCCGCTCGGTAGAAGCGGCTGCACTTACGGCCGTCAATCGAAGCCACAAGACCGTAGTCGTGCGGTGGCGCAACAGAGCCGCCAGCAACGGTTGAGAGATATTCGAGAATCTGAAGGTATCCTGTTCGAGCGCCCATCAGTTCCAGCCACAGAACGTATGCAGCGCGAACGACTTACCGGAAGTCGACAGGGCTAGCGACAAAGGACGTTCCGGATGCCAAGTACATCGAACGGCTTGATCCGCCTTATCGGGGAAGACAAGCTCTTGCTTGAGATAGTAATGATAATTGCTCATCGTCCATAGCTGCACCTTGTCTGGATAGGATACAGCGAGGACATTTGAGTCGCTATTCCACCGCAGCGTAAGAGGGGTTTCGAGCGCCCGTAACTCCTGTGGGTTGAATCGCAAGTCAAACTGGCCGTGACGAAGACCATTGCGCTCGAAAAAGACTACTTCAATCCTCTCGGACAAACGGCGGATACCGGCAACGAGGTTTCCAGAGGGGCGCCAGCTGAGGGCTCCTTCTAGCCCGTCCACCGGCTCGCTGACGCTGTCAAGCTGTCCTTCTCGCGAGTAGACTCGAATCATGCGCCGTCGTTCTTGCTCTACGTTATTGACGGCAAAGTAGGCCCCGTCGCCCCGCCAGCTAATAGTCACAGACCGGTCATCGAATGGACTTGGGACTCCCTCATCGACGGTTTCCGGCACCGTAGGATCCTGCAGTGCCCTTGCTCTCTTGCCCTTGAACTGGGTTTCCTTCTTTCCCCATCCCACAGAGACGTGGGTCGAGACATTGACGTCTTCTGGGCTGAGAGTAATGCTTGCAATGTTCTCGATATCCCGGCTCATGAGAAGGAGGGTGCTCGCTTGGGTGGTGATGGCCAAAAGTTCTTCATCGGGAGACCAAGCCGCGGCCGAGATGCCGGCATCCACGGAGCCGACGATTTCAACCAGCTCTTCTCCATGGCGTGGGTTCTCTCGGACTAGAACTATATCGCCTCCCGCGAGGACGAGACACGATGTAGAAGAGTCAGAGAAATGGTCGAGGCTCAATATTGAGTCATGGGTAAGCGAGGGCAGCGGACAGGGCGCATCCCACGACGCAATGCTCTCAAGACGCTCCTCTGCAGCATGGCGCTCATGGTGCAGCCGTTTTAGCTCGATGACTGCACGTGATTCAGATGGACCAAAGGCGCATATCAGGGCGTTCGAAGCCGCATCCCAGGCTGTAGCAGTGAGTGGCAGCGGGTCCTCGCCGAAAAATCGCAGCAGCGACCTCCCGACGATGCTCAGGTTGCGCATCGCGGCGATGGGAGGGCTACCGCCGGGTCCTCAAGGATGGTTGTCGGGGAGTTAGGGTGGGTGTGAGTCGTCGAAAATTGTGCTGAGAGCTGCTCGACAACCGAGCTAAGCCCGATGCGGACGTGAAAACGCCCAAGACCGAATGTCATGGGCGGGCAGAGGGCTCACGATTCACGCGCGGTCATCACTCTGAGGCCGGAAAGAGATGGCAACGAACACTGCAAATGAAATTGATGCTGGTGGTGGTGTAGTACATGTGTTCGCGGGAACGTCGACCTATTCTACAAGCCGCATCCTCCGCCCGTGCCGTCGCTCGAAAAGCATGCGCGGCGTGCTCCCCAACGCGCCTACGGCTGGTTCTTCTTCGTCTGCCAGACTGTGTGGCGACCATGGTTAGATATGTGCATAGCGAGGGAGGCGCAGAGCTGGGAGGCTCACCAGCAAGGAGGAACGGAAGCGAGAATCCAACGCCTGCCAGAGGAGTTAGCACACATGGGCCATTGGGGCGGCGACAGGCGTACCCATGAAGCCCCAGTACCTGAAGGCAAAGCCCTTCTTCAGCGGGTCGAAGGGCAGGTTGCTACGGGGGCCCTCGGGGTAGTGGTAGGGGCTGGAGAGCTGGGCGCGGGACGACTGGAAGCCGCGGCGGGCGACGAGCGAGGGGCCGGCGGTGGCGCGGAAGGCTGCACGGGAGAGCATCTGGGGACGTGGTCAGCGGGGGGCGGGGGACCTCAATTGGCGGCGAATTGGGCGTACTTTGGCGAGGGGTGCGGAAGGTGGGTGTATGTATGTATGTGTCTGGTGGTGGGAGCTTCCGAGCATCGAACGACCCGACTAGTAGCTCGGCGCTGCTGAGGTAATCGCGCCGGAGGGAGGCGCACGGGCCAATCCGACCGATCGCCCTTGCCCTCACTTTTTCTTCTCAACGGGCTTCCTTGTGAGCTGGTCACCACCCGGATAACGCCCACCACCCTTCCTCCGCGCAGCCGAGCGACCCCAAACCCACCGCCCGCCGCCCGCCGCCCGCCATGGACGAGCTGTTCGACGTCTTCGAGGACGGCCCGCACGCCGCAGCGGCCGCCGCGCCGAAGAAGAGCAAGAAGCGACAGGCGAACGGGCATGTTAAGCCGCCCGTCGACGCCGCCGACGCGCACATGCCGGATGCGCCCTCCTCCTCCTCCCCCGCCGCCGCCGCACACGAGCACGGCGGGCAGCTGCCGAAACGCCAGAAGCGCGACGAGCCAGAGCCCGTCGTCACAGACGCCTTCGAGACAGAGCAGTCGCGCGAGGTGGCCGCCAGCGCCGGCCTGCAGGGCCAGGCGCCGCCTGACGGGCAGGCCGTCGTGCTCTCGCACCAGGTCCGCCATCAGGTCGCCCTTCCGCCCGGCTGCGACTACGTGCCCCTCTCGGAGCACAAGGCGCCCGCGGAGCCCGCCAAGACATGGCCCTTCACCCTCGACCCCTTCCAGCAGGTCTCCATCGCGTCGATACAGCGGAATGAGAGCGTGCTGGTCTCGGCGCACACGTCGGCAGGAAAGACTGTCGTAGCCGAGTACGCCATCGCGCAATGCCTGAAGAACAACCAGCGCGTCATATACACCAGCCCCATCAAGGCGCTGAGCAACCAAAAGTACCGAGAGTTCATGGCCGAGTTCGGCGACGTGGGTCTCATGACGGGCGATGTCACAATCAACCCCACGGCCACCTGTCTGGTCATGACTACCGAGGTATGCGTCCTTCCACCCCCACAAGAGTAGCGCCCTCTAACGGGAGCCAGATTCTGCGTTCCATGCTGTACAGAGGCTCCGAGATCATGCGCGAGGTGGCATGGGTCATCTTCGACGAGGTCCACTATCTGCGTGACAAGTCCCGAGGCGTCGTGTGGGAGGAGACCATTATCCTCCTGCCCGACAAGGTCCGCTACGTTTTCCTGTCCGCCACCATCCCCAATGCCATGCAGTTCGCAGAGTGGATCACCAAGACACACAGCCAGCCGTGCCACGTCGTTTACACCGACTTCCGTCCCACCCCTCTACAGCACTACTTCTTTCCCGCAGGCGCCGACGGCATCCACCTGGTCGTAGACGAAAAGGGCGTGTTCCGCGAAGAGAACTTCCAGAAGGCCATGGCGTCCATCTCCGACAAGGCCGGAAGCGATCCCGCAGATCTCATGGCCAAGAGGAGGGGCAAAGGCAAGGACAAGCGGACCAACAAGGGCGGCAACAAGGACCAGACGGACATCTACAAGATCGTCAAGATGATCATGGTCAAGAGCTACAACCCAGTCATCGTCTTCAGCTTCAGCAAGCGGGAGTGCGAGAACTATGCCCTCTCCATGAGCCAGCTCGCCTTCAACGACGAATCGGAGAAGGCCATGGTGTCCAAGGTCTTCAACAGCGCTATTGAGATGCTGTCCGAGGAAGACCGTTCGCTGCCCCAGATCCAGCACATTCTTCCTCTGCTTCGAAGAGGCATCGGCGTCCATCACTCCGGTCTGCTGCCTATCCTGAAAGAGACCATCGAGATTCTGTTCCAAGAGGGCCTCATCAAAGTCCTGTTCGCTACCGAGACTTTTTCTATCGGCTTGAACATGCCGGCTAAGACAGTCGTCTTTACCAGCGTACGCAAATTCGATGGTGTTTCGCAGAGATGGGTAACACCCTCCGAGTTCATTCAGATGTCCGGTCGCGCCGGTCGTCGTGGTCTTGACGAACGCGGTATTGTTATCATGATGATCGATCAGCAAATGGAGCCAGCAGTGGCCAAGGAGATTGTGCGCGGACAGCAAGACAACCTGAACTCTGCCTTCCATCTCGGGTACAACATGATCCTCAACTTGATGAGAGTGGAAGGCATCTCGCCCGAGTTCATGCTGGAGCACTGCTTCTTCCAGTTCCAGAACACCGCCAGTGTCTCCAACCTCGAGAAGCGTCAGTGTCTTAATTTTCCCTCGATGAGTTCCTTTGCTAACACTCTCGGCAGAACTGCAAGAGCTCGAGACAGAAAGAGCGAATATGGCCATCGTTGACGAGACGACTGTCAAAGACTACTATCAGCTGCGGCAGCAATTGGACAGCCATACGAAAGACATGCGCGATGTGATCATGCATCCAAATTACTGCTTACAGTTCTTACAGTCTGGCCGCCTGGTGAAGGTCAAATTCAAGGACTACGATTTTGGTTGGGGTGCCGTCGTCAACTGCCTTCCCCGCAAAGCCAACAAGGGCGAGATTCTCACTCCCCAGCAATCGTATGTTGCCGAAGTTCTCCTATTGGTGTCCAGTGACACCAAGTTCGTGCAGCAAAGTAATAGTGATCTGCCTCCGGGCGTCCGTCCGCCTGGCCCTGGGGAGAAAGGCAAGATGGAAGTCGTGCCCGTGCTTCTGTCGAGCATCGATTCAATCGGCCATCTCCGCGTGTTCCTTCCGGACGATGTCAAGTCAACCGAGAAGAAGAACAATGTTCGCAAAGCGTTGGAAGAGGTGAAGAAGCGGTTTCCCGACGGCATTGCTATTCTAGATCCCATCGAAAATATGAAGATCCACGACGAAGGATTCAAGCGGCTGCTTCGGGTACGTCTCGGCCGGGCGACGAAGGACGAGGAAGCTGACGTTAGTAGAAAATCGAGGTGCTGGAATCGCGCCTCCTCTCAAATCCTCTGCACAATTCACCGAGGTTGCCCGAGCTCTATAGCCAGTACGCAAAGAAAGTGGCGCTCGGAGACAAGATCAAGAACCTCAAGAAAGATATAGCGAATGCGCTGTCGGTCATCCAGCTTGATGAGTTGAAGAGCCGCAAGCGGGTTTTGCGCCGCCTAGGCTTCATCGACGAGGCCGACGTGGTGCAGATCAAAGCCCGTGTTGCGTGCGAGATTAGCACCGGCGACGAGCTTGTGCTGAGCGAGCTTCTCTTCAACCGCTTCTTCAACGAGCTGACACCGCAGCAGTGCGCTGCCTGCCTGAGCTGCTTCATCTTCGAGGAGAAGAGCAAGGAGACACCAGCGTTGAAGGAGCAGCTGGCCAAGCCCTTCCGCGACATCCAGGCGCAGGCCAGGGTCATTGCCAAAGTCTCACAAGAGAGCAAGCTGACGGTCAATGAAGCGGACTACCTCCAATCATTCAAGTGCGAGCTCATGGAAGTAGTCTTTGCCTGGTCGAAGGGCGCTTCCTTTGCAGAAATCTGGTGCGTAGACACGGTTGTCATCGACATGCAGCGCATACACTGATTCCTTGCAGCAAAATGACCGACGTGTACGAAGGCAGTCTCATCCGGCTGTTTAGGCGGCTGGAGGAGCTGCTGCGACAGATTGCCCAGGCCGCCAAGGTCATGGGCAGCGAGGAGCTCGAACAAAAGTTCACGGCGGCGCTCGAGCTGGTGAGGAGAGACTTGGTGGCGGCACAGTCGCTATATCTGTGATTCGGGAGACGGCTTAGCTGCAGGGTCTATATAGCGCTGGTATGGGCTATCTGGGTGTGCATGTTAGCCAAGTATGAGGTAAGTGGTGTATAGTGCGTCGCATTATGCAGTCCAAATGAAGGGACTGGACTGTCAGCATGCACGGGCAAGGAGCATTGGCGCTGCGGTTCCCGAAAAGGAGTCGCGGCGGGTATGCTTCTTGATAGAAATTCACTAGATCTGCTGCTGCCGCGGTGCAGCGAGCACGATCCCCCCGCGATACGTGAAAGGGCGGCTAGCTGGAGCCTGCCTCTGGTGATGTTTCGCGGATGCATTCCAAGGTTTGCATTTGGCCATGTGACGTGATTGGCTGCTGCAGAGAGCAAGAGAGGCACGTTGGTGCGGCCCGTGCTTGCCAAATCCGTCCCGTCGGCTAGCTCCTTCCTTCCTCTCCGCTCCACACATCAACAACACCTGCCTGCAACCCAACGCTGCGCACCTTCACCGACGCACGCGCGCCCCCCCCGCCTGCCATTCACCCGTGCGCCTCGCTCTCCAGCCGTGGACCGCGTAGTCGCTGCGTCCGCCTCCGTTTGCGGGCCGCCACCAGCATGAATGTCATCAACCAGACCTTTGGGCCCCCTCCTCATCTGCTGAACCACCGTCTCTCGCCCTCCCGCACCAGTATGTGCCCACGCTTTGTACACAACCACCCCGCCTGCAGGAGCACTGACAGCCTCTTCTCTCCAGTTTCCTCGCACTCGGTCATGTCTGGCCGCAAGCGCAAAGCCGACGATGATGGAAGCGGCGGCGACGACGACCGAATGTCGGCATCCCCCTCTGGCTCGCCAGCCGTGCAGAACCGGCTCCTCCCGCGCCACCCGATGAAGCGGCTGCGGACGAACATCTCAGGCCGACCGTTGCCCCTACCGCGCCTCCTGGAGACTCTCAGCGCCGATGAGATGCGCACCGTGCTGCAGTCTCTTTGCGAACGCCACTCCGGCATTGGCAACGAGGTCGTCACCACGGCACCGCGGCCGAGCGTGCAGTCGACGCTGGAGGTGCTGGCTAAATACGAGTCGACCTTCCAGTCAGCGTTTCCTTTCGGCGGCCGGGCGTCATCAGACTATGCCTACAACCGTGTCCGGCAGCACCTCATCGAGCTTCTCGATGCCTTGAAAGACTTCACCCCTCATTTCCTGCCCCCCAACGAATCCCAGCCCGCCACATCGCTCGCCTTCCTGGACGGCGCCACCGAATTCATCCATCGGCTTCCCGATTGGGACACCTACCAACACAACCGGCATAAGCAGGAGGCCTATGAAGAGATGGCAAAGGCATGGTCAGCTGTGATTCGAGAGGCAGCTAAGAAGGCTGGAGGCATACAATTACAATATGGCGGATGGGACCAGAAGATTGCGAAGCATAACGAAGCATCGGGCGGCCGCATGCAAGAGGCGGTCAACGAGCTACGTGGAAGCCTAGGCTGGATGGACAGCGACGCGCCGCATCCCCCCGTAGGCGGCCCCGCTGGCAATATGTCGATTCGAGACCAGCTCTTGAGCGGTAGCTATGGCATGGGCGCCTCCGCTCGCGTCGGGGCTTGGTAATGGCTGATGCTTCTGATATGTTCGGAGCGGCTTTTTGAATACCCGGGCCGGGAGCGAGAAGAGGCTTCTTCGTCGATTGGATGCATGTCTTTCCTGGGATACAGCGATATCCTGCAGCGTGGATTTTTCTCGCACGACGTCGAAGCACAGTCGGATCCGAGTATCGGAAACGGAAGCAGCACATGAGACGGCTCGGCCTTGGGTGGCAGCATGGACGAGGTCTTCACGATAACGACTTGGCTTTTACTGCATAGCGTGCTTACCGGCTTTCGCACACACGGGCATTGGCGGTTTGGGTCCTTTTGCTGGAGTTCATGGTCAAATCTCTCTGTTCTGGGATGATGGACTGCAATTCCTCGCCATGTTGGCGTAATATCTTCATTTTTAAACGCCTGGCGGCGAGGCGTAAGCTTTCATAGATACCTAGCATAGTTTTTCGGGGGGTAATCCTCCCGCTGTGAATAGATCTCTGTTTCTTGGATCTACATTGTTATGGCGTGATACCGTTCGTCCACCGCCGACCGAACGCCTCGTCGATTGGGCATTGTAGGTTGGAGCTAAACAGGCTGTACAAACGGTGCCCAGCTTTCATTGATTCTACTCAAGGCAGCATACCCAGGCTATCGGACGTGGGAAGATGTTGATGGGTGAATTTTTGGATCCTGTGACGTTGGTGTTCCGGGGCCAGCTTTTGATGGCACGTGAGACCGCGTTTAGCGCGACGCCTTATTTGTCAGGCAGGGGCAACCTTGGAACCGACGTCCCCCTACTTAACCTCCAGGGCTTCACTCTCCCCCACCACTCCACCCTGCTCATGGCAGCGAGACGCCCGTGCCGAGCAGCATCTTCAAACACGGCCTGCCCTTGTTGCCTCCTTCGTCTCCCCGCACTCAGCACCTGTCTCAACTCAGCCTCGTGCCAACGCCCCGCTTGAAGCTTGCAGTCCGGCGCACCGCATCAATGGCCATCACCGAATCCCATCCGCGCATCAAAGTCGAGATCATCTGCAATGGGACGGCGCTTAAGGTATCAAGGGCTCGGTACAAATAGCAGAATACTGTTCATGCTAACTTGTGCGCAGTAAGTAAAAGCTTTGGCCTTATACGCACCGAGTTCCAACAATTAGAGCATCCCTCCCAGACATCAAAACTGTCCAACATCTGGTGTTTGTGCCCTAGCTTTTTGAACGCCCGCTAACCGTACCGCCACCTTCAGAGAATACGACGATGACGAAAACGACGACTCAAGAGACACTGTGACCAGGTGCGTAGGTCGCGGTCCACGCTCCAGCGTGTCCCAGCTTTGCCTGCGAAAGCTCTTCCTGGAAGATCTTCAGCGGGTAAAGACCTAAGGCATGCCAGGGCGATGGACCCCAGCCCTCCGTCCCCCTTCTTTTGATGTGAGACATCTGCTAAGTATATCGTCACCTTTCCAGGTACATCGAAGCAAAGTCTGGAGAGGAATTTGAGGTCCGCCATACCCTCACAAAGCCTTATCCCGACACGGCCGTTCTGTTTGTGATTTTGCTAGATGGAAAATGGACGCGCGGCTCTTTCATGAGACCGAGTAGCTTCCATGGTCAGACGACCGACATGACAGTTAAAGGCGCCAACACCGTAATCGATGAAGAGTGGTTCTTGAAGAAGTTCTGCTTCTCCGAGTTAACAATTGGTGGGTTCGGCCCCTCAGTCTACTGCAATTAGCTGATTCGGCCTTCAGACGATTCCGACCTCGGTTTAGCGGGAGACGAACTCATGAAGACTTTAAAAGAAATGGGGGAGATCAAGGTTGAGGCCTATGCGGTCAAAAACTTACGTGACAGTCACCATGGACCGCGTCAAGCGACGATGACTGACCTGGGGACCATTCCGGAGAAAGCGCTTAAAGGCAGAGGGACAACGCATTCAACAAGGTAGGTCTAGCAGCAGCGCACGATTCGGCTCTGATGCTCACCCCTATCTAGCCTGCGAGCGCCAACTCCCGTCTCCAAGGGCACAGTCTTACATTATGAATACGTCGACCCAGACAAGAAGCCGTTCGCAATTTACAAATTCAAACATCGTTCGAGGGGTCAGTATAGCGTTCTCTCCGGATAAGAGAATGATTTGCTGACCGTGCGCTTTCAGACGCACTGAAGTCCCTCATGGTAATCCCGCGGAGCCTCAGCCCGGTCCCCTTGGAGGAGCGTGACATCAACACGCTCAATCCCGAGGAGATGAGAGAGCTTCTCAAGCGTCAGAAGGTGGGTGTCAGTGCAGGACTACGTCTAGAGTCGCAGCTGACTCATTGGCAGGAGCAAGAAGCCGCGCGCAAGGTGAAGCTAGAGGTCAAGCGGGAACGCCCCCGAGGGCACAACGTGCCAGCTAACGGCGACGATGACGATGACGAGGTCTCCTTCGTCTCCGCTAAGCGCCGAAAGCTCACAGTCATAATCGACGAGGACGGCATGGAAACCATAGATCTAACCTAAGGCGTTACGAATTGGAAACCACGACATTTCAGGCAGCTCTCGGCGGATAGGATAGACAACACACTGCGCTGCATTTTTCTAGTTACGACTCCATGAGGCTACTGTGGTTGGCTGATATCAGGCTTCGACTTGCTTGCTTGGTTCCACATCTTCGCTTTATGGACACATAAGGGGGATACTTGTTGGTTCAGTGCAGATGCGGCGATTGGCAAAGGTTTGCGGAATGATGCTCACGACACAAATGGCTTGGCGATATAGGCACTGTTCGTTCCGGGACCATCTCTGGGGATAATTCAATGCTCTGGGCCGCTCTGGGTATTGGTGGTGCTCTGGACTCATTGGTTTGTTAGCTTGCCATATTTGATTAAGTAATGCTTCTCCTACTGTCTTGTCCACGGGGTTGTCCTTAAGCCGCTCCTTTCCAGCCTGCAATCGGCAACGCCCTTCGGTTAGCCTCTCATCTTGCGCTTCTCTCTCACCTCAGCAATCGTGAGAAGGGGGGACCAGCGTTCTTACCTACCGTCTTGTTCGGTCTTGCTCTACCTCGCTCCTCCGCCCGATACCACCGCCCTCTACTTCGCAATTGCGGATGGAACTTCGCCCGTCATGGCAATCACGACCGGTCATCCCGGTTTCGAGGTCACGATTGAGGTAGATGGAACCCCATTGCTCGAGTACAATCTGGAAGCCGACGACAGTGACGCCACCCCCACTCCCGCAAACACGACTCTGAAGTACGTCGAGGCTCCAAGCGGCTCCGAGTTTTCAGTCCGGTACCTATATAGGCCACCGTTCAACCCTACCTCCGACGTTCAACCAGACATCAGTCTGGATGGCAAATTCATACTCGTCCCCTCTATCGACATCAGCCCTAAGGACGGATGTGAGAGTTACATCTGCGGCGGCGGTCAGATCACAGTGGATGAGAAGACTTATGTGCAGAAGTTCAAGTTCGCGGAGCTGATAATAGGTGGGAGGACTGCGCGTCATGCGTCGCTTCGAATACTGAACCAAGGCGCAGATGAATACAGCAGCTCTGTCAGCGAGGAACTTACGCGGCAGCTAGCGGAGACCGGACAAATTAAGCTCGATTTCCACTTCATCGCCAACATGCAGCGGGTGCGGGCGGCCGAGGTGCCTCGCCTTGACTTCGACGAACTCGGGGCCGTCAGCGAGAAAGCCGCGAAAGCCACAACGGTTCGCGGAGATGCCGTGAACCAAACAGTAGGGTACGTCGCGCTTGTAAAATAACGATCCGCTCACGCTATGGACGATAACTGACCTGAACACAGATTGACAGCACCAGAGGAGCGACAAACCGGAAACGTGATCCAAGTTTCTGTAGCGGGAGGACCTTTTGCTTCCTACATCTTTCGATACCGAACTACAAGTGAGAACTTCCATTGTCTACTATTAGCGACTTACAATGCTCGCACAGAAGCACTTAAGGACCTAGGTATCGTTCCCAGTACCCCATCGCCAACTCCTCCTAGGTCTCCAACACCCCTGTGCGACCCTTGTGGCGATGGCCAAGTTAGGGAGGCACTCACCCAGTTGCAGCGGCGACGACAGGAGGAGCTAGGAGTGAAGCATGAGCGTGAGGAGTCCGAGGAGAGACTCGTAGGCCACGGCAGTATGAAGTGGAGTGGACAAAAACTCTGCCTGCCGAGAGCGTGCGAAAGCGTCTGCGACGATTGCCGACCGCAACGGACGAGGTGGTCGATTTGGACGATCATCAAGTGCGGCAACCGCGATAGTCGTTACTTGGTCATACTGTATATGGATGGCCAAGGCGCACAAGCATGGCTTCCCCAAGCACAAGGCTTAAAAGAATGGCGTATCTTCAGAATCATCTGGAGGATGAAGAGCTTCTAGGGTTTGAATTCGGTGCGGCTCGTCTCTTCTCTTACTACCATTTCATTCTTAGAGCAGTCCAGTGACTGGTCTGTGATTCCAGGGGCTTGGAGCTCTTTAGCGTCCTCATTTGAACATGTTTCTCTGTTTTATTTTCGAATATTTCGAATTAGGTCGCCTAAAGGGCCATGAAGACTGGGTAGCCGGAGAGTCCACTGCGATTGACGAGACAGTGCTGTTCAGTTATCATGACAGAATCGCCACGCCGCGTCCGCGTTTGGAACAATGCCAGCTCCCCAATTGGGCGCGAAATGCTGACTAGGTGCTGGAGGATGGTACCTCCAGAGGTATGCTCTGTTCGTGGACAATTGTTAGAGTGTTTGCGGCTGCCCAGGTGGCTCATGTGCGCTTGCACATATCTAGACTAGGCCATAAGGTGACTAAGCACGCCGCGGCCGTGGATCGGAAAAACGACCTTCCAAGGTTGGAACCTCACAGTCCGATGAATTCTGCCATGGACTCTTCAACCTCGCACGATCCGGGCCTCCCGCCGCAGACTAGACCCTCTTCAGACAGTATGCACGGTCGTACTGCGACGCCATGCTGGCTGCTTCTCGAGCTCCGGGCTCCGTGGCAGCCGGAAATACTCCAGGAGCAAATGCGCACTCGGCAGTCTCCCCTCAAAACGCCAGCAAAGCAAGCCTGAACGTCCGCAATTCGCCTTCCCCGGGTACTCCCTCCGCTAGCCCCAAATCTCAATATGCGTCCGTGCAACAGCAGGCCGGCAAGCCTAAATCCTCAAGGTGGAAGAAGATCAGGCAAAGGTCAACTCTAAAGTCCGAGAGAAACAGGCCCAGAACATATGTGATCAAGAAGCTAGGCACTTGCTAATGGCGGCGACTATCGTATCGCCATCAAGGCTATCAGAGGAACAATCCGAACTTGAGATGGAGGGATTGGAAAGTACCAAAAATTGGAAAGCGGCCTCAGATCGAAGAGCTAAGTTAGACGGCTGGAATGCAGCGACACGACCGTGGAATGCGAGGGATGCGATACTGAGTTCAAGACGATCCGGGTCTGAAGGATCATATCACTACACAACAAGGCGTAAACGGTCCGTCGCCCGCATATTCTCCGAGGACTGGATCCTGCGTTTGTCGAAAGCTTTCGGTTGGCAATTTAACATCGATCCAACCTTCTTTTCGAAACACTCCCGGACCGCACTTTGGGAGCGGCGCCACGAGGGCGGCAACACGTCTGGGCGTGCACCCGTAAACGATCTAAAGTATAGTTTCTTTATGGAGCATTACAAATTGCTTTCAAGACCAGTCCAAAGTCGGACTCGCTGCGAAACCCGAGCGAAATGCGGCCTATCAACGTCTCCGGGAAGCCCTATGATCCTACGGATCTAGATCAAGTTAGTATAATGCATCGCAAAGCAAGTTCTGGTTCAGGATGAGAAAGGTGCCTGGAATGGTATGCTGCTGACTTTATGATTAGTTGTAATTGTAGTAGATCCGCCGTTGCCCTTTCGACTATCGGCAACCGTTCGCCAAACGAACGAGCCGCAAGATCGACAGCTCCTGATCGGCACTTCCTAGGGCGCACAAGGGGCTGCGAAAAGCTAGGGAACGGAGGCTGTCCGAGACGACTGTGTATTTCGGACGACATGCACTTCTATTGGGCCAACGCATTCAGATGGGCTTCCACAAAAGCCTAAGTCATTCGAGAAAGGCGCTCTCCTCGCCACATTTACCTGCAGAAGATCCATCGCCTCAAACTACATGATACTCGTCGGCTATCTGAAATTGGACCTCAGCGAGTTGGAAATGGCAATTATACGCATGGGAATCAAAGAGCATCAAAAGCATCTGATCACTGGGGTTTCCGAGAAGTAGTCCGCTCTACAGTCCTGTCGTCATCGACTTCCTGAATACGCTGGCATGGTCGAAGACATTCTGGAGTGGCATTCGGTTGCCACAGAAGTTTTCCGCGGAAGCTTTAGCAGCAATGGGCCTGATATCCCAAGGACTTCGAGATCCAGAGGTGGCTCGATGTACTGCGAAATCGTACCCAGCTTCTCAATGAATCTTTCGTCGGCCTGGCTAGCATGTCATTTGAGGGTAAGTCTGCGCGGCTTGTTAGGGACGCTTCTTTGCATGATTCTCCTGAGGCTCTTTCGCTAACCATCTTTTCAAGATGGTAGTCAAGACCGCGGGAGATCCACAGAGCAGCGTACCCAATAGACCATCCCGAATTACACTTCGTGGATTATTGAATAGGTGTTCTTGGTTCGTCCCCGATGTTGACGCCCATGAAGCCAAGAATCGCCAGTACCGCACTACCGGTGCCACCTGGAAGAGATCGTGGAAGTCCGGTACGGTTCGGGTGTAATTAAACACACCTTAATTCGATCCTTTTTTCTTCTCCTCCAAATCTCTTTCCGCTTTGGTCCTCAGAGACCTCATTCTCTCCCAGCTATCTTACGCAACGCATCGAACATCCCGTTGATCGCGAGCCTTACTATCGAAAGCCGAACTTCGAAGTCGAAAGGCACGCCAAATAACCCTAATGCAACCATGTTACTTTTCTAAATTGTCCCTCGAGATGCGAGACCGAGTATACCATTTCGCATGGAACGGCACGCAACTGCACACCCATCACATCAGCAAACGGTTTGCCGTATGCGCAACATACGGCGAGCCAAGCGTGGACTCGAAAGGCTTGCCACCCTGGCTCCTCGCGAACGGACAAATTATGACTGAAGCAATGGGCCTTTTCCACCGGCAGGGGGTCTTGCACGTGTGTGCAAAAATACCAAAATCGAGCAAGACAAATAGCTTGATTCGCTTCGAGCTCTTTTATCATATTTCGAGCTCCTTTTTCGCTCCCTGGTCGGCGGACGCAGAATTTTTCGCATACCTCTCGGAGAGGGACAGCACAGCCAAGAGGATTACGTTCGATTTCAGGCCTTACGAGGAGGCCGCACTTGGAAGATGCGACTGGACTAAGAGCTGGGCATTCTCCGAAGCTCTGAAGGCCTGCATACTAGGCCGTGTGGAGTTCGTCTTCAAAACTGGTCCTTACGAGGAAAGTTGTCCGGAAGAAAAGCTGAGACTTGCGGTTACTTCCTGCGAAGAGTTTTCCCTAGGCTTACTGAAGCGCGAATATGCGAAGCTGTCGGTGAAAGTCTGGACGGTGAAGAGATATCGCCATCTGGAGATCCATGTGGAAGTCAAGCTTCCGCCGAGAGAAAGCATCAGGAAGAGGAAGCGCGATGAGGACGGGAATGCCGGATTGGATTTGGCGCTCGGGCAGCTACGACTTGGGCGAGACTTCCGCGAGCCCTGGTCTAAGTATACGATGACGGGGTTGCTGGTCGATCTATTGTACGGGTAACTCGGCGTGCTCGGCAACTTCTCTAGGCCCAATTTCCCAGTCGCACATTGTCGACATTATTAGGCGATTACTTGTGAATTTTCCGCCCTCGGTTTCCATCACACGTCAGCAAGTACTTCTAGAACCGCCAAATCACGCTCAGATTTCAAGACAGCTACATTGGGAGCGTGCTTTGCCAACCGCTGACACACTCCCCCCACTAATTTCAAGATGCGTTAAAGAACGAGCGATCCTACCGCACGAGTAGAGCCTCGCCAACCATGAGATCTTATACGACGAGATATGCATCTTCCCACACGCAGTTTACGGTTAGATTAGCATCGCCTTCATCCTCCTAGCTTGGGCCAACCGACGAATTTGTGCCGCAACACAATTGTCCGCCTATGCCTGCGCTATTAGACTAAGCCTTGCTACGCGAGATCGAGGTCCTGCAGCGGCAGGCGGCGTATTAAGTATATCAAAGTCAGGATTCGGCACAAACTGAACATGAGACATAGCAGTCACACGAAGCGGAACACCACTTTGTTGTTTGTTGGGACTGGACTGGCCGTAGGCCAACCTGTGGTTGCTAAGGGTTGTATGATAATGTGAAGATAGGAGAGAGAAGTTCGGACGTGGAGCACAAAAAAAGTATACTTCATCCCTCTTTTGCGTGAATTTAAAGTGTGTATCGTTGGCCGGCGAACACTGGCACCATACCACCCGGATTGACCCGATCCCAAGCATTCTTGAACCTCCATCCAGAGCAGTGGCCCGGCATCAAAATTTTCGGGCTCAGATCCTGGAAGTCGCTGACAGTCTTCTGAATCTTCTCATCAGGGGCATCGGCAAGATGGTATCCTCCCACAACCGCATACATGGGTACATTTGGGAGCATTTCGCTAGCGTGGATGATGGCATTGATGACGCCAGCATGAGAGCAGCCAGTAAAAAGGACGAGGCCTTTGCCTGCAGACAGTGTTAGCGCCAGGTCCTCCTGGGGCTATTTCGCGCCGCGGCGCACCTTTCAAGTTCACCATAGTGAAGCGCTCCTCCATGATCAATGGGTCGGGCTGCCATTCCCCGTCTGCTTTGTCCAATCTAATACCGCCGGGGATCCCCTGCTCATACGGCGTAATGCGGGGTATCTCTCCAGATATGAAGAAGGTGTCGTCTAGGGCTGTGTGTGCATCGGCATTCTTGGTGACAATACCACCGGCTCGCTCGACCTCGTCGAAGGTGGGGTCAGCTTCCAGCGTGATGGGCAATCCGCCAGCATTGATGCCACGGAACTCAGGTCGGTTGGGGTGGAGGTCGACGGTGACTGGAGAGGCGCCTGCCGGTCGCGCGGAATTGATCATGCGAATGGCTTTCAAAAGGCCACCGGAGTGGTCGCGATGGTAGTGCGAAAGATGAATGTGTTCGACCGAACCTAGGTCTGCTCGTAGTCGTGAAGCATTCTTCTCGAAGATTTCTTCCTCCGGTCCGGCATCGAAGAGGAGTGTATGCTTAGTATTTCCCCTCGTGACTGTCTGTCACATATTTAGACAGATGCGGAAGATTGTGGCGGAAAAGGGAAGCGATCATACGATCATCAGCGACAGTCCATGTGCTCCGCAGCAAATGTTATCCATCCTCATCTGCTTCTTAGCTCCTCCGTACGCTTGTGGATTCTGCACATCTGTCAAGGGGATGTGCATAAAGGAGCCTCCGGCCTTGACTGCTGGATTTGGTGAATGCGAGATATTATCCATCTCGTCATTGACGATAGTGAGAAAGTCGAGGGTGTCGACTTCGACGAGGTTATACTTGGACATTGCGAAACCGGGGTCCCAATCTTCCTCCTCTTGGATTTCGTGAAGATGTGGAGATGGGTTGCACCACGGGCACTCTCCCACACTTATACCCTCTCCATCTAATACTCCGATTCCATAGGTGGGGTGGATATCGTGACCCCGTGTTTCGTGCGAAAGTGGTCAGATCATCGTCTGGACAGCCCCATCGTCAGCCTGCGCTCGGTAATTCGGCGTTGCAACTTAGCGCGGCTCTCGGCCGAACCCTGCGCTGCTCTACTCCCAAAAAATGTACTGCGGGAGAGCTGGGTGGTCGGCAAGATGAGATGGTGTTTGCTGCCCGGAGTTCCGTGGTTCCAGACCGCGGCATAACTAAGCGATTACTAGGGGTACGAAAGGCCGAAAAGGAAAGGAGAAGCATAGCAGTGAGGAATTGGCATATTGAGAAGTGTCCCCGAGCGTTCCCGTCCCGTCGAAATGAGACGTCAGCCGCGGTGAAGACAACGGAATGCTCGGCTCCAATGGCACGACGTCATCGCTCGCTTATCGATAACCTTAATTCACAGCTTGGCGTGCTTGGCATTCCTCCCTGCGCCGATCCGCACCCGCACCAGATCCACGCATCATCAAAACTCACCACTGGCATTACCTTCACCCATCCCAACACGCAGCCTCAGCGCCGCCACGCGTATCCACGGACGGCATTCCTGATGGTGCTTCCCCAGCTCCACAAACCCCGCTCCACGTCTGAGCGCATACTGCCATGGGCCACTGCTGGCAGGCGCCTTACGCAGCCACGGAGCGGCAGCTGGTCGCATGCCATCACCATTCGAGCAGATCAGTCTGCAGCTGCGCTGGGGACACGTCTTTCAGCTTTTGGGCCGCATGGATGATGCTCAGCACGCCTTGCCGTGTCCGGCCCCACACACATCTAGACAAAACGCCACTGTCGTCGGCGCGGCACCAGCCTACAGTCTACCACAACGCTACCACTCCTTCATAACGTCTAGCCTGGGACCCTTTTTCCTTCCACACTTCCCGCTTCCCACGTTTTCTTGCTTCCCGCCGTTTAGCTTTCGCGAGTTCCTTTGTGTGCTGCAGACCGTCTGGCAGCCGAGAGCTGTTCTGCCTAGCCCTTCTTCGTCTCTGCGCAGCGAACGGCGTTGTGTGAAGCCATGGCCCCGCTGTCACGCAACATCCTCCCTCTGAACGCCAAAGACAGCCACCGGAACGATGGTCAGACGAACGGCCGTACCAACGGCAACACCAGCCAGAAACGCTCTCGTGTTCCCTGGCTGACCAACAGATGGCGCAACGAACTCGTCGCTGCGGCTTCCGAGTTCGCCGGCACCTTCATGTTCCTTTTCTTCGCCTTCGGAGGGACCCAAGTCGCCAACACGGCGGCCGTATACAGCGATGCGGCGACGGCGGGCCAGGAGCAGAATAGCATCACGCAGGCGCCGAATACGAGTGTGCTGCTGTATATCAGTTTGGTTTTTGGGTTTAGCTTGATGGTCAATGTGTGGGTGTTCTTCCGCGTTAGTGGGGGCTTGTTTAATCCTGCTGTAAGTAGCACATGGCTTCCCGCTCCATTGTCACTCGAGATGGAAGAGGACCCACGCATGCTGACTTCACATAGGTTACCCTGGGTCTCTACCTCATCGGCGCCCTGACCACGACCCGCGCAGCCCTCTGCTTCATCGCCCAAATGATCGCCGGCATGTGCGCCGCCGGCGTAATCTCCGCCATCCTCCCCGGCCCTCTCAATGTCAGCACGACCCTCGGCTCCGGAACTTCGAAAGCGCAAGGCGTATTCATAGAGATGTTTCTCACCTCTCTCCTTGTCTTCACCATCTTCATGCTCGCTGCCGAGAAACACAAGGCCACTTTCCTAGCGCCCATAGGAATCGGGTTGGCGCTGTTTGTGGCCGAGTTGGTCGGAGTATTCTTCACAGGAGGCAGTCTGAATCCGACAAGAAGCTTTGGACCGTGCGTGGTGACGCACAACTTCCCGGGATACCATTACATCTACTGGTTCGGGCCGCTCATGGGCACCCTCCTCGCGTGGGCCATGTATAAGATCGTCAAATCCGTCGAATACCAAACTGTGAACCCTGGCCAGGACTTTGACGATCATGAGGTAAGCTTCCTCCTTCCTGCTTCCACCTTTCCTCCGCCTTCGAGATGCTGACACTGAGATGCAGGCCGCACTATTCCACCCCCCGGACGACCCCGAAAACGCAGCACAAGTTGAGCGCCCTAACGTCGCTGCTATTGTGGCCGAAGAAGCAGTCCGCATGGCGAGCACGCCATCGAGAGAAGGTCATCAACCTATGGATGGCATTGAAGGGAGGATGTCGGGAGAGGGTCGGATTTCGCCTGTTGCGTCGAGGTTGAGTGAGCTGGGGAGGACGGGACATGTGGGGAATGGGCAGAGCATGAGAGAGGTGAGGGATTAGTTCCCCTAATGTAATCCAAGGAGTGTTAGATGAATATTGGGTCGTTTGGAAGAGGAACATAATACTGGTATATCTGTTTCTTGTGGCGGTCGAGAGGCATTTTGGAATTTATTGGGCTATGATTTATGGATCAAAAGCGCATGATGATACCCGCGGGATTATAACACAGGTGGGTAAGTTTTATCACCACATCTTCAAGCTTCCTTTTACGCCAAGTTTTTAGTCCAGCTTGAGTAATGATACCAATTCTTCTCTTCTTCCTCCCGATCCAATCTCCCGCTGTAAGCATATTCCTTCGTCTCCGCACAGCTTACTTCAAGCCTTAGCACTGTCTCTTCTGACGTATCCTTACTCATCCCCGCGCACACAGGCAAACACGCATATCTCCGCCCCGCAGCAATCCCTTCCTCGCTTCGCCTAACCGCGCTTCAGTTTTGTAGACCACGAACCAGGCTAGGCAGTGTGCGACTAGAATTGCGAAGGCGAAGACGAAGATCAGGAAGGCTAAGATGAGAATGAATGTTTGGACGAGCGAGAGGCGGGAGCTGGAGTCGGATGGGCGGGAAGATGCCGTCGGAGTAGTTTTGGGCATGGCGGAGCTACGGTTCCTTAGAAGCTCGTCGACCGGAGGACGATCGATCCCCGGCGCAGTGACAGGTAGACGCACACTCTCCTGCCTAACCTCACCATCTCCCATCTCCTCCTTTTGCTCCTCTGTCGCATTCTCCTGCCTCCTCGTTGGCGGACTCGGCTCTAGCACCAGATACCCACTCCCCTTCCTGTTCTCGCTCATCGGAAACGGCGGATCCCAAGGTTTCCTCGTCGTCCTCATGCCCCCCTCCTTCGATACACTCGCACCCGCTCCTCTCTGTATCTTCTCGTCGGTACCCGATCGCGATTGCGGTTTCTCGCCCGCGCCGTCGAGTCCGGTGTCATCTGGCTCAGATAGCACATCAGAATCGGTGCATGGCAGGCAGGAGGCGATGAAGCGTTGGTACTGTACTGCTATGATGGGGACTGCGACGAGGGCGAAGCATGCTAGGAGGATGCCGAACATTGAGGGGGTGATTAGCGGAGGGGAGTTGCTCGCTGTCTTGGAGTGAGTAGATGCGAGTGTGAGGAGGAGGCTGAGTGCAATGCGTAGCGGTGCGCGCCAGGTCGCGGTATTGTCGGTGGTGTGTAGGGCCGCCAGGTTGTAGGTGTCGGCGTAAAAAGGAATGAGGTGTCATCCGTCGTCCTTAGTTCGGCCTGCGGATATTCAGGCCAGGGACGTGATCGGAGGCGCTTTCTTCGAGAGACGCGGGTCTCAACTTCCCTCTCTGACGAGGTCATCTACCCAGCCTAATCGTTCACGACTGTCGTCTACGATGCGAGCGTATTCCAGCAGCAGGCGATATACGTAGATCAGCATGTCTTCTTTCCGAAGCACCTTATCCGCCCACTCTCTCCCACCTTCGGCGATTTTCTTGGCTTGCTTGTCGTGCGCGTCTCCAGTGTTCTCGCTGCGCTTCACCACGCCGTCGGGAGCGTGCTCGTGATTATGCATTTCCTCGTCGTCGACCATTTGCTCCCCATGGGCTGGCTCATGCTCGTGACCTTTCTCATCTTCTTCATTCCCATGCGGCGTCTTGAAATGATGCTCATGCTTCGGCAGCTCAACATGCGCATGCGCAAACTCCGATGCATCTTTGCTAACCGTAGTACCCATGAAGTACTCCATAATGCCGTACAGATCCACAAACATATTATCCATAGGCACAAAGTGTAGCCACGGAACAACCCGAGCATCGTACCACTGCTGATAAACACTCCCTTTCAGCGCGACTTTCCCAGCTCGAAGAGCTTGAAGAAAAGCGCCGCCATCATCGCCACCGTCTCCGTCAATGATGGCGGCGTACTTGCAACTTCCTTGCCCCTCATCCTCATCCACCTCTTTCTTTACCCCGAAATACTCCTCTACGTACGGACACGCGCCGCCCTCAACCCACTCCTCACAACGCAAGTCCCTGAACGCAGCATCCGCCAAGCCGCTCACCCAATCCGCCATTTTCCCACACTTTTGTGTGGCCAAATGGTATTCGTTGGCAGGTAAAAGTCGGAAATTTCGCGCATAACCCAGCCCGATCATACTCTCATTCCCGGCATGCAACAGCCCTTCTGCAATCTCGACATGCGTCGCGTTGAGCATCGACACGAAGCGGTGTCGGTGGAAGCGCTGCCAGTTCTGCGCTGTATTTTTACCGCCTGTAGCGGCGCCGCGCCAGAAAAGCTTATCCGTCTTTTCGGCCCAAGGTTGAGGAGCGGAAATGTAGTCCGAAGCGTTCCAGTCGCCCACGCTGGGGATGAGGGCCTCGTTGCTCGTGGAGAGCTTGGAGGAGGAGAAGAGTGGAAAGAGTTTCTGCGTTACCGCCATGGTTGAAGGGGCCACGAAGCCGCCGTGTAGAGCCTGAAGGAGGGGGAAGAGGCATACGTCTGTGGTTGTCGTCCAGTTCTTGACGTAGCCTTGTAGCGTGCCGGTGGGAGCGCCGAGGGGTAGTAGAGCAGCTGCAGAGTGCTCCTGGCTCGTATGGCCCTCTGAGTGCCATATATCCTCGAGCAGCGGTTCATTCCTCGTGGGCGAGTCCGGCGGACACGCAGGCTGAACGAGCGACCACAAAGGTCTTGGACCGAGCCAGTTGGACGAAGGATGCATAAGCCTTCCATCAAGCCACTCGGGATCAAAAGTGAAGTCTACGTATTCTTCTTCGTCAACGGGAGAAAATTCGTCGATCACATCGTTTGGCGAGGCCAGAATATTCCCCGCGAGGCTCAGCGTCGTATCTACCGTTTCCCACGGGACTAACATGCCCACCTCTTCGTTAACATTGACTGGGACGTTCACATCTGGTAAGCGGACCTGTGGATGCTTGGCCAGGGTCTGTATCATATTCATCGTTTGCTTCAACCTCTCGTAGCTGTTCTTCGCCTCTGCGTCCACGACGCCGCCGCGGATCGATATCTTGGGGCTGAAGGCATGTGCGAGTTGACGTAAGCTACGCGGATCCATGCCCCAAAAGGGCGCGAGATCGTGATATATTTGGTCGAAGAAAGATTCGACAACCAAGGCACCGCTTTCCGTCGCGTACGTGTACCAAGCATCGAAGCCGGGTGGGGGATGGCGAGCGCGTCTCGCGCGATACTTAGCCGCTGCGTCTTCGAGACTTGCGGCTTCATCCTTCAGCATTGCATCGAATCTTTTCCGCGCATCTTCCATCAAGTGCTCGATTGGGTGGCCTTGCAGCACTTCCACTTGCCCCCCATCCCCGTCGCCACCCTCCGGCCTCGTCACCTCCTCTCCCCAACCAGCCACATCTGGAATTGGAATCGGAAGATACGTCCCAATCCCGCCAATGGACCCCCACGTAGCAACATACACGACTCCGACGCACAGGAAGATGGAAATCAGCGTCAGGATCTGCAGCGCGCGCCAAGAAGGCCTCACGACTGCCATCGAGCTTTTCGCATGCACAGCCATCGTGTGTATCTAGGCGAGCGATGCAGGATATGTTGGCTTCCGGGATCTGGGGTTTTTTGGTAGGAGCGCTTTAGCCGGTTATGGCATTGTTGGAGGGTGTTTCAGAGGAGAACCGCTGGAGGCGCTGGAAAATGCGGAAGGCGAAGGCGCAAGCGTAGGAGAAGTGGATAGAAGACGAAAAATTGTGGGAAGAACCATGAGCGACTTTTGAAGAATCAAGATGGACGAGTCATGTGTTAATTTATTGGTGAGGCGAGTGTGTGGATAGATTGCTAGGGTTTATACGGCTGCGTGATGGGCGGCAATATGGAAGGGCGCTTGGCGTATCTGGGAAAATGGAATGTGGAGTGAGGGTGTCCCGAAATGTGCAAATCAAACGCAGAAAGGTAAAAAGATAAAATGGTGTTCATAGAAGGGTGCGGCCATTATTCTACCACATAGGGTGACGTGATCTAGGTCCGCAGTATCAGTATTGCTCTTCGTGGTCTTCCATCTCTTCGCCTTCGCCTTCATCATAACCCTCCTCGTATCCCTCCTCATACTCTCCACCCTCGCCCTCTTCGTCGCCTCCATTACCTTCTTCATCCTCACTATCCTCCCCGCTGCCGTCGCTCTCGCCTTCGCTGCCAGGATTGTAGTCCTCTTCTTCATCATCCTCTTGATCTTGCAACATCCTCTCCGCCTTCTGCAGCTCTGTCTCGCCATCCCCCTCCTCGGCAGCAGCAGCACCACTCGTTCCATTCTCTTTCTCAGCAGGCGGGTTGACGTTGAGCTTCTTAGCCCTCCTTGTGGCCGCCAGACTAGCATCTTGTAACCCGTGCTTCTGCACATATTCGTTGATCCCGCTGTAGTCCGCCTGGTCGAGCATTCCAAATTCGATCTCTGCGGTCGGTGTGGTGATGACGAGATTGAAGGTGTTGCGGAGAACGGCGGTGTAGGATATGGAGTTTATAGAGGCGAAGTCGAAGAAAGCTAGAGGTTTCTTGAAGCCGTATACGATGCCCACGGAGGTGAAGAAGAGGTATCCTAGCAGCAGTGTCAGCATACTCATCGCTCCTTCTCAGGTGTTATTCTGGACGCACCCTCCTTGCTTCCCCTATGCGCCTTGACGTGGTATCCCTTTTCGCCCTTGCGGTGACTCTGCGGGATTGCGCTTTCAAATTGCTCAGGATCCGGGAATATAACTGTCTTCGCGGTGCCCGCCTGTATCAAGCAATGGTGGATAGCTTCAGCCATTGGCCCAGGACCGGGGTCTTCGCCTTCCACAATGTTCTTGCCTGTCGCCTCTTCGAATGTCCATACTATAGGCTCGGGGGGCGAGTTCTTGGCATGGTCGGGGACTGGGTTCACGCCGTCACCGTGGACAGGGAGGACGACGAAGTTGTGCTGTCGCTTCGCTTTCTCGGGGACGGGGAGGCAGAAGACCTGCTCTATGACACTTGTCAGCCAACACGCCTGTGTCGCTCCAGAGTGCTGGTAAGGAATGCATGATGCCCACTCACCGACCTGCTTCCAAGGGATGCCGAATTCCACACTGCCGTCAGCGCCCACAGCCCGTATGCCGCCATGGCGCTTGTCGTCCACAAGCTCGAGCGTGTATTTCTTCCGTTGCGGGATCGAGAAGCTGACGCCGGGATATGACCGCCACGCATTCACGGCAGCGCTGGCCAGCCCAGCCGACGCCACAAGCCCATTCTGCGCTCCGTTGCTGTCGTCAAGCTTTCGCTTCTTCGCTGCGGGCTCGCTTGGCGACTGCGACGTCCGGTGCAGCATGTAAATCGAGATATCGCGAAAGAGCGTGCTCTGGGTGGGGTTCTGGTCTGGCAGCGCATGCCGATTAGCTTGCTGCTGCTAGGGGGCGAAGGGGAATCCATCGGCCGGCTTACCGATGGCCTCATGCACGCGCTTGCGCAATACATGGTTGCCGCCGAATGCGACTTGGATTTCCTGGGGATAGGCGCCGGCCATGGTTGCAGGCGCGTTGTTGGCGGAGCTGGGGCGGGCGACGGGCTGGCGGTGGATATGTGGTGTTGAGGTTGTCGCGAAAGACACGCGCCATGCCTGATCACATGATTGCTGAATCATCAACTGGACCATCACCACCCACGTGACCCCGCACTGAGCGATATTTGCTGCTCTCTCTCCTGGCAGTATTGCTTGAGCTTTGACTGTATGCCACAGGCGAATTGGACATGCGCCCCCATCTCGACGTGGGGCTGAGGTGCCCAAGTGTGGGCGTCTGCACGTGACTGGAACGGGGTACTATACCTTGGTACTTGCTGGGCGACGCGCGACAACTCCCCGTAAAGCAGGCTCATGTATACAGGACCCGATCGTCGCCCTCAAGATAAGCCTAGCAGCCTGCGATAACCTTAGCGGCACTTCGTATTGCCGTCAACGACTGCCCCAATCTAGACATGGCGTGGCCCGTGCATGTCACACCTCTCATACGCCACACGTCTCGCCTCGGGAACGCAACCACTCCCAGCCCGCCACATCACGTCTCGCATTGCTCAAAAGCCCTGAAGGGGCAGTCTTGGAATCATGACGTTAAAGCGAAAGCTTTCCCAGAAGGCGAAGCAGCCCTATGCCGGTTGTACAGCATTGAGAGCCGCGCCGTCAACAAGCAAGATAGTCCTTGCGCAGCCCTGCTCCAGCGCAGGACATGTCTGAGCATGACAGTTCTGTCGCCTTACCCACACATGCGACCTGATGCTATTCCTTGTCCGCCTGCACACGCAAAATACCTAACGGACGCGTGTCGCCTACACAGAGCTTCAAGACGTTTTGTTCCCGCTAATTCCTCTCTCATCTCCTCAAGAGCGCTCCATTTCTTCATTCCTTCTATTCGGCCCTACTATTCTTACCTTCGATGAGCGAACACGAGTCGCCTTGATTGATTTTAATCCTGTAGTTTGCACGGTACGTCGTTCGCATCGAGACTGAGGAACGGGTTACTCGTCTCGAGGAAGAGCTGGATTACACCGCACCATGAGGAAGCTGGAGTTCAAGATGCCTTCCGTATTGGACAAGGTGTCTGCACCATTCAGACCTAAACCCGTCTTCAACCAGCCCGTCTGCACCGAGAGGAGATATTACGCATCACGGGCCCTCCACAGCATCTCGCTCGTCCTGCTCGTCGTGATAGCCGCCGCTGTCGTTGGTCTCAAGGCCGAGACCATCAACTTCATGGAGGACAACAAGGACACGGGCTTTGAATTCAAGACAGACGACCCTCAGCCCACTATTCTGGCCGCACTACCACGAAACCTCTTCACTGCGCCCGCAAAACTGGCGCTCGTGGCTGCAGCTATCTCACTCACCGTTGGACTTGGGCACGTCGTATTTGTCTTCCTAGACTGGAAGGAGGGCAAGAAGGTAGGCGACTATGGCACCTGTAGAAAGTCAACATTTTGCTAACCAGCATGCAGACGCAAGCATACGCCTTCCGCCGTAACATGATGTTCCTCCACTTTATCAACAGCATCCTCGTCCTCTTCGCCCTCGTCTCCACCTACGTAACCCACAAGTCCTCTTCCCACTTCAACGAACGCTACATCAACTACAAGGCCGACCGAGCTTCATCAGACGACGGCATGCGCTACAACATCGGGACCTTCGACCTGGAGACGTGGTCCTGCGAGCTCAAGATCGTGCCCGGTGCCTTCATGGTCTCAGAAGACTACCGGAAGCAGTGCGCCATCGAGATGGCTGGGCGCGACATGATGATTCCGTTCTTGATCGTCGCTTGGGTGTTATGTGGGCTGAGCATCTGGCAGATGATTGGCTGCAGGCGGGATGCAAATGGCGAGCGTATCAAGACGGAGCAGGTCGAAGTGGAGATGGGGAAGATGAACGCTGTTTGAGTTCAATGCCTGTGGCATAATCGGCGTCAGGTCGGCTTGTTTCCGCTTCTTAGTCGCGCTCAATATTCGGGCAATAGTGTGCCGTGCGTAGGCCCGTATTCCTCTCTAGTACAGGTGCGATGATACCCGGGATTACTTTCGTTAACTACCGTTCTGCGTTTTCCCTTGACTATAGACTTCTTGCTGGCCTCGTCTATGCGTCACGGATGCGCTGGCGGGCATTTTCCCGTATTGTTTTGTTATTTAGAGGTCATTTGGCGTCGCGACAGTTTCCAAGTGTTGGAGTTGTCATGGCGGGTTTGGGTAGATGGGCGGTTTATCCATATTGGCAACACATAGCCCTCATGTAATGACTTTTTCTCATTTTTGCACGTCTACTGTAGACAATCTTATTGCGCTTCCCAAAGCAACGCTACTTTGCGTAGTTTCCAACGGGCTGCGTGTAGAGTGACCTGACAATTTGCAAGACCTTAGTAGTGTGGGTACGCCTTGGGCTCTTCTAGATCGCTAAGAAGCCTAAGCTGCGGCTCCACAACGATAACGTCAGTGCGCGGGTGCGGAGGATCTGCACGGGATTTGCAATCGCATGGGTCCCGAGAATTTGCGGCGCATGAGAAATTGCCGGATTGGAAAAGCTGGGGCTCCTTGAACAAAACCCGCGTCACGCCTTCGAGAATGCGTGGCAGTGGAATTTGTAAATGCTATCCGTATTCGGGGCTGTATGGCGTCTGCCAGGCAAACGAACACCGCTCCTTTAGCGTACGCTTGTGAGTGCGGTGGTGAGGAAGATCGCCAAGGAGCGGGCATGAACAAGCGTCGGCGTGGTAAGGCTGATGCTCATGCAAGGTTCCAAGGTTCCTGTAATTGCTGGGCTATTTGGTCTGTGATTCAGAATCATGTTACTTCCCTTTTTGGATGAGCATCGAGCTTTACTGCGATGGTTGCATGGGACGGCGCCTCGGCTGAGGTCGAGTGAATGTGCACAACCCCTGCCGTCCCAAATTTCCACCAGAACAAGGTATTTGAACTAAGCGCCCACCCCGTTATCTAGAACCTTACGCCCAGGCCTGCCGTACTCGGCGAGTGCCTCCATTTCCTGGGTCCACTCCGGTTCCCCCAAACTTTGCGCATTTTCATTCCAGAGTCCGCGATGGTGGTGCCGGTAGAATGGGTCCGCTTGCTCTTCCATGCGACGTTGAAGCCACGCGGTAGTGTCGTCAGAACCGTTGTAGTAGTCGGAGTCAATGTCAATATCGGAGCCCGTCAAGGGGTGAGGGTCGAAGGTGTGAAGGGATGGTGCCGGTTGGGACGGGAAATAGGCGAGAGACGAGATCTTTGATGGGGAACCAGCCCCACGAGACGGCTTGAAGAACGCCTTTGGATCGAATGGCGGGGAAGTATGGAAGATGGTTGGTTCGTGCGGAGGAATGGCAGCAAGACGCTGGTGAGTATCGGAATGGGATTCTAAGTCAACAGAGGCAGCGGGGACCTGCTGGCTCTCCATTGCCGCGGCACAAGTATCTGAAGTTCCAGATCTCTCGTACGCTGCATCGCTGTCTACCCCTTGAGACCTACAGGCCTTCGTCGCCGTCTTACTGCCCGGGCCTTCTTCCGAATCCAACCACATTGCGTCCGCCAGCTTTGCTGCGAGTTCATCATCAGGCGTAGGGTAATGTCGCGGAGTTTCCAGTCTCTTCTTGGGGATGTGCAGAGCGTAGCCGCGGGAGAGATGTCTTGAAGCCGTTCTGTGATGTTTGTCTTCGTCCCGGTCGAGGAGACGAGAGACAGCATAGGACGCCATAGGTCCGGTGTATACGTAGTTTGGTGGGACAGATATATTCTTTCGAGGGCATAAACGTCAAGTGATATGACGATTGACGGAGTGGCAAGGCGCGTATTTGCTTGGCGGGCTATGGGCGTAAAGGCCCGTGTTGTTGAACTCGTGGGTGATAGAGCTCGAAGCGCAAGCATATTAGGACGTACAGAGGCGCTACGTTGCACGTATACACAGTGAACGAGTGCGACTATACAGATTACCAATGGCGTCGACTGGACGTCTACTGGTCCCGGACTAAAATATAAGGATCTAGAGCAGGGATGCAAGCAATCGAAAAAGATGCGCTTGTGATGAATCATTTTCTTTCACAAAGCCTGCAAATATGAGGAAAACTATGATCCTTTGGACTTATGGATATCGCGTGTCCAACCTGTAGCCTATTTACCACGCTATCAACGCGCTTTTCCTTCTCAGACTGCCCTAAGGATATTTCCACAACGTCGCCTCGAAACACCAAATTAGTTTACCGCCTGTCAAGTACCCAACCTTGACCGTCAAAATCCCTACCTACTAGGTCTTATCCTGGGGGCGGGATTTGGTGGCGCTGCAGGATTGGTTGCTCCATTCGCCCGGATTCTCAGATACTAAGTCCATGGGTTTCTGGCGCTTACGGCGTCCCGGTCTTGCATCATCGAGTAGCTTCTCGTCGTTCCATTCGCGGTCCTCGACTTCGATCCATTCATCTTCGCTAAGTTCTTCGGGAGCGGGTTCTACGTCCATTTCGTCGGCTGGATCTGATTTTTCGAAGGGGTGGATGACTGCGAAGCTCCGGGTATCTTTATTTGGATATTCGCACTGTGCGTTTTGGCTGCCGTTGGCGGTATTTGAGGGTTTCTTGGTAGGAGATGAGTAAGATAGAGTGGGTTCCTAAGGCCCGGTTGCTTCTAGATGGGGCGTGGACGTCAAGTGGTATTGGAAGTATCGGGGGTGATGCAGTATTAGAAAGCTTGGAAGGCAAAAACGGATATGCCTCAATTCTCCGTTTGATTGCTTGGTCCGTTGTGAATGTATAGATTTGGTAGGACGGCATTCCCCTAAAGCGTTACCTGGTTTCCTACATTAATACCTCTCATGACGAGCGAACGCAGCTGAAAGGGACAGAGGTGCTGGACCGAGCGGCTGCCGCCTAGCCATAGCAGCGCGTTCGGATCAAAGACCCCGAATCATCTCAAGAGTGAATAGCAGGGTGTCACTCATGTTTCGCGACTAGACCTGGCAGTGAATGGATAGATCTTAGGTCGTCCCCTCCATATATGAGGATTCCTCTCACCGTCCGTGTTTGCAGCTCGTCTAGCCCACAACCACGAGTCATCGGACAACCATCTCTTCCTCCGGAGACTTAACCCTGCAGAACCTAGACTCCCTCGTCTGGCCAGTCCAACATGTGTTCTAAACAACCGGGATACCTGACTCCCTCTTCTCTTAGCGAAATAGGGGAGCTGTTCGAGATGAACCCAACTGGTAGCACAGACCATGTCCTCAAGCACATGGCCTCGAAGGACGAGTGGGAGACGAAGTATCCTAATCTAAAAGGCGGACAGTTCCGCTTCGTATGGGACTACAACAAGCTCAAGCCGCCGCTCACGAAGCGGCACCTTATTACGCACTCTCCCAAGGCTGCATTCTCTGGGCCCCACACAGCAATCAAGATTCCTCATGGCCCTGACAAGGGATGCTGGCTGCACGTTCCGGTGCGGCTCACGGACGATGAAGCCGCATTCGCTTCGACCGCCATCTCTTGGGTATGGACTGACTTCGCACACTCGGACGGTGGAAAGCCCGGCTTTCTGGCTATAATGAGTGGACGATCCCGCGCACCAAAGCCCTTCTATGCGATTTCGACAGATAGCTGGAAGCTCCTCGGACCGCCTGGTGCGGAATATCCCCTTACCGATTCCGTCGATGCTCCCTTTGCGGGTCCACGAACTGTGCTGTACAATGCCGGCCTGTTTTTCAAAGGCTTGTACATGCACGTCCCGCGGTTCCTGACATCTTCTGAAGTCAAGGTGGCAGAGACGAACCTTCGCTATCTGTGTAACCGTCGATGGGAGTGGGGAAAGGAAAATGAGGTGCGGCAGAAACTGCACAAGAACCGACAAAAGACTGAGGAGGCAATCGTCTTTCTTCAGCAGCAGAAAAAGGCTGTCAAGTTTCTCGAGAAGGACATTTTCCTCGATTTCTCGGCTCAAGATCGAGAGACAGACACGACATCCGGCTTGGCGCTTCTTTGGTGCATGGAGCCGGATCTGTTGACCGAGTATGAGGACCTTGCTTCAGTGGCCTCATCCCATCCAAGTGAGGACGACCTTGACCTCCGACACGTCGAAGTCGATTCTGAGGAGGAAGCTGACGCACGCGCTACTTATAAGCGCCGCAGCGAGTTCTTGAAAGACATGGAGCGGAAGGGTAAGACGAAACCACTCTACGACCCTGTAACTGGGAAGCCCAATGACTGGATCTACCGAGATCCACAGGGGAGTAGGTATTCTGGCTCGACGGTATCCTCAAATGTAACAGAGATCATCGATGGCGGATCCTGGCCGTCTCCTCCGGCATTTCTTCTTGGAAACCAAAATCATATGACCGCTGATGTACGTAAAGAGGAAGAGGGCAGCAAAGAATATCCTGCGGAAGACCAGCAGCGGCCTGAAGAAGACGGAAGTGAGCACACGAATTCTGATCTCGACTTTCCTACTCCAGATGCTTTAGGGGAGATTTTAAGGCCTCCTGGATCTGAGCCTGAGGGCAGCTTTCAAGTAGTGAACATTGATCCCGGTCCCGGTCCTGGGGTGTCACAACCCAAGCGGCCTCCGTCAACAACTACGAAGCTGGACGAGGTCTCCGAAGAGGTGAGGCCCACTTTCAATTACTCGGGTGCTGAACTCCAAGAGCTTCTCGAAGCCGCTAAGCTAGAGATAAGCGAGGAGGATGAAGCATCGAGCGAGCGGTCTGAAGAATCGGTTGAGACTCGATCTGTAGAAGCAGCCACTCGGCCCTCAAACAATATCCAGGATAAGCGGATGTGTGACGTGGGGGAGGCTCCCAATCACGCGCGAGAGCCCTCCAATCAGATTGTTGAAAAGTCGTCGGACCCTTTAGAAGCGCGTCATGCACTTGAGGAGAACGATGCATCCATAAACGAACGCTGGGAAGATTTGGGCAAGGAATACGAAGAAGATTCAACTATGAATACACCTAAAGAACCTCAAGAAGCCTCAACTGAAGAAACGGATGAGGACTCGCCGCTCGAAGCTGAGGATGATATCTGCGACGACCCGCATTTCGAAGCACACCGCGCCCGAGAACTCAAAAGACTGTCAGGTGTGATAGGCGTCGAGGCGACAGAAGAATGCAAGCCGATTACAACCGTCGAACAAGCAGTCGAGGGTCAGCAGTCCTTAGAAGCTGAGCTGGAAGAAGCTGAGATGCTTGAAGCCCAGCCAAAGGAATACGAAGAGGATACATCTGGGGGTAGCAAAGGCGCTGACGCGCATGAGCCCCATATTAGCAAAAAGAATGACGGGGATGCTCCAATGGATGCGGAAGCGGTGGAGCTTGGCGATGAAGACAAAGACCGGCAGTCTTCGCCCGCTGTCATTGAAGATAACGAGAACCCGGAATCTCACGCCCGCGAAGAGGGCAATGAGGAAAATGCTCTGGTGGATGTAGAAGTTGTCGAGCGTAGCAATGAAGACAATCAGCCCTCACAAGCCAGTGTTGAATACGGGGAGACCTCGGAACCCTATGTCTATAGGGAGCACGAGGAGGGCGAGGACGAGGCTTCGCCGCCTTCTCTCCAAGGCACGAAACGTAAAGGCGATAATAGCCTACCACTTCCATCGCCACGGCGGATCAAAGGGCACACTCAGCACGTCGCGGACTCACCGACTAGTCCTGAAGATAACAAGACCCCAGAACCTCACGTTGGGGAAGACCAAGATTCCTCGGCAGTTGATGAAGCCATGACGGCAGCAGAGCAAGCGAAAACACGACGCCGCAATCGTCTGCTTGCGGCCATGACCACGGCGACCGCAGCGCTGGGGTGGTACGCGTGGCGCCTTTACTGGGAGAATGACACAACTACCGACAATGTGGTCATCTATCCTGATGAATGGGGTCCAGACGTCGTCCTCTCCAGAGGAGAAGAGCGCCAGCTCGTAGCGGAAGTCTTGTCACAAGACTATGCCCTCCTGGCGTGGGTTATCGACGACGACCTGCGGACTGCCACCGCCCTTATAGCGGGCCATACCTTCGTGACCTTGTTACGTGGAGGAGGCTTCTGGCCGTGGTCGCGCCTGCTGAAGCCGATTCTCAGGACTCTCTTCCGGCTCGTCGTTGGGATCCGCGCGATCCTGTGGACTTGCGGTCGTCAGGGTGCGATGGCGGCATCTCTCCGTGTGCTGGGCACCATTCTCGCAAATGCCTTGCTGGCAATTCCTTGCTACTTGGGCGCCCAAATCGTCTCCACGTGGTGCCGTAGCCAGGAGCACCTCGGCTCTCTTATCGGCGCATTTGGCTTAGACTATGAGCCGTATCTGCAGACCTGGATCGGACTGAGCATCGTGCTCTTCGTAGTAGTGATGTGGACTGCGGCGACGATAAGCGGTCCTCAGAACGCTGGCGAAAATGGGGGTTGGACGCGACGCATCGAATCGTGCGTTACACTCGTTTTTCTCGGAGCGGGCGTGGTCTTGGGGTATAGGCACTCCGACGCATAGACGCGCGAGTCTGTTGGGGGTTGGAGCGGGGACAGTTGATGCGTTTCCGGATGAGGTGTTCATGCTCGCGCTAAAAGGTTGCCGAGGCGGCCGGCGATGCTTGGCGTGGTGTTGAACACAATCCATATAGAGGGGGGTCGAACTTAAAAAGGCAGAAATACACCATCCATTGACGTGCATTGCAATCGCTTAGGGCTCGCAAAACGCAAGTTCAGAAAGGACATGCTAAACGAAGTTTTCGCGTCTTCCGGAGAGTGGCCCGTTGAGATTGGGTGGCTGGATTTGGGCTGCGCCTCTGGCGTCATCCACTTCTTCAGAGTGGTGATAGAGTTTGCCTTGTGCAATGTGCAGTGCGTTGCCCGCCATCTTTTGTTGGTCTTCATCCAGTCCAGTCTGCAGCAAACGAGCTGCAAAACGCAGGTACCTCTCGGCCCTCTCTGGAAGACAAGACGCAAGCACATGGTCCAATTTCCTTCCATACTCATGGACCCGGCCGTCGTCATTCGACATCAGGAGATGGCCCGGCGGCCCGGCAGCTATTTTACTATTTTTACTCCTGCGACTGATTCCAGTTATCCGGGCGCAGCACTACCTAGCCCGCCATGTGCAGATCCCGTAGGTAAGATAACGCAATGGGGTCAGCGCGGACGCCGCAGAGCGGAGCAAAGAGGGGGAACTGCGGAATACGCAAAGTGTATCGCACCGAAACACTTCGCAGAAGGCGAGCTATGCAACTAAAAACAACTAACAAAACCTTATGCAACTCATCGTCTCGCATGCCGCCTTTGCAAATGGTCATCGCCGCGCGCAGTATATGTACTCCCGCGCGCGCAGCCTTGGTACCGTACCAGTCGCTGCAATTCACTCTCGCACTACACCTGTCGCCCGGTCGAACTGACTGCAAACCCGCAGATCGGTCCCAAAAGCCCACCGACCTGCCGCCCTCGCGTATGCAATACTGTAAGAAAATCAGCACCGCAAACAGCAGCCGCTAGGCGCGCAGCCAGCCCGATCGGATCTGTTGTGCCACTTCGGCTCTTATGCACCTTCGGCTCCCCCCACAATTTGCCGAAACGCCAAACGCGGTGTATCACGTCCGGATACGAGCCAGACACACGCACGCACAAACTCAGGCCTCAGCGCGAGCGCTGAGATGAGGAAGGGGGCGCTTTTGCTGCGGCCTGCGGCTCTACTCACCCCAGCACCGATAGTGCCAGGTTTCGGCTGTGTCATTTTCTGAGCAGAGACGTGGATTGTCGGTGCTTCGCCTTCCTTTCTCTCCGTCTTTTGCTGTGCAGCGCGGTGCAATCGCGGTTTCCTGCGTCTTACAATCTGTGCTGCGGAAGCCGTTCGGTGCTGAGCTTGTTGCTGCATCATGTCTGCTGCCATCGAGCTTACCTTTCAATAATTTCTAATATCCAAGTACTTTGTTCTCTCCTTGTACTCTCTCATAACTGGCCGCATAATCGTTCCCAGAGCCCTACCTACATCTGTCGCTTCAGCTGCGTAGTTTGCGCGCGCCCCATCGCCAACCATGGCGCCCTTATCCCCACGAGACTCTATTGAGTCATTCAATTTCGCCGTTGAGCATAACGACCACACGCCGAGAGAATCGAACGAGGTAATCGCGGACATAATAACAGACCTCTTACTCGCCGACGAGAACCAACTCTCGCGCCCAACCTCGCATCACCGCAACAGCAGCGTCTACTCCTTCGAGCCTCTCCAGCAGTCTGATCTCGACCGAATACGACGCGCTTCGTATGGTAGCGCACTCGTGGAACCCGATGGGCCGTACGAGATGGTAGACCTAGGGGAAGGAAGAAACTCACATGGCTTCGTTGCCGACCCGGTGGACTCGTTAAGAGCGTCGAAGCATTCCTCGTTCTCGATGAAAGATCGTAGCCCCATGGCGGATTCGGCCGTTGCTTTATTTCCCAAGTCAAAGCGCGCGAGCACCATGTCCCAACTACAGCGTGACGAGCCTCCCTCATACGAGCAGCATCCGCCTCCTCAGTCCCCAGGAGATGGTGGACCACCAGGTTCGTCAGAACCGACATCCTATCCTTCCGCAGCGAAAACTGCCGTCATCATGTTCTCGCTTTATATCTCAATCTTTCTCGTCGCGCTCGACCGCACCATCATCGGACCCGCTATCCCGGAAATAACGAATAAATTCCACTCTTTGGATGATGTAGGATGGTACGGATCGGCATACATGCTTACCTCTTGCGGCTTTATCTTGCTGTATGGTCGTGTGTATACCTTCTTTCCCACCAAGACTGTCTTCCTCTCCGGCATTTTCATGTTTGAAGCCGGAAGTGCAGTATGCGGGGCCGCGACCTCCTCCCTCATGTTGATCATCGGTCGAGCCATTGCGGGCTTCGGAAGCAGTGGCATATTCACGGGTGCGATCCTGATCATGCTCAACACCGTCCCACTCCACAAGCGTCCAATGCTGCAAGGTCTTTTTGGTGCATGCTTTGGCGTCGCATCAGTGACCGGTCCGCTGCTTGGAGGCGCGTTTACCGGTTCGGCCGCAACCTGGCGCTGGTGCTTCTACATCAACCTGCCACTAGGAGGAATTACGATTTTGGTAGTCGTCCTGCTGCTGCACTTGGAGGAGCACAAGCCCCGAATGGAGACGTGGATGGAGACCATCAAACATCTCGATCCGGTTGGCACCGTACTCTTCCTTCCTGCGATTACGTGCCTGCTCCTTGCACTGGAATGGGGCGCCGCGGAATATCCGTGGAGCGACCCTCGAATCATCGCGCTTCTGACGGCATTTGCGGTGCTCTTCATGGCTTTCATAGCGTGGCAGTATTTCACGCGAAAAACGACAGCGACAGTCCCAGCACGAATTCTCTTCCAACGGAGTGTCGCATTCGGAGGCTTGTCTCAATTCTGCGTCGGTGCGACGATGCTGACGGTGTCGATGTACGTCCCTCTGTGGTTCCAAGCCATCAAGGAAGTCAGCGCCATGAAGAGCGGTATCGACATGATTCCGCTCGTCCTATCCGTCGTCGTGGGCTCAATCTCATCTGGCGCGCTCGTGCAGCGCGTAGGTTACTACACGCCGTTTATGATAGTCGGGTCCTGTCTTATGGCTGTCGGTGCCGGACTGATTACCACGTGGAACATGGGAACCAAGAGCGGCGAGTGGATCGGATTCCAAGTCATCCTCGGTCTCGGTGTAGGCTGGACGATGCAGCACCCTAATCTTGCAGTCCAGATCGTGCTGGCAAAGCAGGACGTTCCAACCGGCACCGCACTGCTCTCGCTCTGCCAAACACTAGGCGGAGCGGTGTTTGTCGCAGTCGGACAGAACGTCTTCATCGACAAGTTCACCAGCGGCCTCGAGCAAATCCACGGCATCAATCCGGAGAAGTTGGCTAGCGCGGGCGCAACACAGTTGAAGAATCTGGTTCCCGCGCAGTTCCAGCACCGAGTCCTCGAAGCCTACAACAACAGCCTTACTCAGGGCGTCTTTTTCGCAGCCATGATAGTCGCCTGTTTAGCACTACCTGGTGCTTTAGGTATGGAGTGGCGCAGCGTGAAGGAGAATCAGCAGCCACCTCAGAGGCGCGTGGCGGAGGATGATGTAGAAAAATTGGGGCCGGAAGCTATCAGGCAACCACTGCGACCTGATGCTGACAGGAAGGAGGAGCCGGAGAGGTCAGACACTCCCGAGCTCGAGTCCCTGGCTCCGCCCGTTCCTGCGTGGAGAAAGATCTATCGATCCAGCGGGCAGTTTTCGCAATGGATGACTGCGAGGGTGAACCCGGACCTGAGGGACGAGTTAGACAGGGCGAGATGAGGGGCCGACCAATGATGCCGCCCTTCCGGAACAGGCTGTACTTGGTTTAGATGCTGCTTCTAACAGCGTACGTTCCCGTGCGCATGTACTGTATAGTAACGCTGGGTGTGGGATTGCATAGCAGGCTTGGTGTTCGGCGTCTAGACTTGACGAATTCTTCGCAACGTATCCGCTGCATTACCGTTAATTTCATTAATATCGTAAAACGCTTCCCCGCAATGTTGCATAGAGGAGTTTGTGTTCCCTCAGTTCTTTGAACGGGGAAATGCGCCGTCGTCACATGACCTGCTCATATTTCCTGCGAGATCTAGACTGCTACGTACCGAGGGAAATGCCTCGGGTCTCGGGGTCGCGGATAGCGGCCATGCTCAACTTATGTAAGGCATCCAAACGCGCCTGGTGCGCCCAAATTCGCGTCGAGATAAGCAAGCTCCGGCGGGTATCAAGCTCCCCAAGAGATTAAATTGTAATTGGCATGATCCACGGGCGCCACCTACGAATGGCGGAATTCTCGCATTGCAGGCGTTCCGCTTAACGAATGTGGGCGCGCATACCGGCCGCCCGTACGGCTGCGCCGGGTGCAAACAACTGGCTGCCGAAGCCTGAAGCCTTTGGAAGCCCATGCAAGGCTGCATGGGCTGAAAATAGTAGGCCGGGGCTGGCTGTCTCAGGTTTATCCTGCTAACGCGAGATGTCAGAAGGCGCAGCCGTCCCGCACTAGCGCGACAAGTCGCCAATGGCTGAGTCTTGGGTGGGGGATGACATGCGAATTGCAAGTGCTTGCTAGTCGTCCGTTTGCCAAATGCGGTATTCCCCAAGCACATCTGCGAGAAACAAGACGTCGGATCGCTGATTTCTGACCGCGAATAAGACTTCGCCACACCCGCGGAGTGCCCTCAGTGGAGGACGACAAGACGCCACGGGAGTGCCTGACTCGCTAATCGAGAGTCCCACCCAACGCGCCTTCACAGTAAAAGGCAGTTGGGAGAAGATCACTCAGCAGTACGATGTCAAAGTGGAGTCCTGTGCCGCAGCTGTCGCAGCGCAGCGCTTCCTATCTGCTTTTTTGCGGTTCCCCGCAGGGTCGCCCAGGGTTGCAGAATCCTCTACTGCACCCTGGGGCGGCTTCCCGAGGGAACGTTCAGCAAATAGCGCGGAATTCGTGGGCTGAGGTTCGCTGTCGTGAGAGCCATGTCGGAGCAATCCCGGTGCTGATCCGCTCAGGCCATGCGGCGCCAGGCCTGACGTTGCACAACAGATACCAGGTCGAGATTAGGTGTCGGGTCGGAACAGGAATAGAGTTGCACAGCTCCGTAGTGTCGGGGGTGGGTGCCGGAGCATAACTTTAGGTACTCGATCTCAAGACAGTTCTTATAAGGCTCTCTGAAGCAGGTCAGAATTATTCTTCAGCCACCTCGCTCGACTCACTCACCATTCATTATTGTTCTACTACCCAGTCTGTGCTATTCCCTTTCCATAAACGCCTGACAAACTCGGAAGCCATGGCCCCCAGCAGCCTCCATGTCGTTGTCAGTGTAGCCTTTCAGGATGCCGGAGACACAACGCGCGCCATTGCGATGGCGGCCGCGTTGCGAGATCTTTGCCCGCCAAACATCGACCTCAAGATGAACTTCTTGTCGTGCGGGTCCCGCTTCGAATACCAGATCAAAGACGCTGGCTTCAACATCGTGCCGGCGCAGCCCCGCGTTAAAGGGATCTCGGTCGCGCACGATCTCGGATGGGACTTCCCGGAATTCTTCGGATCGCCAGAGATTGCGAAAACCTTCATTGATGGCCAGCTCGCCGCGTTCAAAGAACTGAAGCCGGACGTCGTCTTCCACGGCATGTGGGCGCCTGCCTCCCTCGCAGCGCGCATCTTGGGCATCCGCACCATCAACTTCCTTCCGGTCCCACTGCACCCTGGCTCTTTTGCCCATGGTCTGATTCGCGATCTCCCAGACATGATGCCGCTCTTCACACGTCTGCCGCGGCCAATGAGACAAAAGCTGGCGTGGTGGGGCAGCGGCCTCATGCTCAAGGCGCCCATCTTCCGCCAACAGCGTTTGGGGGCTGCGGCTAAGGCTTGCGGCTGGCCGATCGAGGGCCCAATTTCCCTCTTCGACATGAACATGGCGGACCTCAACCTAGTCAATGATCATCCTATTTTCCACGCCGACTATGCGAAGAATCTTCCTGAGAATATTGTCATCACCGGTCCGTTGTTCGCAGGAAATGACAAGAAGCTGGATGAAGACATTGCAGCCCACATGAAGCGTGGACCTGGCCCGGCTGTTTTCGTGTCGATGGGGAGCTCAGGCACGGAGGAGTTCCTTTTCGAAGCCATTAAGGCGTTGAAGATGAACAAAGCCGACGACTGGAACGCAGTTATTCTCGCGTCACCCTCCGTCTGTTCCATGGATAGAGCTCGGGCATGCGCGGGCGACGACCCTCGACTTCTCGTGACGGATCGTTTCATTCCGGCTCCCGCAGCGACCGCACTCGCAGACGTCGCCATCATCCACGGCGGCCAGGGTACCGTGCAGACTGCTGTCGCTGGTGGGAAGCCGATTGTGGGTGTCGCTCTGCAGATTGAGCAGCAGACCAATCTGGACAACGTCATGGACGCTGGGGCCGGAATTCGCGTCCAGAGGCAGTTCTGGAAGGCAAAGAACATCCGCAACGCAGTCCTCACCGTGCTGAACGACCCAAGCTACACGGCGAAGGCGAGGATGTTGGGCGATACACTGAACAACATGGACGGCGCAAAGACGGCGGCCGAGGTTATGTGGAACTTCATCCTCGAAGAGCGGAGCGAGAAGGCCAAAGCGTGAGATATATCGGAAGAGAGGAGAACGGTGAGATGACGAAGCTTTCTTGCTGTTCCGGTGTAGAAGGACTCGGGGATGCAGCATTGGTCCCGGGCTGCTCGGCGTTCGGTAGCGTAATTTTTCGGGTGGGGCTTTTTGGATATCCTTGGAGGTCATGCTCCGCGCACGATCGGTTTGATAGAAGACATGAATCGCATTGAACGGCCTTGCAGTGCACTCCAATGGCTCCTTGTTGGATCGTGTGATGTTGGAAGAAAAGGATGGGATGGAGTGGCGGTTGAGGCGCGCGGAAGGTGTGGCAGGTGGACCGTGCGCGCCTACCGATTTGGTCTGCGTCACCATCTCGACTCTGAACGCACTCGAGCTGGTTGCAGTTAGGAAATCCATCTTCTCGTGGCTCCGGCCCGCCCTGGTTAAATAGTTGCGATAGTACACGCAGCCAGTCTTCGAGCGGGCCGGGTTCGCATGTGCAGGCCGCCGGTGGACGGTGAAGCTAAATATGAAAGACACTGCCGGATCTCCCTCGGAACGACTAATACATGTCCGGTTCAATGGGGGTCATAGTCGCCATCCGTGCGCCGGAATCCCTCTTTCTGGGTCGATGTTGTTAAGAGGGGCCGGCATTGCTTAGTAGACGGTTCGTCCTGAACTCCAACGAGCTCGTCCCATGCATTGCCACGACTTGGTCTTCATGCAAAGCTGACACCATGCATAGGGGACCTCACCTGGAAGGATCTTCCATCATGGCCCATGCCACCATCTCCAAATCTCCGCGGACTCCAGACTGAACATGTCCCACGGTCCTTGGCCCTATTCTCATGGACAACTGCCCGCTGAAAAGATGCTCTTCGGCTGAGGTGGAACTTTGCTTCACTTGCGGGGAAGCAGGAATTGCCCATGCCAGGATCTAGGCTCGGAAGTGCGGAAGGAAAGCCCTTATGATGTTACCAATAGTCTGACCCGGTGCAGATTGCAGTGACTCTGTTTATCAGTGGTTCTACTGGCCACCCAAAGGGTGAAGCTCATCCACGTGAACTTAAGAACGATGGCTGTGACAGCGCAGTACTACTTCGAGCCGGAGATGCCTAGGCTGCTACCGCATAGCGAATGGGCATACGATGCATCGCTACTACAATTCTCTTCGCAATAACATCCCGGCGGGATGCTCATTCAAACGAGGCTTGTCCGTCATGACCGCGCCAATGAAGCACGAGCCCATCGCCGTCACGATCACTGTTCCTTTTGGCTACCTTCTGTGGGTGCTGTGCGGCTCTGCGACGCTGAGAAAATGCTCGTAGGCACCCAGATCGAAGCTTCGAGCTTACCATCAGCGTGTCCGATGATGTCTATGTAGGCAGAATTGATGGCACACTTCTACGAAACCCTCTAACTCAAGGTAAGGAGTATTTATATAGACAGTCCTCATCATGGGGGTATCCACCCCATCACCGCTATTGGCCACCGCCTCCGCCACACCCGATCCCCATCCCTCAAAATCTCCAAATACGAACCAGCACATGCCTCGTCCAGTCTTTCATGGACCAAAAGCCTTACATATCGTTCATCAAGATAGCAAAATGCGCGTAAAGAACCAGAGGGAAGGGATCATGTCGTTGCCTGGGTTCCAGAAAGTTGTCCTTCATTCATTTTGAAACCGCAGGACGATGATATGGTTCTCAATCGACGCCACCATACCGGTTGCCGGAGCATTCTATAACGATATCGAGAGCGTGAAACTCGGGTTAGATTCGAGGGAACGCTCGCATAATGGATGTAGACTCAAAGGTCTGCGGGCAGTCTAATGAATCCTGGAGGCGTGCTCGGCTTTCAGGATCAATGGCCATGGTGAGGAGAAAGATGGAGCGGTGGAACTCCAGGAAAGCACGCAGGGGTGTGGGCGTGCCGCACAGCGTGGAGGAAGGCGTGGTACGAGAATTACATAGAGCAAGCAGGAGGGGGGCCTGCCTTTATACGAGGAGCTGTTAGGGGCGGTCAGAGATTGAGGATGAGCAGTTCTTCTTCCTATACACATAACAGAGGAAATACGTGGTTGAAGATGACTGAAAGCAGAAGTTACGATTTCTTGAATCCATGTCTTCGAGCCAGGAGCAAAGTTCCACCCGTCGCGTCAGCGGACCAGCGGAAGTTTCTGGATCATATCTCGTGACACTTATAGGATGGAGGAGTCTCGCAATCACCCTCCCGCTCAGCTCGCTGCCTCATTGCACAGCGGCGGCCCACTTCCACTTCTGTGAGCGAACATGTCATGAGGAAAGCCGTCTTCATGCCCGGGAAATATATATAGGTTTAGTAGTCAATGAAGACTAGCGGCTCTCAGTCATGTGCCCACCCGGAAGCGCTGTAAGCCCTGGCAGTTCGGTCAGTCCGCCATGCCCTGAGAAAGGAATGTAACACTTACAATCATCCACTCCGATATTTTCGTTGACCGTCGGCTTCAGTCCCGCGCACTTGTTCATGGCCGTAATATCCTGGGTCTTTCCACCACAGCTACTAGCATAGCAGCTCGTGTCCTACCAAAAGGTCAGCAAGTCATGGTATATACATCGTCGGCGTCATACCAGGATGTTCTGCAGCGCCTGATCCTTCCATCCAAACACGTAATCGCCATGATTGGCGTAGCCAGAAGCATCTCCAAACGACCAGACAAAGGGTTGCGAACCATCTTCAGGCCAGTCATCCTTGCTGTTGAACTTGGATGTATCCCAGATGACTTCGTACATCACTTGGGCCGTACGGACCGGATGGGTTGCCGGGCATGGGCCGGCCGATTCGAAGGTGCCGGTTTCTGGATAACTAGGATACGTCAAAATCATCTTTTCTTGTTTTCCCCCTTTTGCGCTGCGATGAAATTATACTTACCTCATGTGTGCCATGTGGTCCGGAGAGTCTAGATTGACGCCGTCCCAGCAGGTCGGAAAGCGAACGCTTGTCATGATGCCATACCTGCACGGTTTCTGCGGGAAAGCAACTGTTTCGTGCTCTCGGCTCCCAGCGTTACTCATGCACGTGTACGTCAGTTGGCGGAACTTGGCAGCTTCGTCTTTCGTGCGGGCGTTAACATTGCCGACGAACATGCGGAAGCCCTGATTGCATCGAAAGATTAGCGTCTATCGACGTCTCTTTCGTCTTCGCTAGCTTCTCTTTGGAGATTTTCAAGGCGTAATGAATGTCAGAGAAATACGGTGTACGCACCGGCTGGAATGCTTTCACCTTGCTCTTCTGCGCTGTATCATAAAGCGGGTCTTGCATATAGTAGACCGTCATTCCGCCACCTGTCGCTCCCTCAAAGCCCGCATTACTCCTTTGTGGCACTCTTTGGTAGGTCCCGTTCCGTGCTCGGAAATACAACACCGCCGTCCAATAGTTGCTGAGCAAGGTTAACTACTGGCTTAGTTCTCGCCGAGGGAGCAATTGCCACCGTACCTAAAATCTTCGGAGAACTGGCAGGTTGTGCAGGTGCTCTCGCCGGGCATGTCTTTCGAGGGCGACATCGTGGCGTTGAAGGAGTTCTGTGGGTTGTTACTAGGGCCGAATCTGGAAGTAGAAAGAAAGGAGTCCATACTCCACCCACGATCTGGTGAACATGGGGGGAAGGGACTTCCCCGGGCGTGACGAGTGGGTCGAGTCGTTCTACCACCAGCTGGCTACACTGGAAGCGGATTAGAGCGGAAATGGGGGTTGGGAGCGCGAGGAGCGCAACGGGAGCGGAGGTAATCCAGCGCATCTTGAGGGGGTCCCTATGACGCTGGAGGAAACTTGACAGATGAGGGACTAGAATAGTTCGAGAGCGTTGAGGACGACACGCATAGCGGTCTACGAAGGATGGCAGGGAAGTAATAGGAACCCATGCCAAGCTAGATACTCGAACCTTCAAGTGCCGAATCGACTTTGAGTCCGGCCGGCCGTGGCATGGTTGCTTCAATTGGCGGTAATGGAAGTGTGGATCAACGGTAATGTAGATTGGAATCGTGATAAGAGTGATGAAAGCAACCAGGGGTCATCTGCCCAACCTCAACTATTAAACCAGGTATTCTGGCTTCCAGAATGGTAGTAAGTCCTGGAGAAAGTCTGGGTGGGTGATGTGGAGGCTGTCGGCGGGACCTCGTCTACATCCTAGCTTGGCGGCGGAGAACAGGCAAATCATCGTCCTCGCTTAATTTGCATCCATCTATGGGTATTGCCCGGCACTTCTGCTTTCCAGTCTACAGCAGTGGAAGTAAAAGCGCCGCAGGGAGGATACCCGGTCGCCGCAGTGGGGAGGCGCGGATGTAAAGTGCCGAGGAAGAGGCCTTGCCCACTCTGAGATGAACTTGATAAGTGGAGTCCAAGGCTCTTCGATGGCCTCAATGTCGCGTACGTCCAAGCGAAAGATAAGTCGAAATGAAGCATATGTAGCTCCGGAAGCCGGATGCTAGCCAGGAGACACGTGACGCGTGGAACGTCTGCTTCGCTATAAGCATCTCGACCTAGTACCAACATTTCTGCGCACACCTAGCCACCATGCCTTCTATAACGAGCCTTTTCACGCTGTGCATTTTGCTCGCCGCCACAAACGCGCTACCATCTTCGTTCGCCGCCAACACAACGAACCTGTGCCCAACCGATACCGAATACGCGTGTTTCGACGTGATCAACTCATCGCTCTGCTTGTCGCAGAATGCTGCAAAAGGAACGGCGGAGCAAATGGCTGCATGCGTGGACTACCCGGGTGGAATGAGCGATTTGCCAGGAGCTTCAAAGGTGGGCAACTCCAGCCGAGCATTTGCGAGAAGTAAGAGGCTGACGGAGCAGCTGTGCCGATGTCCTGGCTGCCACGCGACGACGATTAATGATGCCATTGCGAAGCTGTTCCCGCCGCCGTGCAGTTAGGTCGGCGCGGGAGTCGATTAGGGCAAGGCGGCCGGCTAGCTGCGGGTTGGAGTGATGGGGCGTTAGTTCGGCTACTGTCCAGCAAAAGGAGGCTTCATTGTGCGCGGCTGCTTGGCCTGGGCGGTGCGGTGGGAAGTTGTTGACAGACTGCTTCGAAATGCGACCGGGTTGGGCTCATGACATGTGTGGCTGTGTGGCTGTCTGACTAATCATGCACGTGCGCTGCAATGTGCCGAGGTCAACGCCCCCGATTGGCGGCATCCTTAGTGCTGACTTGACCGCGACAATTTGCCCCCTCGCATCACCTCCCCTTCCCGCCGCTGCCATTTCCATCGTTCCCTCCGCACAACTGAACAGGCGCAGGAAACAGCTGCACTTCTTCTACACTATGAGCATGAACATCAGCGTGAAATGGATTATAGAACGCCCCGATGGGAAGGCGTTCCCTGCGTCGTCGCCATTGGTCCCAGGTGTCAGACCGCGCCGCGCCCACACGAAGTCCAGACGAGGATGCGATGCATGCAAACGAAGGAGGAAGAAGGTTAGCTACCAAGCTTTTCGTCTGCCTTGCTCGCTAACCGATGAAGTGTGACGAATCTCTTCCAATTTGCGGGCAATGCCAGCACTTCAAAACTGCCTGTGATTACCACTCCGCGACCCACTGGCGCCCGGAAAACGCAGGGGTTCTATCATGCGGCCGCTCGCAGTTCGCAATGTCGCGACAGTCTGCCAGAGTCGACGTCCTTGGAGTTTTGGAGGCCGACGAGCGGCAATTCTCGGCGGGCAAACTGCGCATCAAGTCTATCGATGTCTTACAGCTCCTCGACCACTTTGTGAACGACCACTCTCCATGGATGGGATCACCGGATTACCAAAATGTCATACAGAAACACGGAGTCAAACTCGGATTGGGAGCCCCGCACTTCCTGCATGCGATTTTGGCCTATTCGGCAGGTCATCTCGACTACTTGCGTTCGGACCCAAAGCTCAGGATTACCACAGTCCACCATTGCAGTCGACTCCTAGCTTTATATGCTGCGCAGATCCCCCATGCGAGCACCGAGAATGTAACCCAACTGTTCGGTTCCTGCACTCTGCTCACAATGCTGTCATACCTGGGCGTCGCTTATGATAACCCGGACCCAGACTGCAAGCCAGAAGAGCACCAGTGTGATTGGAATGCGTTCAGATCCTTGCAAGGCGTCCGCCTCCTGCAAGGCGTGCCCGCCCTCCGTGCTCATCTTAGGCAGAGTGTCTGGCTACCGGTGTTGCAGGAATCCGGACCGTGGGAGGGAGATGACTGGGCGAGTCCTGTGGCCAGCTGTCAAGCGACGTGGTCGTCAAGAACAATGGAAGAGCTGTGCGCAGTTTGCGGCGTATCGCCGGACCTACGGGATACCGACAGCCCATACCTGGATCCATTGAGACGCCTGAACAGGATTATCCATCAAAGAATGGACGAAGCTATGATTGGCCCGCTCATGCAATTCGTCGCCACGCTATCTCCGGCTTATATGGACGCTGCTGAGCAACTTGATCCCAAGGCTTTCATCATCCTCTGTTACTGGCATGCTCTCCTCCTCAAAGTGGGCCAGTGGTGGATTGTTCGAACCGCAACTGGTGCTTGCCGCAGAACCTGTGCGTACCTTTGGGAGGTTGGTGGAGATGACATTCGACGACTGCTACAGTTTCCGGCCGCGCAGTGCGGCCTGAATCTGGCATCGCTAGGGTGATTTGAAATGCTCCAGCGGTCAACGTCACACAGTTGCAAACGGCATCCTGACACCCTGGGCCGAAGAAGGGCGAATTTGGACCTGCAGTCGTGAAGCCCTAGGCCCTCTTCGTTGCTGGGCTGACGGGATGCGACTTTTCACTGCCCGCTAGTCGATTCCGGGAACGTATTCGGCACCAACTGCCGGAGAATGCTGACGTGGGCACTAGCCATGGCTTTAATCCCGAAAAGGTTGCGTATTCGCTCCGCCCTTCCAAGCTTCCATTACTACTCTCCTGGGCTCAGTGACGAAAGTACGACTCTATCGCTGTTTCGAATTCCAGAATTGGCGATACGCAGATGGCGTCCTATCCAGCGTTCCTATTTTTCTCGAGGCTAAGGTTAAGGAGGTGTTCCAATGTTATCAAAGCATCCTCAGTACTGCCTTAGTCGCGCCAGTACTTAGGCCACTCGTTCCACCCGATCCTGATGCCGCACAACCCTCCACTCTTGCAGGAAATTTGAACATCGACAATGCCTCGCGTCTTCTTCATCACAGGTACAAGCCGTGGCCTCGGCCATGCTTTAGCCCAAGTCCTGCTTGACGCCGGCGAGTACGTCGTCGCGACCGCTCGCAACCCAGCCACCCTCTCCTTCCGTGGAACCACGCCTGCCAACTACCTCCCCCTCAAGCTCGACGTTACGTCCACCCCTGATATCGAAGTCGCATTCACTTCCACACTTGAAAAATTCAAGCGCATCGACGTCGTCATTAACAATGCTGCATTCGGCCTCGTCGGTCCCCTGGAAACTCTCACCGACGCCCAGATCCGCCAACAGTTCGACACCAACTTCTTCCCCGTTGCCACCATCACACGCAAGGCAATGGGGGTCATGCGCACGCAGTCGCCGCCCGGAGGCGTGATAATGCAAGTCTCAAGCGTGGGCACGCTGGTCGGTTTCCCTATGCTGAGCGCCATGTGCGCGAGCAAGTGGGCAATAGAAGGCTTCACGGAGGCCGTGAGACAAGAAATGAAGCCAGAATGGGGCATCAAGCTGGTGTCCGTAAAGCCGGACACCCTCGACACGGATGCGCATACCAAGAGCATGGTGTATGGAGAAGTAGTGGTGCCGCAGTACGCCCATATGGATGGGAGGGCATTTGTAAAGAGTCTTATGGAGATGCCGGCTGTTGATGCGGCGAAGGCGGCAAAGGCCATGTATGCGTTGTCGAAGATGGAGGACCCGCCGATGAATGCGATTCTTGGGGATAATGTGCGCAAGATTGCGAGGGACAAGATGAAGAGGGATGAAGAATTGTTGGACAGGGATGATCTTGTTGGGCTTGTGAAACGCAATGACTAGTACTGGAAGAGTGGGATGTGGGTATGTCTCTATCTAGACACCGAAGTCACGCTGCTGCCGTCTTACAGGTCTGCCCAGCTTTCCGGTCGCATTGAGCTCTTTGATGCCACAGTTTTTCCGATGTCTCTCAGAGTCACTCCCCCTAGTATCTCGAAGACAGCAACATCGGCGCCTGATTCTTTGGCCAACCAGTTCCTCAACTCTAGACCTACTAACGAGTCTACCCCGTAGCTGTCTAACGTCGAATCAAGGCCTATTTGCTCAGCTGGGAGGCCAAGAACTCGGCTCAACTTCATCCTGAGTGACTCTGAAACAACAAGGCCACCGGCGGTGAATGATTCTGCACTAGTAAATGCGGCCTTGAAAGTCAGGATCTCCGATGTGGAAGCCTGTGGAGGTTTGTATGTTCCCTCGGCTTGGTGAAGACACCGGAACATGGGCTGGTCCAGCGCGCTCGGACAATCTCCTCCCTTGGCTACGATGTCGGCAGGGAGTTCGAAGCCAGTGACTATCTGGCTCTGAACAGAGGAAATTTCTTTCACTTCGGGGTCGCAGAAGTAGTCGAGGATAGCAAATATCTGGGTGAGAGTGTTTGGGCGAAACAGCTTCACTCTCATCAATCGATCCATGACCTCTTCGTTCTCCGCGACGAACCCCTCTCCGAGGACGACTCCAACGTCCACAGATACTGTCTTTTCTCCGATCGAGCTCCGATATTTAGCAAAGGCGTCTTCGTACGTATTACCTGCACAGTAGTTTGACTGTCCTGCATGTCCGATGATCCCAGCACAGGACGAAAGGAGCACGAAGAAGTCCATTCTGGAGGGCAGCGCCTGGTGTAGATTCCACGATCCTTGAACTTTCGGACCTGTAGCTTGCTTCCACTCTTCCCATGTCATATCGGAGAACCGCGAATCCTGGTATAATTAGATTTCGAAGTTGTTTATCAAAGGTGATGCTTCATTCACTCACCCGGAGAACCATGGCCGCTTGGATGCATCCTCGAACTTTGGGCATTCTCTTCTGGCACTTGCGCAAGGCGGTCCTCAGTGATGTGATATCTGCGATATCGCAGGTCGGACACTCAACATTAACCCCGGCCGTGCGCAGGTCAGCCACCATCTTCCGCGCTTGGTCGTTTCCACCGGACCGGGAGAGCAGTATAAGATGTTTTGCACCTCGATGGACAAGCCAGCGCGCAATGCTGCGACCTATGCCACCAAGACCTCCTGCAATCACGTAGGTCGCGTCTTCGCGGAATTTATATCCTGACTCGTGGCCTTGCGCAATCTATTCAACATCAATACAAGTGCCTATAGATCAAGTAGGATATTAGCGTTAAAGGGGAATTTCTGTACTTACAGGGACATTGGATTCCCTATCGACCTCCAGGACAACTTTGCCAGAGCTCTTGCCGCTTTGGAGGAAGCGTAAAGCCTGTTCGATATCCTGGAAGGGGTAGGGATGGATGGGCTTGGGCGCCGTTACTTTGCCGTCCAAAAAGAGGCTCATCACATTCTCCAATATCTCACGAGCACGATTCTCCTCATACAGCATGACCATGTTCAGGTTCACACCGTGGTAGGAGACGTTCCGCGTGAATACTTGCATAGGTAATTGACCTCTTAAATAGGCATCTTTCAGCCCGATGTCCACGAATCGGCCACTGACGGCAATGCAGTTCCACGAAGCTTCAAGGAGCCGACCTTGTTGGGAGTTAATGATGACGTCTACTCCTCTTTTCCCTGTGGCCTGCATAATGCCGTCATAGAAGGAAGCGTCCCTGGAATAGAAAATGTGATCCTCGGCGACGTCGTACTCGTCTACGAGAAGGCCCTTCTTCTGACTCGACCCGACCGTGGCGTATATTTCGGCGCCTACATGCTGAGCTAGCTGAACCATGGCTTATCCGGTTCCGCCGGCCGCAGCATGTATGAGGATTGTTTCCCCTCTCTGGAGACGCGCAAGGGTAATTAGGCTGTAGTATGCTGTGCAGAAAGCTGTCGATATGGACGCTGCCTCTGAAAACTTCATCGCGTCCGGAATACGGATTGCTGTTCTTCCAGGAGCGCGGATGTAGGTCTTGAACGTATCATGAGTGCCGACTAGGACTCTGTCGCCGACCTTGACATGTTCAACATCTCTGCCACAGGCGCGTACAATTCCAGAGCATTCGCTACCAAAATGATCGCTGTCGAACTTGCCGAGAAGGGTGAGGCAATCCTTGTAGTTCACACCAATGGCTCGGACTTCGACATCGACTTCGGTAGGACCGAGGGGCCGGTTAAATGTTCCATCTTCAGAGAATTGAATGGTGTCTAAGAGACCGCGGGCGCGAATGCCGACTTCCAGTTTCTTTTCAGCCATCTGCTGGTGCAAGACTACCTTGGTGGTTCGCCTGAAGATATGCTCGTCGAGTCTCTTAGCCCTGACGAGCCGATTCACGCATAGTCTTCCTTCGATCACCTGATACTCTTGTTCGAAACCAGAGGATCCATAACTCGTCCGTCTCTGAGTCATCTTGTAAACTCTGGCGATGTTGGCGATGGAAGAGAAGTTGGCGGCCTCGACGCATAGAGAGACCAAAATGTTGTGACTCTCGCGCCGTGACACTCTGCATAAACCGTCACTCATGCCATATTCGGGAGATGAATTTGTACCACCTCTCGCTCCTAGCTTGACCCAGATTATAGACTGAGCCGATCCAAGGAATACCTGAAGATGGTGAAAGTCAGAACGCTGGATATTCGGTAGAACTGCGCTTTCTAACTCGTTTAGGAACACGAAGTTATGGAAGTTGGGTTCCGATTGGCACAGGTGGGATGCTTCGGCAAGGCTGAGAAGATTCAAGTCCCCTTTGATGCCGAGTTCGCTGGCGAGGTCGGAAGCAACCTCTCTCTGAAGGGATGAAGAGGGGTCTATAACGAAAAGGGGTTGAGACAGGGGCTGTGGCTCTCGGGGAGAACGAGGCGGCTGGTCTGCTGTGGCGGTCGAAATCATAATGCTCCATATGTGTGCCTCTAGACTGAGATGGTCCGGAAACTTCAAGTCGATACCGGAAAAGCCAGAGTCCCTCAGAAGCCCATCCCACCTTTCTTCGGTAAGCAAAGGGCTCAGTTCTCTCTCAGGTTCCTTGGCCAGCCACCACCCTGGGAGAAGTCCAAAAACAAAGCCTGTGAGCAGACGTCCCGGAGTTGCTAATTCCTTCAAGATGAGTTTGCCACCTGGACGTAACAGTTTCCTAATATTGCTAAGCGTGACGTGCAAGTCATGGGTTGCATGGAGAACATTGTCTGCTATCACCACGTCGTAGGCGGCGAGGTCGAACCCTTGAGTAGTCAAGTCCTCCTCAGCGTTCAGGATCTGAAACTTAACGCGCCCATGGTAGGAGAACTTAAGGCTCGCCTGCTCGAAGAATGACGGGCTAATGTCGGTGTACGTATAGCTCTCGAATCTGGGACCGATATCTGGATTTCCGATGGTTCTCAAGATCACGGCGGTAGATGACCCGGTGCCTGCGCCTACTTCCAGAAATTTCAAACCGGGGCTTTTGTGTACCAGCACGTTAAGATATCGGTTGAATGGCGCCACACCGGTCGTGTCTTCCATGAGTTCGCGATAGAAGTCGGTGACTCTGGCTTCGTCGGCAAAGATAACCTGAAGAGGATCTGCCTCGCCACAAAGAAAATTGGCAAGGTGTTGGCCAACGCGTACTTGCATTTCACCTCGCGCAGTGCAACTGGCTGAAGCACCTAAGGGATCGAGCTCTGCATCGCTCATCAAAGAAGTGGAGCCGAATGAGTCGACTTGGAGGCGTAGCCATCTAGCGTACTTCTCCATTTGTGGGGCCACGCTTCCACCCTGTTGATCGATTCGTCGTAGCGCCTTCGCTGCATATTGGAAGACCAAAGTGTCCATGTTCTTGAAGTATTCGACGGGCTCAGCTCCGGCTGGCCTTGCTGCCTCACAATACTCTCGTATCTCTTCTACGTCCAGAGCTTCGAAGTCAACATTCCACTCGACGTGAGAGCATAGATATGGGGCGCCTGCGAGCGAGGTCGCGGGCTCGCCGTTCGATTCTACAGCTGTCACCTCCAAGCCAGTGACTTCAGCTCGTAACTGCACGCCAGCCGCATCGATGGCTTTGATGTCAAACGTTGCAGTGCGTTCAGTGACGTTCTGCACCCATGAGAAAGCTTTCTCCTGGCTCTGGTCTTGGTGTCCGAATCCCTGAGCTGGGATCCATATATGGGACAAGAAGGTGGGAACCATCGTCTTTTCTCTGTTTGCTGCGTGTAATGCTGCAAAACCAAGTTGGAATATCCCGTCAAGCCTGGTAGGATGTACGGTGTACGGGCTCGTGGAGTCTGCATTTCGGGGAAGCACTGCTGCAACTGCCTTTCCAGAATCATGGCAATGAACGTCGACCAGAACCTGAAATGCTGACCCATACTCCAAGCCCGCATTCTCGCGAATCATTCGATACATTTTCTGAGAGTCCAAAGTACGTGTGCACGTGGCCACCGTGTTTTCAAGATCAGTCTTCACGCGGAGTGCTTTCTCTGCATCTTGTCTCTTTTCATAGACGTCGGATACTGCCAGCCCATAGTCTCCTCGTATCGTTCCCGAGCATGCAACGTCGTGGCGACCGTCGGACTTGCAGAGGAAGATACGGAACTTGTAATCTGTCTCCCCCCTTGCACTTTTCACACTAGAGCTCATATGGATGCGTAGTTCCACGCCCTCTGACCCAGAGGTAAGGACGACGGGCACTGGAAATTCGACATGTTCCAGTTCGAATGCAAGGGGCATCTGATTTTCCATCAATTGCTTTGCAGCTTCGATCGCCATCACAATCATTCCCGCCGCAGGGTACAAGGCCATGCCATTGACTTTATGATCCTTGACCCAAGGCAAATCATCTTCCTTGATAATCAACTTCCACTGTGACTCTAGGGCGTTAGGATCCGTGATCATGGTCCCCAGTAGGTCGTAGTTACCGTGTCTGCGGAAGCAGAAGTTCTTGTTCGTTTGTGGCTCCTCCCAATATAGTGCGGAGCGACTGAATCGATATCTGGGAAGATCTGGTAACACCTTCAATGTTCTTCTTCGAGTCTCGGAAAGTCCTAGAAGCACAACGCGAGATATATCCACGTTGAAGGAACGACAGAAGAGCTCGCCTGCGGCGGCTAGAGCGGTAACAACTGCTGATCTGTGCCGAATGAGGACGGAAGTATAGATGATCTCCCGGTCGGGAGCGGAAGTTTTCAGGATCTCCCTAATGGGACCTCGAAGCGCAGCATGGGGACCGATCTCTAGCCAGCAATCAATACGTTGCTCCAATATGTGGCCGCAATCAAGACGTTTGTTTGCGGAACCCGATCTCTCAGGAGAATTACAGAATTGCATGGCACCGAGAAAGTCGACCGGGGAGACCATGTTATGGACCCAGTACTCTCCAGTACATACGGCTGAAGCGTCTACCACACCACCCGTCACAGAAGATACCATTATTGGACTCGTCGGCGTAGTCCCCAACCCTGACTCGAGCTCTGTGAGCAGCGAGAGATATTCTTGGCTGACGTCCATCATTTGGGGAGAGTGATATCCCAACCCGACTTTCAGCGGTCTGGCAAATACCCCCTTCCGCGTGACATGATCAACCAGAAGCCGCAATTGCGAGTCCGGGCCGGAGATGGTAACGTTCGAGGGGCTGTTGATGCAGCTGATGCTCAGCGAGCCAAGCTCGATGCCAGAATCCTGGTCGTGCGCTAGCATTTCTATCTCGAAAATTGCGTCTTCGCGAGAAAGACCGACCGCTGCCATACACCATTTCTTGGTCGATGCTGTTTCGAGTCTGGTTGCCAGGAGGCCCCGATAGTACGATATTTTAATCGCGGCGCTTTGCGAGATGTGGCCTGCTGTGTACGCTGCGACTATCTCTCCAGAGGAGTGCCCCACCACAACAGAGGGCCTTATAGCCAGCCAGGACATAAGGTCCACAAGAGCCACCTGAACAGATGTTGTGAGAACTTGGCTGAACTGCGCCTCTGCAACAGATTCTGCGTTTGATTGATCAGTGAGATGCTCAGTGATCCTCCATGGGCATCCGAGTTCTTCGAGGTAGCTCTGTGATCGCTGGATACTGTCCTGGAAGACCGGCTCGGATAGCAATTCGCGCCCCATGCCATGCCATTGGGCGCCTTGGCCGGTGAAAACGAAGCCAAGATGTCGATCTGGACCCGGACTCTGCATAGGTAATGTCATGACCGACGGAAACGAGGAGATGCTATCGAGAGACTCAAGTACACCAAAGGAACGCCAGGACAGGAGTGTGCGTCGGCTTACCAAGGTGTAGGCATAACATGGAAGGACGTCAGGAAGTGCTGAAGGTTCAATATGTTCGAGGTAAGAACCATGAGAGTCAATCTGACGAGTTATACCGGCATCGTCTGACGAGCTCAACACGATAAGGATAGGGCAAAAGCCAGGTGACTCATTTCTCAACGACTTCCCAGTTAGTTGGCTCCTATCCACTTCGTTCTTCAAGTTTGTGTCTCCGTTACACCTAGTGGAAAACCCTGGTGGAGTCGGTACGCTGAAATGGTTGCCATGAAGATGATTCTTGCGCAGATAGGAGATGGCATCATCAAGAACGACATGAGCATTCGAGCCACCAAAACCGAAGGAATTGACCGATGCTCTCCTAATCTCGCCTTCAGGCCATGCAATGCATTCCTGGGGAAAGTGGAGCCGGTAGAATTCATCGTCGATAGTCGGATTGAGCTTCTCGAAGTTGGCATTCGGTGGTATGATAGCCTTTTCAATCGCGAGCACTGCTTTGACTACGCCCGCGAGCCCGCTTGCTCCTCCCAAATGCCCAATGTTGGACTTAATAGCGCCGACATACATGGGCTCATGATTGGTTCGGTATTGGCGGAAGCTCTCCCCGATTGCTCGCGCTTCGGTAGGATCGCCGACAACCGTTCCTGTCCCGTGCGCCTCGAAGAAACGTGTTGCATCCATATCCAGACCAGCCCTGGCATATGTGTCGCGAATCAGCCTGGCCTGCATTTCTTTACTCGGCTGAGTAATTCCTCCATTGGTGTGACCGTCTTGGTTGCTAGCTATACTGCGTACAAGGGCGCGAATAGTGTCTCCAGCCGCCAGAGCCTTAGAAAGTGGCTTTAAGACGAGGGCTGAGAAGCCCTCCCCGCGCGCATAACCAGATGCACGGTGGTCAAACGAGTAGCATTTGCCATCCGGCGAGAGGAAGTTCATGTTGCAAAGTGCAATGTTCAGCTCCGGTGATAGGATTAGATTTGCAGCTCCCACAATTGCCGTGTCACTTGTACCGGCCCATAGCCCCTGACATGCGAGATCAAGCGCTATCAGGCCTGATGAACATGCCGTATCAACGGTCATACTCGGTCCGCGTAGGTTGAAGTGCCAGCTAATTCGATTTGCCAGAATAGAGCTTGATGAGCCCGTAGCGTAGTACTTCGGGATGCGCAGTGGGTCACGGAGGTTAAACGTCATGAAGTCTGACGAGAAGAATCCGATATGCACAGAAGTGTTGGTGCCAGAGAGTGAAGAGCTAGGTATGCCGGCATTTTCCAGCGCGTGATACGTTGTTTCCATAAGGCCACGCTGGTCAGGGTCCATTGCACCAGCCTCAGCGGGTGGAACGCCAAAATGTTGCGCATCGAAGGAGCGAATGTCTTCCTTTAGGAAATGTGCATGTCGTGTATGTATCTTAGGAATCGTTAAACTCATTTCTCGACTTTATACTGGCGATCGGCCACTTACGGAATGCGGTTTCTTAGTGTCTGCGTTGTAGAAGGCATCAATGTTGAGTCTGTCGGCGGGAAACTCAGACGAGGCACAGTGTTTGGACATGAGCATATCCCAAAATGTCGATTCTGTTTCCGCACCGGAAGGAAACTTGAATGCCATTCCCACGATGGCAAGGGGCTCCGGTACTTTGACTTCGGATTTGGCATGGTCTTTGGCAGGGTGTTCCGACGAGCGGAGAGGGCAGTCAATCGTAACCCTGGGTGAATTGACGCCGTCTTGTAGCCCTGGGGGCAAAATGTCTTCCTTGAGGGCGTCGGTGAATATGGCATTATCATCAGGCGTCCTTCCATTGGTATATGATGCCAGATGATAGAGGGGATTCGAGATACTGGGGAATCCGTCACCGTTAGGCACCTTCAACGACTCGTGATTACGTGTGGGACGCTCTTGCTTCACGAACTGGTTGATTGTAGCCATATCCGCGTCTTTTCCATCCAAAGTCGTCTTATCCACGGCATCTCCTTTGCAAAGGATTCGAGTATAAGCAGCTTCGACTGGAGTTGCCGCTCGAGTAAAAGACTCCCTTGGAGTTCCACTATCGCTAAGATTGCTTGACGTGCTTGTCGATACGAACGAGGAATGAAGTGTGTTGAAGGCGTCTTTCGTATTTTCGTTGGATTCCGCGTCCCTCGCAAGAGACCACATAGATATGCTCCACTCAGGACCATTGCGTTCAATGACTTGTTTACTTTCGGGAAGCATTCTTTCCGGTAGGGTGAGCGTGATAGTTCAATGATGGGGAGATGTTCTTTGTTATACTGAGGAAAATGCGCAAAATAAGAGAGAAGAAAGGGTGAGGGGAAAATTCGAGATTCGGTGGGTTTGTGAATGTGGCTAGATACCTTATGATAACTGTTGCCGAGGTATCGATATCAGATTGCAAAGAATAGTTGCACAATAGAAGACTACAACATTGACCTCCGATAACTGTCTGCACGCACCATACGGCATGCGCTCTTTCTCCAGTTGACTGCGTTGAGGGGCGGGGTGTTAAGGTAACCGATTATCTCCAGCCAATTTGTTGCTACTGTCACGCAGGCCGGCGAGATGGCGCATTTCCGACCATGTTCTTTTAGCGAATGCAGACGTTACCGCCCCTGCGTAGAGGACACAACCTCTATCCCTGTAACTACCTTCATCAAGAACTAATGCATGGCCTCGCCGTTTGCGGCTGTGCAGATCAACGGACTTGCGTACCCTTGGCGCTTAATACGACATATGCTGCAACTTCCGCCGATAAATCCAACGGTACCACATAAGCGTCGAATGGTGACCGAAGGTGGGTTCGCGGCCGCTTTCCGTTCATCCGGCCGAAATCGGGCCCCATGTAAAACGTTTTACAGTGATGAATCAATTTTCCGTGCGACCATGTTGGGTAGGGGTCGAAGTCCGACACTAGGATATTAGGCCATCAGTGCGCTGGGTTTGCATGGGTCTTTGGCTTCGGGAAACCGGTCTGGGATCGAGGTGCATATTTGGCCCCGGTTGTGATTCACCATCTAGACAATTACCGGATGTTGGAGGATGAGAGAGAGTGACGCCGCGGTATATAACGTTGCGGCGCCCGCCGGGGTGTGTGAATGAGGTCTAGGTCCGCTTATCATGTCCTATCAGTAGTCAGCGGCTGCGGAAGCGTGGGGTCACACTATAATGCTGCACGAGGCACCGGGAAGCTCTCACCCCAGCCGCACGGCTGCATGGTATTGGCCAAGGCGAAAATGTTGCACAGGAAGTCACGGGGGTGTCTGTCTTTCCTTGCGTGGTTGCGCCAGCCTAGATTACCAACCTTGGAATTTCGTTACCCAACGTACGTACCTAAGGTAGGCGACTTTCTTTTGTCATGTGACACTTAGACCTGCCTTTTAATATTGGGATTTGACTGTGCCCCCAAATCCGAACAATACAATCACTTCATTCCAGTAAGACTTGTATCCGAATCCAAATCACGTTCATCGCTACAATGGAAGCAAAGCCTGCGGAAGAACAGATCTCCTACGATCAGGACACCGGAGAGGCCCTGGATGTGCCGATTTATTACACAGGATGGCGACTCCACGGAATCAGCGCCTGGCTTCTCCTCTCTCTTTTCGTCGCACAAATGGACACATCGATAACGAGTACGGCCATCTTGACAATCACGGATCAGTTGGGAGGGTTCGAAAAATATTCCTGGGTCTTCACGGCATATATGCTGTCCTTTTGCGGTATAGATTCTCATACTCCACACGATTCTTCGAATGCTAAATCTTACTAGGGTTCCAGCTGGTCTGGGCGAAGCTCTCGGACATCATCTCCCGCAAAACGGCCATCATCATATCGCTGTCGATGTTTACTTTATTCTCTGGCGCATGCGCAGCAAGCCGAACGCTTATACAACTGATAATGTTTCGTTGGATACAGAGAATTGGAGGCGGTGGTATTTTCGCCCTTACGCAACTTGTCTTCTTCGAGCTGGTACCACCAATTCGGTGGCCATTGTATGTCAGCTTAGTCACCGGTGTAGTGGCATTATCGCTGGCTGTTGGGCCACTAATTGGGGGTGCTATTGCTCTTAGGGGCCAGTGGAAGTGGATATTTCTATTGAAGTATACTCTCCCAAACGACTGTAGTGCCAAGTTCCCACTGATTTTGTTGTGCAGCGTGCCGACCTGTGGTACGGCTCTCATAGGGCTTTTCGTCATATTCCCCGCAAAACTTCGAAACGAACCTTCGGCACAGGACGACTCCGGCTCTTTTACAATCAAATCACTCCGTCGAATTGATGTCCTTGGATCGCTATTACTTCTTGGAGCATGTTTGCTCATATCTACTGGATTACAACAAGCTGCTCTGGGCTATGCGTGGCAATCGTCCTTGGTCCTTCCTCTACTACTCATTACAGTACCACTCGTCGTCGCCTTTTTCATTTGGGAGTGGTATATCACTTCTCGTCGGGGGTATCCCGAACCTGTGTTCCCCTGGCGCTTCTGTCAGTCTCGCATAAGAATCGGCATGATGTTGTGCGTTATACTGCTCTGCCCCTGATCCTATTGCCCTGAAGTTAACATTGTTCAGAAACACCTACCTTTGGGGTACAGTCCTTATGATTTGCCTGATCCAAATCCCACAGCGCTTCATGACGGTCTATGGCCTGTCACCATTCAACGCTGCCCTTCGGCTCCTCACTTTTGGCGCGTTCGTACCAGCTGGGTCCAGTATCGCAGCGGCTCTGATGGGCAAATTGAAGATTCCACCATGTTTCATTATTCTCGCCGGAGCTGCCTTGCAGCTAGTTGGTGCAATCCTTCTCTCGGATATACCAACCGATACGGTTATTCACCCCAGGCAATATGGGTTTCAGATACTTTTAGGGACCGGTATAGGGTTTGTGGCATGCGGGCTAATTCTGCTTGTGCCGTTCGCAATGGAAAAGCGAGACCTTGGTAAGTCCTTCGCATCCGTAGGCTGTTCTTATTATTTTAGACTTTCGCTAACTATAAAAGCGGTGGGGACGGCATCGATTTCCCAATTTCGTGTCCTTGGCGGTCTCATCAGCATCGGCATCGCAACCTCGCTTTCCACTCCCTATCTCCGCACCCACCTTACGGACGTGCTCCCTCCTGAGCTCGCTTATTCTGTGCTCGAGAAGACAGAGAACATGTATTCGCTACCTATAGAAGTGCGCGAAGGCGTGAAGGCAGTCTTTGGTAAGAGCTTCAATCTGCAGATAAAGATGGTGATTGGCTTTAGCGCGGCACAGTTCCCAGCCACCTGGTTGATGTGGACGGGGCAGACTGTTAATCCTGTGGGATGATTTGGGGAAAGGTGGTCACATAATTGCATGGTAAAGGTGAAGGACTTTGTGACAACTTGACCACGGTCCCTCAGAACTCCGTTCCCGCACTCTGTATTCAAGGCAATCCAATCTATTATTCCTATCACTATCTAATCACACGAATCATACCATTTGCGCTTGCGTAACAGCCCGTCTGATAACCTTGACAGCGCCGCTCACACTTCCGTTGATACTGGGCCCCGGAATTTCGTGTCCTCCGCCATGCACAAAGGCCCAGATGAACTCTTCGTCGATTAGTCCGCTGGTAGCTAACGACTCATTCTTCGTAATCTCCCAATCTTTCTCTCCCCACACCGCAGCCACCGGTATTCGGATCTTGCTAAGCCCCTTCGGCATCTCGACTAGCGAGACAGCTCTACCAGTGTCAAGCCAGCACGCCGGATCGTAGACACCGATCCTGGAGAGTAAGACACATACTTTGAACGGTAGAGGCTCTCCGGGATATATGTGAATGTGTCGAATCAGATACATGAGAGCGAATTCAGCACCTTGACTAAAGCCTAGAACACCATCGAAAGGGCCGTGAATTGCCAAGTATGTTTCGAGTTGGTCAAGGGCACGAAGGTAGGAGTGGGCGTTGAGAGCAAAATATTGATAGTGCGGAACGTCTGGATTGGAAATGTGGGCAATTTCTGTATCATGTCTTAGTCTCCAATACTTTTCGGATGAGCAAGGTTCATGTGGAGGAATCTGTACACGGGAAGGATAATGGGGGGAGCAATACCGGGTGCCATCGGGCATTCCACTGTACCTTCCACGAACTCATACGTATGGTCATCTCCCAGCTCATGTCGAAGGGCAGCTATGGATGGAGCAGGTATCAGCATGCAAAAAACAGATTTTGGAAATCATCGCCATACCAGTCTGCATTTGCAGTATCTATATAAAAACCGTTAGTGTGAATAATACGCCCAAGACTATTGAACACCTGGGAAAGGTAAGAATTTGGAGGCATACCTTGCTGCTAGTTCCCATTCCATGGAGGCATAAGAACCGCATCTTCGCTGAACTGCTCCGCTTGAGCTTCGTGTATCGAGGTAATCGGCTAGGAGAAGAAATGTTCAACCATCACAAACCGGTCTGTTGGTCTTGATTAATGATGACCGTTACGCACCTCAAGTCAACGCCGCAATGTTGCTGAAGTAGGAAGCTAACAAACACGGAACGGCGCGGTTTTGGGGTGGGTGATCACGTATTTGCACGCATGCAGGTGATGTGCATGAAGGCAACCACACATTACCGAGCACAACTCAAAGCGCTCAGGATCCACCCCAGCGAAGCTAGGGAGTCCTAGTAACTCGGGTAAAAGGGGAGTCATATTTAGGAGTTTGTACGATGTTCTATAAAAGTGCGAACACAGCGCTAGTGTTAGGAGTCCTGGTAACTCGGGTAAAAGGGGAGTTGCATTAGAGACTTTGCACGATGTTCTACAGAAGCGCGAACACAGCGCTAGTGTCGGGCATCGATGTTCTTCAAATACCTTGGTAGAGAGGTGTCACATACTTGCGTCACACCCTCCGATCGCTCTATGGTATGCATGTAACTAGGAACGTAGCTCTCTTATTAGTAAGATTGCCTCTGCGGATGCCCCTACCTCCAAGGCGAGCTGTTATAGAACTTAGTACCTTGTTAGGCGTACCGAAGAAAGAGACTTGTGTATAGCTGGTTGAAGGCTTCTCTCGGTGGCCCTTGCGGGACAAATCTCACATAGAGAGCGATAACGGGTACTCCTTTAATGGCAACACATCGAATTCCGATCGATGCGCAGCACAGCACAGCGTTTGGGTAGTTTCCAGGGTCACTTCCAATTTGGCCAACCATGTTGAAATATTGTTTGGGTTTGCCCTTTCGAGCAAGTGCGGGCACCAAAACCCCATCATGCTTCAGCAGAACTTTCAACGTCTCTGGATGTGGGTAACATAATGAAGGGTTTTTTTTCTCATCCGGCTGCTCACTTAGAGCGGCAAATTCTCCCATGTACCTAGTTGGCCTGGATTACATAGTCTGCGAGAAACATGGTTTTTCCAAATACTCCTTGCCATGTTGTAACTCTTCTCAACCTGTAGAAGGAAAATGAGTGACCAACTTCGCATACGCTTTCATCTCACCAGTGTTTTGCAAAGAATGTGTAGATTATACACTCTCACAGCTCGTGACTGATGATGGAACTTGAAATTGCCGACCCTCTCGCACGAGGAAGCCCACGTCGTTCAACTTTGTCGTAGATGCAGACCGAAATCGAGTTCCTCGGGACGTGCGGTCCTTACCTCCAACTGAATATTGGTCGTGCGTAGTACTCCGCTCTTCTTCGTCGAACCAAAAGAATAGTTTTTGGAGGTCTTAACAGAGAGCTTCTTGAGAGTGGAGTCTACCAGTTTCGTAAAGCTGTGTTCTGGCAGGATACGTCGCTTGAGGGGCCGCAAATTTGGCATGCAGGCAGCAATGAGGTAGGTTCCGGCCTCGGCAATGACGTATGAGAAGGTAAGGATGCATTTGTACGTAGGATCCATGAAGAGTTCCTCGGCCTCAATGAACGTGATCAGTCGTAAGATCGACGTGATGATTCCTCTGCGCCGAGTTCAGCGAGGCCTTAGCGAGAAGTTTAGCAGTGAGACTTACATAGAACCAATGAGGAACGTCGCAAATAGACCAACTTTTGTTGGCAAGTTGACATGGAGCTTGTATATTGCAGGGAGTGGTAGGACCAGCATGATGAAGTCCGTAAGGATGTTGGGAATCCATATGAGCTGGTATCCCCTAATGATGTTTCCGCAATGACCTCCTGGGATCGAGTGATCCCATTGAAACGCAAATGGCTTGCAGATAGTCAGGCTGAGCAGAAATCCCACGAACCAGGTCAGAACGATCAGGGCGCCCACCGCATAGGTCACGATTCGGTAACGCAGCGAGGAGAAGATGCGCATGTATAGGCACAGGATGACCAGTTTGGATCCGGTGATGGCCGCAAAGTCTATAAATTCCACGGATTTGTCGATCTTGGTTCTCATGATGATCTTGGTTGGGTCGTCCAGAAGGACGGCTTCGACATGGCGGCCAGCGCCACCCCATTGCACGATGACTGCAAGCTGTCAGAACTGCCCAGTTGCCGCGTGTAGAACAGAGCAGAAGATCCCTTACATAATCCACATACACACAGAGCAGTGCTGAATATGTATGCGATGGGCATAACAAGCCAGCACTCCAGTCCATTGAGCATCTTATTGAGATATCTCGAGATATAGAACAAGGCTGTGAAGACGGTCTGCAACACGAGGAAAACAATAGCGACTTTGATGAGTCGATGTCCAATGTCTTCCCGGAGATACTCCTTGGGCAATTTGGCCAAGAGAGCGGGGTCGTAGGCGTTCGTATTACTCATTTCAGGTGCAGGTGATTCGGTGGCGTTTGAAACTCGTAAAACAGAGGGAGGAAAGATGACAGAGGATCTTTGAAGTCCAAGTAAACCTAACGCGCCCGTCTAATAAGAGCGTGGTGCTGAATGTACCATCTTGAACTTTGCCTGTACGTTTGGGTTTCAGCTCGGCGTACAGGAGACAAGGTCGGCCAGATGGGAGATGGAGATTCCACGACCAAGACACCCGAGCCCTCACAATGGAAGCATCTTCCGCGGACGGGCACGGCTTCGATAAAGGCTTGTGCGGTCCGGTTGCAAGGAATGTTCACACACCATGATCTACCCAGTTAGATTCCCCGTATATCGCCTACTTGCATCTGCCTTACCGCCGCTTCTACTGCTAGTGGAGAAAAGGATAGGTGGTACGAAGTGGAGAACGTGTTGGCTCAATGAACGAATCCCACTTCGTAAAGTAGCCGCCGGGGATGGCCGGCAATACGTGTTGAGTTACATAGAGCGGACAGAAGGCAAAAGACAAAAGCGCTTAGAGGCTCTTCGGGGAGTACGCGGCTCTGACTGCAACCCCTACTGGCCCAGGTGGCGAACCGACGACCGCAAGATAAATGCCAACGGCGGTAGGCTCTTCCGGGAATGCGACGGCCCGTTGCCGTCTGAAGGCTTCCCGCACTCCGTATTGATGAAAGGCTACGCCGCAATCAAAGTCCAACTCGCAGCTCAACATTTGCAGCGGACATCAAAGACTGCAGCCATTTTCTTGAAACCACGCACCAAGCTTAGGTGTAGTGCAACTCATCACAACATATAGCCATGATAAAATTGGCTGCCGAGACCATCCATACTCTGCTTGTACTACATCCAAACTCTTGGTCTCACATCGTAGCGCAGGCGCTACATTGTGATGCAAATTTGATGCATGCAGTCAAGACCAATTCGTCCTAATGAGCTTGAACTTGCATGTCTTTGAATGATCTTGGGAGCCATCAATGAGAGCTGCATAGCATATCAAATCCCTTTAATTTGAGCGATCGGACTTTGTCACTACCATGATCCTAAGGACTAGGAAAGTACTGTCGGGACAAAGTGTTGATTAGTGGGCTGGATGTGCGCGGTTCCCCTCTCTGACTTCGTCCTTCCGCAAGACCCGTGCACTTTGGGTCCAGCGCCGTGTCATTCGGAGGCGCACGAGTGGTCGATGCGGAGTTTGAAGCACCTGCACCTTCTCGCGCGATTGAAGAAGTTTGAGTGTATCTGAAGGTAGAAAGGGTTTCCGGACTTGAATCTATAGACTCGAGCTAAGATCATATGGGCCGTTTTTAGTAGAGATACATAGGCCAACATTAGATCCGACAAACCATTGCAAATCATGCTCCCTCTAGCCTCTGCCTGAACTGAAGGACGGGGCCTTCTTTCAAGCAGAGGTAAGCATCCTTCACCATGTACTCTGTTGGACTCATCTGGCCCCATCCCATGTCCGGGCGCCCTTCTCCCAGGCATGCGGCCTGGCCTGGCGCTAATCGGAAGTCAGCTCCCCAGACTGTCCTCGCGCTCACGAGCAATAGCTCTAGAGTCGCAAGATTTTGTCCCGCACAATTCATGGATCCAATAGAAAAGGGATGGAATGCCCTCTTTAACTTCTGTACATCGGCGTCCGAGTTGAGAGTGTCCGGATCAGAGGAAGGGATCCAACGCTCCGGGCGATACGTGGCAACATCGCCGAAGACGGTTTCGTTGCGACCCATGGACCAACCTGCGCAGCCGACAACTGTTCCAGCGGGATACAGGTGCCCATCAATAACAGCCCCGCCAGGGAGGACTTCGCGTGGCAATTCACTAGGAGCCGGATGAGCCATGCGGAGTGTTTCGTCGATACAAGCGCGCAAGTACTTGCATCCACTTAGCTTCGTTCCAAGGACGATCTGGTCGCTTGAGCTAAAAGTAGATCGAACTTCCTGAGCCAGTTTGGACAGCACGCGCGGGTTGTGCGCGAGGTAAAAGAACAAGGCACAGAGTGTCATGGCGGTGGTATCCGTTCCAGCTAGAACCAGTAGTCGGGTTTCGGCGAGTAGGTGGTGCCGGTTGGAGAAGGCGGGGAGGTTGGTGTCCGGGTCTGTGGCCGTGAGAAGGAAGTGGAACATATCCTCACGACCTGGGACGTTCGCGCCTGCTTTGTGGGCAGCTATCCGTTTGTCCACGTTGCTTTCGACAAATGCATTGTAATCTTTGACCTCGATCTTACGGGCACGCTCCATCAGTTTGTTGAGTCCGCGAGGTTGGAGGTAAAGGACTAAGTTGAAAAGAGGAGATTTGGAGATCCAGAAAGTGTTAGCTGGGGCTTGTCAAGTAGATGGCCCGAAAGTAGGGGCGTCAAAGGGGCGTTACCTTATGGCCTAGGGCCACCTGCTTCATTATCAGATGCGGCAGCTTCTTCAGCTTATTCTCGCCTGGCTCCTTCGTGTTGAAGTTTTCACCGAAGCACAAGTCTCCCAGAATGTCGAAGACGAGATAGTCCACCCAGGTCGCCATGTCCCGGGGTTGAGACCAGCCCTCCGTGTCCTTGCCTGGCCGATCTGGTGCGGGGCTGCTCAACAACTGGACCCATCGGTCCACATGGCGGATTATCAGCGGGCTCGCGGCTTTGAGCGATTGCTCGGTGAAAACGAGGTTTAGCAGCTTGCGCTTCTTTGCATGGAGTATGGGATCGGTCGAATTGATTGTGTGGACATCGTACTTGTTGCGCTGCCATGCCTTGTAGAAATCGCTGCGGGTGATATTGGCGCGGGCGCCGTAGATATCTGTGTAGGCGCGTGTGCTGTTGAACAGAACCAAGTTGGGGGCGGCACGAAATTTGTCGCCTATCACATTGTGGGATCAGTCAGAGGCTCGATGCACGGGAGGGAGAAGCGGACCATAGACTTGGAAATTCTGCCAAATCCAAATGTGCCGGTCCCCTTTGCAGGCATGGTAGAATGAAGGGAGCGAACTGATGCGGGCGAGGAGGGGGCCACGGATGCTGGCAAGTGGATGCAGAAGAAGATTGTACAGAGCCGTCGCGATCAGGTAGCTGGCAGCGAGGCTGACGGCGAAGGGCACAAGAAGGGCCATTTTGAAAAGCTGGGTGGTGGGGCAGTTTGGCCTGGAAGGACGATGCGTGCTTTAGATATGAGATAGACTATCCGTGGACCCGCAGGTGAGGGTATTGCCAAGGTGTGTTGGAGGTACCTGTGCCGCCCCGCAAGCGCTATTGGGGCACTACGCACGGACGCTAGCTGCCTCGGTCTAAGCGGACCACGCCACATTCACTCTGCTGCGCCTCGCTGCCCATCCTCTTGCAGTGCTTCTCCTCTGCCCCCATCCCCTAATAGCAATGGCTATGGATACCGGTACGTCTCTCGCTGAGCTTTTGAAAACCCAAGCGCCCACAATTGCAGAACTGCTGCGCGTAAGCGGTGCCCCAGGCCTCTCCCTGGGCGTCTTTCACCACGGCACCATCATCTACAGAGCACACGGGCAGACGAGACGCCGGCCTCCATGACCCACCCAACGACGAATCGATACATTGCGTCGCATCCACATTCAAGATCGTGACTGCTCCTGCGCTAGGATCCATCTCCATCGAGGTGATAGGTAAGCAGGGACATGGTAATGAGGTTTGAATATCTTCCAAACTTCCTTGGCTGGCGGAGGCTGCGCATTCCTTAGCACACCGGGCGCCAACTAGCATGCCTTCCCTCTTTTCACCGCGCCTTGTCCTGTGCGGTCGCGTCGCGCGAGCTGTTCGGATTTGCGCTCATACCAATTCCGGCAAGCACAGCTACAAGATAGGTGTCCTTGAAAATCGGCTAGTATTGTTCCCACATTACACGAGAAGGGGAGGGCTGGCGTGAAATGCGGGAGAACGCTAATCAGGTGATGAGGAGCCATGTGCCGATGAGGGCTTGGTAGCGGTACCTCCACAGCATTGGTTCAGTTCTGTTGTAGGCCATTGCGCTGGAATGTTCGAAGGGGTAGGGTAGAGGTTGTGGTGGCATTGAGGTGGATGGGAAACGAGGGGAGGACTTCGCTAAGACGTGGACGTGATGATGTCACCACTTTGGGAGGGAAGTTCACCTTTTGAAGTTCAATCACCCTTACAAAGCACTGTCCGCCGATTTTGAGGAGATGACTGTATTCGCCCTATGCTTATATGCCGAAAGTTGTACTCCTAAGCAGTCAAAGAAAACTCTCTTGACTCCGTGAAAATACAAATCCAAAGCGGGATTGAAGAGAATGCAAGAATCGAAGAGGAATATATGCAAAGTGCAAAGGTTAAAGAAATATGCAGCCAATGCAAAAACAGAAAGAAGACATTTGTTGAAGGAGAGGAAGGCGATCCTCAAGTGCAGCAAAGCCCCGACACACCATCCGAATCCGTAGCCATCCCACAAGCCTGATCCAGATTGCAGCACTGGTTCGCGACACCCGGGCAAGTCTGTGTGAATGATGCATCGCCCCCATCTGCCGCACACAACGCCGGCGCAGCAGCAGACATAGAGTTGGTCGCAGCCTGGCATCCAATATCACTCAGCGTTGCGCCGACGATGCCGCCGAACGGCGTCGAAACCGGGGCAGCAGCAGCAGTCATCGTCGCCGCAGCGTCGGTCGGCACGGTAAGACAAATGCTGAAGATCTGGGTTGAGGTCCCAATAAGGCTGATAGTGTTGTCGGCAGCGACATCCGCGATTTTGCCCGCGCCGCCGAATGCGTTGAGCTGTGCGGTCAGGTCTGCTTCGAAGTCGACACCTGCGCAGCCGTTCTCGTTGAAGGAGGCGGTGAGGTCGAGGGTTGGGGCGGCGAGAGCGAGACCAGCTGCGAGGCCCACCCCGAGCGCTTCGACGTCCAAGCCGAGGACGATATTCGGGCCGAAGTTAGCGGAGGCGGATATGCCAGCGCTGACGGAGGGACCTGTCGTGGTGAATTGGGGGGTGAAGTCTGTGGTGGAGTCCTTGCTGCTGTCGAAGAAGTCCAGCGTGGCTTTGGAGTCGTCCGGGATGGAGAGCGTCACAGAGCCGAGGGAGAGGTCGACTTCTGCGGTTACGGATTCGATTTTTGCGTCCATGTTGACCATAAGGGAGGGCCCGACGGTGGCGATGCCGGCGACGGAGAGTGGGTTCTCGATCAGCGGGATGTTGAGGAAAGTGATGGACTTGTCGAATTCAGATGTGAGCTCGGCGCTAACAACGAGATCAAGGCCAACGGTGGCTGAGATGCCAGAAGGCGTAACGGTGATGCTTCCGTCGATGGGTGGGAACTTGGTGATGTCGCCGTTGACCTCGAGGTCAATGTCAATGTTGCCAGTCGTCATGCAAGAGCCACATGTCAAGGAGACATCGAGACCGTCGGCGATGTTCTGCGTGAAGATGTTGGTGCCGCTGAAGTCGTGACCGGCTGGAATGGTCACAGTGGCGCGCTTCTCCAGCGTGATCCCCCGCGCAGCATTATCCTGCGGGACGCCCGTAGTCGAGAGCCTAAACTTCATGAAAGGGAACGCTTCAATGAAGTCCACGGGCTTCGCGTCCATGCTCATGCTGAGGCTTGCGGAATCCGTCTCGCACTTGTACACCTTATACACCTGACGATGACCGCCGCAAGCGGCCGAGTTCGTAACCATGGCGATGTACCGCTCGTCGTCTTGGTTGACCCAGTCCCAGTTGGTCTTCGCGGCATCGTATGACTGTTCGTCTTTCCATTTCAAGCTGATGCCGTGGTCCGAGCATTGCAGGTCGTCGATATGGCTCATCAATCGCTCGAGCGGTACCGTGCGTCCGCTCCAGGGTTGCGTGCCATTCGAGCTCTGGAAATTGCACTCGGCCTTCGCGAGGGGCGTTGAAGAGCCTGCTCATGAAGTTAGGATTTAGCACGCTCGAGGTGGGGGAGGAGTAAAGGGCTACATACCGTTCATGTTCCAATACCAGGTTTCGCTCGTCTGCAACTTGTAGTCGCCATCATCATCCCCGTTGCTGCGCTTCCTCAAACGAGATGGGAAGGGTATGGGGTTGAGTTCGTTGACGGACCGTGCAATCGATGCCTTGGGAGCCACCTTCCCGGTCTCTCGAAGCCGCAGTGGCGTTACTGCTGCTGCGGAAGCTTCCCCAAGCCAAAGAGCAGAAAGGATTGCTCCAGAAAAGAGTTGGAAAAACATTCTGAGAAATAGAAAAATTTGCAAGACAGACTCCGAAATTGCCCAATGCAAATGCAAGATGCAAAAAGGGAATCGACAAAGGAGATAAGAACCCGAAAAAAAAAAGAAATCGGAAATGAAGAGGAGATTATCGACCTGGTCGATGCTGTTTGATGATGGAGGAAAGCTACATGGCTCATCACTGAGTTATATACTTGTCTTCTCCCTCCACCAAGCCAAAGGCCTCGTCTACTTTCTTCGCATCTCTTTCAAAATCTAATTCTGTCGCTACCAAAGATAGCCATCACAGCACCTCACCTCATGTACGCGTTAACAGGACCCTGACGCTGCTGCATATGTTCAGTTTGTCTTGCTTGCTTGGAAATTACGCAGGTACGAGAACATGTGCAGACTCACTAGTAAGGTAGTACAGCCTCGGGGAGAAAGCTCGCAATAGAAAAGGCTTCGAGACAACATGTCGTGTGTAGATGTTGCGATTACGTTCCTTCAATCACTCTTTTCCCGAAACAAGCATCCAACATAAGCGGCGACTTTCCTTGGGTAAGCGTCTTGTCTAATTTGCCCGTGAGCTTACCTCGACTAAGAGGTCTCGCCGTGGATGCTTGTGTGCTGCGCCACCTCCGCATCCTTCGGAGAATAGGATGGTCATCTGAGGAATCTTGACGAACTGACGCGTATAGAGGACTTTCCACGCTTTGGACAGTGCTGCTAGGTGGGTCGTTTGGCCGCGCGCGAAATTCCGTTACCTGCACGTAGTGAATAAGGCAAGGGCGTAATTGCGTTGACCTCCTTTGGAAATCTCGCGAGACAGAGTTAGTGAATCCAGCTTGGGTGTCGTGCCGTCGGTTCCCTGCGCGAGCACCTCGCAATGCGCATAGGTGTTCTGGATCTGTACTACCTCTTCTTCTAAGTTTGGCAGCAGTTCGGATCCTTCTACTTATTTCCGCCTCCAAGCATGTTGTCTCAACTGTACACCCACGGAGGCAAAGGGGAAGGCGAAGCAATGCGAAGCCACATGGGCAGTTGGGCAGCCACGGGATTCGCACACTGGAATTGACGAGACCGGATAGAACGACTTCTCGGGTCGCAATTCCGAGCAGCCGATTGTTAGGCACGGCTCCTAAGATGAACTTCGAACTGCGACGCGAAGTCACGCACTGCAATCTCGCTAGCGCTTCTGTCAATGATGTCAGTAGCAATTACGATGGCATGCGCATCCGCTCGGTTTTGCGGTCTCCGTTCATTGTTGCTTTGACTCTCCGGGCCTAGTAGTTGAGAGGGTGCCGCCCTAGGCGCATCAGCCCAGGTAACCACATGGCGAAGGTCCGCTGCTATTTTCGACCACCTCTACAATGGCAAACGCCAGTTCATTATGAAGCTAGTGTTTCAGGGCAGACTCGTCTTTTTCGATACTGCGATTGGCTAATAATACGGTCCGGCCCCCTATTACGTGTCGTCAGCGTCCAATCTCCATCTCGTATCTCTACTGCTTACTGCCGTCCCCACTACAGAGAAAATAAACACTTACACCGAGTACGGTCTGATATCGCCCTCCCATGATCAAACGGACTTGCGCACATATGCCACTGGGCCTTTGTACACGTGCCTGCCTTTGAAGTAATAATAGACCCACGAGAACAGGACGGTTACACCAAACATCAAGATGCTCCAATTCATGCCGGCCGGCGTGGGCTTCGGCCCCATTGGGAAGAAGGAAAATATGAAGACGAATATAAGGAAGATAATAGAGAGGATGTTGAGAGGAAGCCCGGCGCGGCCGAGGCTGAACTTGGAAGGTAGGAGTGGCTCGCCCCGGATGCGTTTGAGCGCAATGCAGGATATAGAGACAATGTACGATGCGAGGATGGCGGCGGTAGAGAGGGAAGCGATGTTCAAGAGGGCGACCGAGGAGCCGAGGTTGATGAGGGAGAGGAGGCAGGACACTGCGAAGGACAAACAGATGGCGTTGATTGGGACATCCCATTTTGGAGGGACCTGCGTCGGGTCAGTATGAATGAAGATGGAGCATACTAAGAGCTAGAGGGTCACTGACGTATGCAAAAGTTTGGCTGAAGGGAATGCCCTGGTCACGCGCGAAGGCGAACAGCTGCCGAGACGAGGTGGCGGTGATGGACAGGTTGCAGAAGATAGCCATGGTGATCACTAAAGCGCCCATGATGGAAGCGCCAGCTACAGATCCGGTCGCGTTGTAGAAGACGTAGAGGTAGGCTTGCTTGGTTGGCGAGGCAAGAGCGTCGTCGAGGCTACCTAGGACAGAGCAGAAGGTAACAAGCATGACGAAGCCCATGGAGCCGTTGATGACGGTGGTCCAGATCATGCTTCTCGGGAGCGTCTTGGATGCATCGCGCAGCTCTTCCGACATGTGCACAGCGGCGTCGGCTCCAAGGAGAGGCAACACTACGGCGACCAGACCCGAGAGCGTAGCGAGCCCTAAGTTATTCCAGCCGCCGTAGTCGTTGAAAGTGGTGAAGGTCTCTTCTGCATTGCCGACGGGCCCGGTAACCCAGAGGATGACTAGGACGGTGAAGAAGCCCAAGACATGGATGAACAAGACGATGGCCTCGATCAAAGGGAGCTTCTTGACGAGGAAGGTGTTGAAGACGACGTTGAAGGCGGATACGGCGAAGACCAGGAGCGTGCCGTGCCAAGGTTCAAAGGCGTAGTCGGGTTTGTTTAGTGCTATCAAGCCCTGAATCTGGGTTCCGGCGAGGAAAGCCGTGTTCGCTGCGCCGGTCTGCCAGCCCAGGACGCATAGCCAGCCTTCCCGTTGTCAGTTTAAGACGACAGGAGCGGCGCCGGAGACGTACCGATCATGTAGCTGAGGAATTGCTGGCTCTGTGGGGAGGCAAACTCGCTCACCCAATGATACTGGCCGCCGGACGTGGGTGCCCTGGCATGGTAAGTATCTGTATACGAAGCGTCCTTCTAAAGCCAGGCGCATACTTACATAGAGCCCATTTCGGCCATGGAGGTATTGACACAGATAAAACCGATCCAGCAGATAAGATACATCCAAATCAGGCCGGCGGTGCCTCCGTCGATCAATCCAATGGTCGAAGTGCTACTGTCAGTCAATTACTGTGTTCTCTCCCTGATGAAGAGGTACTTGCCCAAGCATGGTCTCCCAGCTGGCCATGAGAATCATGGAGAAGCCGAAGATGGACACGAAGCGAAAGTTGCGTCTCAACTCCTGCACCTTTCCCATCCTCCACATGGCATGCCTGTCGGCGCCCGTGCCCTGCTTTTCGGAGACTTCTGATACTTCATCGGGGAGTACTTCAGCGTCGTATAGCCGGCCTGCCACGATGGGCTCTTTTGCTGCGTCGGCCATGGGTGGAGGACTGTATTCTGCAGCGGGGACAGGGCGGAAATGCACGAGCAAGGAGGGCAATCAGGGACGATCAGGGACGATCAGAGAGCTGGAAGGGGTTGAGGGAGCGGGTAAAGCATGGTGGGGTTTATACCATGGGGCCGTCTCAGCGATACGATACTTTTGCCGCGAACTGGACGCCCTGCATCGGGCGTAATTGTCGTGCTACCGTCCGGTGGTTCTCAATGGGAGACTCAGGCACGCACAGGACGGGAGAGCGCGGGTTGTGGGCATGGCGCATACGAGACCTGTCGAAGGCAGCAAGCGCAGACGAGCGTGCAGGCGGTGCGATAGCGGTCGACGACGTCGTTGGCCGGCGATGCATGGTGGCGTGCGGTGGGCATTCGTTCCCGAGATCAGTGTCGGGGCGGGAGCGGGCGACACGGCTCGTTGCTGGGCGGCGCGGGATGAGAGGGAGAAATGCGATGAGACTGGACTCGAGCAGTGACACTGTGAGCCCTGGAGGGTCCGGGTCGGCGTTGCGGTTTGTTGTGCTGTGTATCTTCCGCAGATGGCAGTCGCCGTCGACGAAGCGGCAGGCACGGGCAGGCACGCTGATTCGTCCGGCGCGACTTCGGACCGAGCGACGCGCTCCTCCAGCGCGCGTCGCCTCGGTCTCCATCAGCTGTTTATCTAGACTACCGTCGGCTGTCATGAAGCGTGTTCTGGCATTATTGCGCGTCGTTCTGTTTCTCCAGCTCCAGCTCGCGGCTGCGGCGCCTGACGCGCAAATCACAGCGCGCGCAGCGCTCCACGCCAGGCAGGACCCACCCCAGCGTCAGCACCGACGGCCAATCCTCTTGTGAGTCCCACAATTCCCCAGACCTCCACTTCTCCAGTTCCCACGGCGTGCACACGCCATCACATGCTCACCCGGCCGCCCAGTCTCTGATCTGCGAAGCTGCGACTTCCCCGCAACCCTCACTCGCAGCGCTTCGTTCGCCCAGTGCTGCGCGCCCTCCAGCGCCTGTGACTTCTTCTCCACCTGCTCCGCCGGCACCCTCTTCGCCGAGTCCACGTCCGTCTTCTGCGACCAGGGATACTGCAATACGGGCGTCATCGTCTCGACGACGGGCGCGAAGAGCGGCGAGTCGTTCCTGGGCTGTTGGCCCACGAGCCTGGGGACCGCCGCCTTCAGCGTGGTGCATGATATAGGCAGTGGTAAGCGTCTACCTTGATGGGGGACACGTAGACGCCGCTGACGCGCTTCTAGCACCAATTGCTACTCCTACAGGACAAGCATCCTCTCAAGCTAGCTCGGGCAACGGCAGCAGCAGCGGCACCGCAGAAGCCTCCGATGCAGGAAGCGCAACTGAGTCGCCCGCATCAACGGGCACTTCCACCGCCGAGTCTGCCGCCAACTCCACGGGCGCAGCAGCGATACCTGGCGCTCAGCCCTTGACCGGAATTGTAGGCTTAGTCGCTGGTCTTCTCGCCTTGCTGTAATGTATATAGGGTTGCAATGAATAGTCCGAGAGTTCCTCGCCTTACCAACAGCTTGCACAACGAGCCAAGTTCAGCTTTTGCTTCCAAACGCACGAAATGGAAGTCGTAGTCGATTGAACGAAGCTCGTACACTGACGCCTTGGACTGGGGATATACTATGGTACCTGATTAGACCCGAGTTCCTGAGACCGACTATCCCTCCGCAGTACCACCTCGCGCACCTAACCATGCAAGAAAGATGCAATCAGAACTCTAGAAAATGCCTAGAAGCCTAGCACATATTCTCCTCACGGCAATAATGCCGAAGACAACCGCCAGTGTCGTGATATGTTGGTACACAAAATGATCCATCTCGCCTGCGCCGCTCGACCAATCACGCTTTTTGCGGTCGTGTTACCTCGTATCCCCACCATGTGTGCACGTCCAGAGTCCCGACTGGCGCCTTTGTGCAACATCACGTCTTTGTTTGCCGTATCCTCGCCGTCTTCGCTCAGAGAGACTGCGAGCCGAGAACCGTGTCATACCACTTCCTGACCTGAGGAGATGGCATTGTCGGCCACATGCGATCGGAAGATGCTGCTGGAAAATTACTTTATGAGCGCGCAGAAGAAGGAGAGGCGCGGTGCAATTGCTTTTCCTCCTCCTACAATCAAACCAACTGAATTACTCTTCTCCGGATAATATAGAAGTTGAACAAAGCCATGACTACACTCGCGCTCCAACCCTTCGCCACCAAAGCCATCCTCGTCACCGGCGCCGCCCAAGGCATCGGCCTCGCCATAGCGCGCTACCTCGCCCGACGCGGCGCCAACCTTGCGCTCGCCGACCGCAAGAAAGCCGAACTCGAAAGCGCGTCGGCGGCCATCGCGAAGGAGAATCCAGACGTCAAGATCATGTCTCGCGCCGTCGACGTCTCCAACACGCACGAAGTGAACGCCTTCGTTGCCGACACGGTGCGCACATTCGGCAAGCTGAACGGAGCCGTGAACAATGCGGGAATCCTCGGGAAATGGGGAAATATTGAGGATATCAAGGATGAGGACTGGCAGCGCGTGCAACAAATCAACCTAGGCGGTGTAATGAGGTGTCTGAGAGCGGAACTGGGCGTCATCGAAGAGGGGGGAAGTATCGTGAATATGTCGAGCGTGGCGGGTCTGATCGGCTTCCCTGGCCTGTCGCCATATGTCTGCTCGAAGCACGCTGTCATCGGGCTGACCAAGTGCGCGGCGAAGGAAGCCGGCGCGAGGAATGTGAGGGTCAATGCAGTGTGCCCGTACGTTTATGCTAATAGTGAGGCTATGGCGCGAGACTTACATTTGAATAGTGGCCCGATCGTGACTCCTATGTTGGACGAGGTCTACCATGGCACGACGCTACCTACGCCTCCGATCGCGAGGGACGGCCAGCCTGAAGAGATTGCTTCTGTTGTGGGATACTTGCTTGGCGATGAGAGCAAGTACACGTCGGGTGTCTGCATTCCGGTTGATGGGGCTGGCTATGCGTGCTGAAAGATGATTACCTAAAGCGCTGGCGGCCCTTTTACGCTGTCGATTACACGTCCTGTATACATTCTTCCAGCGTTCCCGTTGGCTGTTCTTTTTAGGTTGCGAAGGAGTAAGATATGGGAGGCGAACTGAACTCTTTTCTTTAGGAGCGATATACCATGATACAATGCGATAATATGCCTTCTACCTGCTGTTCCCTATTCCAAAATTTTAAGAGGCATTATTCCACGATGCCAACACGCGTTGACTTGACCCCGAGATATCCTGACCACATGATCGAGTAGATTCTCCATGAAGAGTGGCTCGAGTGGCAGACTCAAATCCTTCGACTGCACCGGTGCTCAATAGGTAAGCACATTAGACTGCTGATAAGCAGCTTGTCGATGGAACCAGGGTGCCTCCCGTGAAGCTCGTCGCGCAGGGTTTGCGGTAGTCGAGGAAAGCATTCACTTTCCACTTTGCTATCCATTCCCTCATTCCCACTGTCGTCATTTGAACCAGTGCGTCAGTAAGCTCTCTTTGCAAGTAGCACACCTGACTTCTCTAAAGCCGGCGCTGGAAAGCCTGGACCAGATTTCTTTAATTAATTGTTTCACGTTCTTGCCGTTTGGCGTCGTGCTGTGGTCAATGTCGCTCAGGCTTTTTCCATCCATAGCGTCCGGGCAAAGACTCTGGAGTGCTCGTGTAAGTCTTGCCCTGCGGTCATCCGTGAGGGAATTCGGAGTAAGCGTATCAGCGGTCTTCTTCCTTGCCCCCCTCTTGCGTGCTCTGGACGTAGTTGATGCGCGTGAGGATGCTTTGCGCTTTGCTCCGCCACCTGCGTTGCCACAACCGAGCCCAAAGTTCAGAGCCATACTCTGGACAAGATTCGAAAGGCATTCGCTCGTCTCAACTTCGTTCGCGCATATAGCCTGCACCGCATACCGGGCCGCAACATCCAGCCCCTTATCTGTATTCCACACCTTCCCGAGAACAAAGCCGCTCTCGAGTGCGTACGTGGTATGGATCCAGCCCTCAGGGATGAAGACGGCAGTTCCAGGCTCCGTAACGCAGTAACAGCCATCGGTGAGTTTGCCGAGAAGCAGAGTGATGCGATTGTCGAGGTGTTGGGTGTCGAAGTAGTGCGTGAGGTTCTGGGGGGTTGGTGGAAACCAGAGCCAAAGTTTAGGGTTGGTAACCGCGCTCAGGCCTGTGCCGGTATCTGGCACGATGTTAGCGTTGGATTAGAGCGAGAATTGGTGAACGAACCCACGTGCAGGTCAACCCATACGTCCTTGAGCGCTGCATTGAACGATATCAATGACGAGGCCCGCGGGCCACCCCAACGACATGGACGCAGAGCCTGCAGCTCCACCGGATCTCTCCACCCCAGATTCCGCGGCCGATCGATAGCAATATTCGACCACAGAAGCTTGACCGGCTCCTTTTCCAAAAAGCTCTTCGCAAACAGCCCATTGACTTCCTTGGCATTCTCTTCGTCCAAGTAAATCTGGACAGGCTTCCCGTCATCTGTCTGCATCCAGCGCTCCCCGCACTTTACGCCGGGAAGCTTTGACTCCCTCAGTATATTAAGGATGTACTCCCTGCTCTTCGTGGCGTTGAAAATTGCGCTCCTCCATATCACAGGCCGGTCTTGGTCAATCTGAGCTCGTAATCCAATGACGTTGTCGAGCTCGGGCAGCTCGTAGTCTTTTAGCCACTTTAGGAACGGGCCAAATGGAGGCTGTAGACGGTGGTCCAAGAGCTCTTCTGGGATGCGCCACAGGCTCGAATCATGGCTTGCCGGTCGCTGCTGCTTCACCGCTTTTTCTTCGACCACGACGATTCTCTTCTTCTGCAGATCCAGATGTACGGGAGTTGAGTCTTCCGAAGCGCCGTCCGGGGAGGTTAAGGTTGGAGGATGAGGGATTGGCGCGTGCACCTGCGCCTGCTCCGAAGAGAGTGGGAAGGGCGTCGATAAGGCATGATTGTTGAGCCGAAGAGCAGGGAGGATGCTAGCGATAGTCCCAGGATCGGGTGCGATGCTGTTTGCTATTGCCGATAGAGAAGCTGGTGGGCAAAGTGTAGGCTCGGGTTTGTCGGTCTCAGGCTGCATGGCGGGGCTGCCTGACGACGCGCGATTTAATGCGAGACGTGTGGGCTAGCGCGATTCGCGACGGCGCCCGAATTACTCCACGCCGTCACCGTGTCGAGAGTAACGCGGAGAATAGCGAAGGATGGCCAAGAGTGGTTGCCTCTATGGGGCGAGAAGAGCCGCGAAGGAAGCTTGTCGAAGGCGAGGCTGGGAAGCAAACAAGCCGCGGGAGGCTAGTCCCGGAAAGGGCGTGCTCACGTGACTGGTACTGGATTTTGGAAATGGCATGCCCGCACAGATGCAGGGCTCTACGATGAAGACAAACAGTCCGAGGAAAAACTTGTTTGCAGGATAAAGTCAGCCAAACGGAAATTGTCACTCTACATGAGAGAAATTTAGCGCATTGGTCTTGGAGGCTTGGTGGCCAAGCAAGTCCAAGCATGTTGCGTGAAGCGGTCCGCAGTTGAGAGGGGCCCTGTTGCGTGTCGTATGGGGTGACGGAGGCATGCACCGGGCTGGGGAGGGAAGGCACCCAGACTTTCCAATACCCTACACGACACCAGTCCCGATGGGCTCCACCCAGCGAGGGCATGGATGGATGTTGTACACTGATGCGTTCCCTATATGTACATGGCCGTTCTACATCCAAAAAATTCTACACGTCTATGTGTAACGAGCGACTTGTGCTTTGCAGCAAACGGACATGGCGGAAATGACTGTGTAGATACTTCTCGAGCGATGCGACAGGAACAAGAGATAATGATTGACAGAGAGTTCCCCCTTCTCCCGGCTCCTTCCTTCCTCAACCCCAAAACATGCCACCCTCCCGTTTGTTTCGTTCTCCTCTTCTGACCCACTAGAATACAATATACCAACGCACGGGGATGCGAGACGTTGACATGGCTCACCCACGCGTGTACCCACGAGCCTTGGCTCCCCCAGCTCCCTGACCGCTCTCGGCCACGAAGCCCATCTCATTGTCGTGGCGTATTATCGATCGCACCACCATATCGCTGTATATACTCCAGCTTGTCCAAATACCCGGGCTCCGCCGCGTTCATCTTCAGATCCGCAGCGCTATCATTCGACCAACGCTGTAGCTCCACGCCGGACACGGGTCGTGAGAAGCGGTTGTGCACGATAACCGAGCGGCGCTTCGGGTTGACGTACGAATTCGGCGGGAGGACTTCGCGGTCGGAGAGAACACGGACTTCTGCGGGGTCCATTTCGACAATTGGCTCCACGCCCTTCCAGCGGTAGAATGCGTCGAGGGCGGGGATTGACAGGCCATGGAAGACGATGGAGAAGAAGACGAGCCAGTAGACGACGGGAACCATGGCACGAGTCAAGTTGTCTTCCTCTTCGGTCATGGCTTCGCCGGGCTTGGGGAAAAGGTGGCGAGTGTGCTCGACGTAGAAGACTGCTCCGATTCCTAGGCAAAGTGTAAGAGGAGTCGGACGAGACGGGGTACTGTACTTACCAATTGGGCCGAAGTATCCCATGAAGAGCGCTTCCTTCCAGTCTTTGACGCAACTTGGCATGAGTTTGTAAGTCATGAAGATGGCTGGAATGCGTCGGAATATCAGGATGAGGAAACCAAGGATGAAGAGCCTGCCAACAGTGATGCCGGTAACGTCAGGCATCTGGAATTGCTCCCAGGGGAAGATGGTGCCGATGTACATGAAGCCGCCGAAGTTGAGGATTACGTCGAAACAGCTGTTTACCTCGTCGTGTCGCTTCTCAGCCTCCTCGAGATAGACGCCATCCCAATTCAGTGCGTTACCGGCGACGAAGCAGGCGAGGAGGTCGTCAGTGCCGAGCAGACCGCAGACACCGATGGTGAAAAGCTATTTTGAGTGATTAGTGGCCTGTCTCTGCCATGATGTTGTATGAGCAGAACTTACGCCAATGGCCATGGGCCAAAGCAGGAAGGACTCCGAGTCGATCCACCGCCTCCTCAGGGCATACCTGATCACGTACATGCTGCCATATCCGATGACAACGCCGATGGCAACGGACATGATAATGATGTACAGCCAACCCTCGACGATCCATTGTTCCATGGCCTTCGGCACGCCTCCACCGAGACGTCCAATCTCTTCTTCGCTGCGTTTCAGAAGGTGAGCGGCAGTCTCGACTGCACCCTCCGAGGCTTGGGAGACTGCTTCGGACACTCCTTCCTTGAACTTGACGCCGGCCAAGTCAGCGTGTCGGATCAGAAAGGTGGCCAACCTGAGCCGTGTTAGCTGCCACTGTAAACATACACCCGAAAAGACTCACAGAAGGAAGGGGAACCCGAATCCATCGTTGGCCCCGGCTTCAGAGGAGATGATTTCTCGCAACGCTCGCGGGACGAACTTATCGGAGAAAGGGCCCTTGGCAACTGCCTGCGACAATATCGGATCGGTGCAGGTAACGCAGGAGCCGATGACCAGCGCCGCAAGGAAAGAAAGCTTCGGGATGGTGATCAGGATACACAAGCTGGTGAAAATCCACATAATAGTCATGACCGGCAGCAGACATATGGCCATCTCCTTCCAGTTTGTCTGCTGGTACTTCGCAGGAAGCTGAAATCCGGCGATGACTAGCTGGACGCCGATCACGATGCGGCAGAGACCCTGATTCAATGTTAAAATACGGCTCTTACGCGAAGCGGTATCATTGGGACCCATACCAGGGTTATGGCCTCCTGTTGGCCCTCAGTGGCGAATCCCCATCGCTCTGCGTCCAGGAATCTCGATGCCACGGGACCTAATATTATGCCGATCATGACGGCCGGCACTACGACCGCGGTCAGGAAACTGAGGAGGAATACTCTGGGAATGCGAACTTACGAGCCTCTCCCAAGTACCAGACTTGCTTGATCTTCACCGACAGGAAGCCATACCCAACAATGAAAGCGCCTGCGAAAGCTGGGTGAGTATATCGTTACGCGCGTGCAAAGGAAGTACGCACCTAGGACGGCGATGACAATGTTGAGCTCGCTAAGGTCGAGAACGGGCATGATGGCTGATCCCCCTGGCGGTGTTAAATCCCAATAGCTCCAGAAACGCAATTGTTGGAGTCAGGTCGGAGACAATGAGCGTGAAAGAAGGGAAGAAGCGAATTCCAGAATATACAAGAGAATAGAGGGGAACGGAAGGAAGGGGGGAAATGCCGCAACGCGTGAGTATCAGGGCCAGCCCAATTTACAACCTCATCATCACCAATAGTCCGATAATCAAAGAGAGCGGAGCGTGGGGATTGGCGACTATGGGATTGCGTCGGAGGGCGAAGGGAAGTAAGGGAAGGAGGGAAGTGCCAGACTTGGTTCGGCCTCCCACATTTAGATCGTCGGTATTTTAATCCACGCAAGCGCTCAGGGACCAAGAGATCTGCGTCCGCGACTCCGAACGTCGCTGAAACATTGTTCGAAGTCTGCTCCTGGTGTCAGCCACCCGTTTTCCAATGAAGCTTGCGAGTTCTCCGCTGAGCGCTGATGTTTTGCAGTCCGGCTGGGCGTGTCCGCCGCGGCTTACAGTGACAAGCCTGAGCCTGAAACGAGAGTATTGGGGGATATAGCCAAAGTGAGCGGTGGCTTCTTGGGTCCGGACATTTCGCGTGGGAAGTGCTGTCTCGATGCTCCCTTGGCAGAGCGATAGGCCATGCAACGGGCGCTTCAGGGAAACAATATCGATCGGCGGGGGCATGCTGTTTTTGGAGCCCGACAAGCCTTGACGTGTCGGCCTGCGAGTAAGGGCATGTATCACGGTTAGTCAACCCGTGGGGCCTGGCGCCCGCCGGACAGAGGAAGAGTGGACGCTTGTGCGCAGTCTGTTGGCCTTATCATATACCCATCGCGCAGCAGCGCGATCACTCGGAACGGTCCCTCGATGGCCGTGGATGGTCGATATGGCTTCGGGGCTTGAAGGGCCACAAGGGGCGGTCCAAGAACATCCTGAGCAATCAGCGGTAGTCGCCAACACCTATCCAGGCCGAGATATCCGGAACGCTTGGCAGCGTTCTCGGCGTCACGCTTTCCTCCATTCAGGCGGCGGAGCCAAGTCCTGGCGCCGCTCCGTATCACCCACCAATCGCTAGATGCAGCACGCCAAGGTGTGTATTCTTAGTCACCCCACCCTGGACCCTAGTGCGAATCAACCAAGAGCGGGATGTCTGTGGGACTGCCCAGAGGCAGCCAAGCACAAGGGGGTGTTTGCTGCAAGTGCTGGGGCTTCTGCTGCGGGCGCGGAGACGTAGGTTCGACAAGTTCCGTCCCACTGTGTTTGCCTAGGCATGTCATCGACCTCTCAAGTGACCGCAAAATTGCAAATCCCCGCTTTTTGGGCGCTGTGGAAGGAGAAGGAACCTGGAGAAGTCTCGTGAAGACTTGTCGGAGCTGCAGCAGCGTCAAACGCTAGAGACGCGAGATGGGAAAGATGTGCCTAGCGGTCTGGAGCGCTTGTTATCGGCGCCGGCGGAGATATGTATAAAATCCTCATGGTCTGGTGAGAAACCTCCAAAACAAAACTCCATCTCTTGTCTTCTTCTCACAATCGGAAGTGGCCCATTGAAGTGAACGTTGAGTCACGTGAGGCGGGGTCGAGTCTGCTAAACAGCACAGACATGGGTAAAGCCGACGAGAAGGGTCCGCTCCAGTATGATCTGGACGCGCCCGCTCACACGCTGCCGTTCGAAGATGTCCTCCAGAAGCTCTCCGTGAACCAAGAGTCCGGTCTGTCCGAGGCTGAGGTGAAGAATCGACGAGCTCTGTACGGGCAGAACCAGCTCGATGAAGGGCCCGGTGTCCAGCCTTTCCGCATCCTAGTCCACCAGGTTGCGAACGCGCTCACGCTCGTAAGTCGTGCATTCCCTATTATCAGAGAACCTCAGCTAACCTTGGAAGGTCTTGATCATGGCCATGGTTGCTTCTTTCGCTATCCGTTCATGGATTGAAGGTGGTGTGATAACCTTCGTCATCCTCTTGAACATCATCGTTGGCTTCTTCCAAGAATTTAGCGCCGAGAAGACTCTGAGCAGCATTCGTGCGCTGGGTTCACCTACTGCACGCGTTATCCGCAATGGGCAGTCAATTGTGGTGCCGACGGGCGAGCTCGTTCCCGGTGACATTGTCGAGTTGATCACTGGTAACACAGTGCCTGCCGATCTAAGGTGAGTATTACGCACGCTTCCCCCGATGAACGCTGTTCCTTCTGTAGCTTCACGGGTCCGACGATACCTATTCTAGCAGGCGCCGAGGAATTGCGTGCTGACCAACCGCAGGGTGATTGAGTCCGTCAACTTGGAGACCGATGAAGCTCTGTAAGTCTTGATCCTTTGCGGCGATACATTGCGAGCTAACCCACATTAGCTTGACCGGTGAGTCCTTGCCTGTGGCGAAGACGTCTCATGGCACCTACGACAAGGACATCGGCGCTGGAGACCGTCTCAACATTGCTTTCAGCTCCTCCACTGTGACCAAGGGTCGTGCGAAGGGCGTTGTGATTGCAACGGTAAGTTTGCTCCCCCAAAATCGTCCTTCAACTGCATAACTGACGTGGTTTTGAAGGGCATGCGCACTGAAATCGGCAAGATCGCAGCAGCGCTCAAGAAACAAGGTTCCAAAATCCGGCCCGTCAAACGCAAGGAGGACGGATCTGCCGGTTTCCATCGCTATGTCCAGGCCTGGGCCCTCACGGGAGGCGACGCTATCGGCCACTTCCTTGGCATCAACACTGGCACTCCACTTCAGAAGAAGCTCTCCAAGCTGGCCCTCTTGTTGTTCTTGATTGCTTGTATCTGCGCTCTCATCGTTGAAGCGGCCAACAATTTCTCCTCGAAGAACGAAGTCGTCATCTACGGCGTCGCTACTGGCCTCAGCATGATCCCCGCCAGCTTGATCGTCGTGCTTACGATTACCATGGCCGTTGGCACCAAGCACATGAGCAAGAGAAACGTCATCGTGCGAAAGCTCGACAGTCTCGAAGCTCTTGGCGCTGTGACCAATATCTGCTCGGATAAGACTGGTACTTTGACACAGGGCCGCATGGTCGCGAAAGCCGCCTGGGTTGCGGGCCGGGGCACCTTCAGCGTCGGTACTACACGGACGCCTTTCGACCCGACCGTTGGCGAGATTACGTTCCGTGAGGGACCTCCGTGCAACCAGAACTCGACCGAGACAGCCCTGGAAGCTTCGAAACTGCAATCTGGAGCCGTATCCAAGCAGTATGCCACCACTGAGCGCTACATGAACATTGCCTCCATGGCGAACGTCGCCCACGTACAGTTAGTGGACGGCAAGTGGACCGCCCGCGGAGATCCCACAGAGATTGCAATCCAGGTCTTCGCCTCTCGCTTTGGCTGGAATCGTCACGGCCTTGTAGGTGGCAACGACGACAGCGAGTCCGGTGACTGGCACTGCTTGGCTGAATATCCCTTCGACTCGGACTCGAAACGCATGTCGGTCTTGTACGGTAGGCGCACTGCGGATCGCGAGAAGTATGCTCACCGTTGGGTCTTCACTAAGGGTGCTCTTGAGCGACTGCTTCCCCTCTGTGTCGACATCCAGGACGAGAACGCCCAGGCCCGGCCGATGACCGACGCGGACAAGAAGAAGATCAACGATAGCGTCGACTATCTCGCCAATCAAGGGCTTCGAGTGCTCTGCCTGGCAAGCCGCGAATGGACGGAGCCTGAGATCGCCGACTACAGCGACGTCAAGCGCGAGGTTGTTGAGCAGAACCTCACCTTCTGCGGCCTCATCGGTCTCTACGATCCTCCACGACCTGAATCCGCCGACGCTGTTGCCGCTTGCAAGCGCGCAAGCATCGTTGTTCACATGTTGACTGGCGACCACCCGGGCACTGCCACGGCCATTGCCAAGCAGGTCGGCATCATCCCAGAGCGGTTCGAAAATCTAGCGGCCGATGTTTCGCAGTCCCTCGTCATGACGGCTATGCAATTCGACAAGCTCTCTGATGATGAAGTCGACAAGCTGCCCGTTCTTCCACGTGTCATCGCTCGTTGCACTCCCCAGACCAAGGTCCGCATGATAGAGGCTCTCCACCGCCGAGGACGCTTTGCGGCTATGACCGGAGACGGCGTCAATGATTCCCCATCGCTCGTTCGTGCCGACGTCGGTATCGCCATGGGTCAGTCAGGCAGCGACGTCGCCAAGGATGCATCCGATATCATTCTCACCGACGATAACTTCGCTTCGATCTTGAACGCCGTCGAGGAAGGCCGTCGTCTCTTCGACAACATCAAGCGCTTTATCCTTCACGTTCTGGCCGAGAACATCGCCCAGGCCACAACTCTCTTGGTCGGTCTTGCTTTCAAGGATGCGGCAGGCAACTCCGTCTTCCCCTTGGCTCCGGTCCAAATTCTTTGGGTCATCATGGCCACTAGCGGCATGCCTGACATGGGTCTCGGAATGGAAGTAGCCGTGCCCGACATCATGGACAGACCGCCGCATGACCTAAAGACAGGTGTCTTCAACGTCGAGCTCATTGTCGACATGGTCGTGTACGGCGTCTGGATGTCGATCCTCTGCCTCGCTTCATTCGTCCTGATCGTCTTCGGTTTCGGCGACGGCAACCTCGGATCGAACTGCAATAACGCCTATTCGGAGGACTGCGACCTCGTCTTCCGAGCTCGAGCTACGACATTCGTCTGCCTAACATGGTTCGCCCTGTTCTTGGCCTGGGAGATGGTCAACTTCCGTCGCTCATTCTTCCGCCAGCACCCTCGCGGCGAGAACTACCGCTGGTACCATGTCTTCTACCAATGGTGGGAGGACAGCCGCAACAACCCCTTCTTGTTCTGGGCTATCATCGCAGGCTTTGTCACCATCTTCCCGACCCTGTACATTCCCGTCATCAACCACGCTGTGTTCAAGCACCAGGGTATCAGCTGGGAATGGGCTGTTGTTGTCGTAGAAGCCATCCTCTTCTTCGCCGGTTGCGAGGCCTGGAAGTGGTCGAAGCGAATCTTCTTCCGCAGGCGCGATGCCAAACGCGGATATAGAGGCGATCTGGAGGCTGAATATGATGCCTCCGGCGACAGGATGGGTACGCCCAATTCTTCGTCTGACACTGCGACCGCCGGGAGAGACGAGATGAAGGAGATCAGCACCGTCCACGAGGGCAGCGCGACCTCGTCGCGGCAATGACAATTCGTCAGATGGCGGACGGGATCTCAAGGGAAGGAGACGGGACCATGGCTGTATAAGGCCTGGCGGTGGAGCAAGTTGAGGGTACTGTCGTATGAAGACAAACAGAGTCTGTGTACCGAAGCGGAAGAGGAGTCTGAAGGCCGAAAAGTTATTTCCGATTATGCTGTGGATGAGGATGTTGATATATGGTGGAAGCCAAAAATGCCTCATAGTGCTCTCGAGATGGCCAGTCCTTACCCGAATGAAACAAGTCACTCCTTGACCATTCCTGTTTTGGCTTAGTGTCGCAGTTAGCGCCAGGTGCGGGGTCGCGCCTCTCAACCTTGGGAAGACGTCTGAGGACCTCCAGCGTGAGCTGCATGCCAGGTGACGATTGCTAACTGATATACGAAAGGGGTCGTTTGCATAAATGCCTCAGCCCAAACACCGAGCTTTTCGTTCCTCACTTCGCGTTTGTCGTCTGTGCCTGTTCCTGAACCCTTGTTTCGTGAATTCGTCGATGCGAGAGATTCTCAAAGCAATCGTTATTACTGTAGCAGCCTATCGAGGGGTACCGCAAAGAAGGAGCCTTACCAGCTTTTACGTCGAAGACTGCGCGATGCGATCCGAAAACTAGGGAAGGGGGGCCACCACATTATGCTCCAATATCCTCTAAACGCCGTGAGAGAAACTCCTGGATCTGACCTGTAGCCAAGAGTGTGACGCAGGTGCTCCTGGAAGATGATAAAAAAAACAGCCCCCGAACAAGATGTTATGTAAACCGGTGAGATGCCCGCATGGAAGAGGTGTAGGTATACCCCACAATCCGAGGGCAAAGACATGTGCTGAACCACCAAGCCCAGCCCGAGTCTCATGCTGACGTACTACGACCGAGCGAAGTTTAGTCCAAGATAATCACCTCGTCTTGAGCGGTAGGCAGGCGCTGACGTTTTGCGCATCTATCCTCGACCACGGTCACGTCGCTTTCCTCAGCCTTGACATTGGTACCTTCCGATCGCTCTCGCTTTAGTGTCTTCTTGACCACCTTCGCAGATTTCTCCTGCTCCTAGAACGCTGTGAGACGAGTATCGTTGCAACTCGAGAGAGGCCTTACCCGATATCGATCAACTAGCTGTTCAAGCTCCTGCCGACTGAGGTCTTTCGCAGGTCTGTCCTCTAGAGGTGCCGGACTAGGCGTGCGCGGAATGATGCGCAGAGACCTCAACGCAGCTAATGACAAGAAAAGTCAGATCGGGTAATGAGGTCTGGAGGCTACGCTTACCGAGAGAACGGTATTTGAAGATATAAGTAGCAAAGTAATCGTTGCGGTCGACGAAATCATATGACAAGGTTGTTGTCATGCTCCTGCTCGACCGCTTGGTGCTCGACCGCTTGGGTGCTCCAAGGTTAGTATGTTATCAGGATTTGGTAAATATCGTCGGCCTGGGTGAGCAACCCTACCTTACGCAATGAGATAACGACTTTTGCCCTACAGCCTTTGCTGGAACGCATTGTAGAGCTGACTCGCCCGTGGGAGCTTCGTTGCCCTGCCTTGCCTGTCGTTCGACGACATTTTTGATGAATTGGAAATCCACGCGAATCTCGCCAGCGTAGTCCAATCGCTGCTTCATGGTCTCGTCGATGCTACTTCCACTATCTTCGACTACGACTAATCGTCAGTCTTCATGCAAATGAAGGGTTGAAGGATTCCTTAGATCACCTATTGTAATTTTTGAGAACCTATAGTTCTGAGAAAAGGCAACCCCATCGATTTGACATCGCCTGGACATGAAATTGTGCTTTTTGCCGAGCAATCCTTTCGATTCGTGTATGCGCTTGGAGGCAGCGCCTCCATCGAGCTGAAGTCTGGCCTTTACGCCATAAGTGGACGGGAAGGGAGGGGTGCATTCGTATTGGATTCCGAACTGCGCGTCGGACACCGCTTCTATATACCGGACGATCGTCTTTGGCGGTGGCGTTTCATCGTCACCGAACTCCTTGAGCGCCTCTCCATTGACCAGGACCTCAACCTTCAAGCCGGGGCAATCCGGAAGTATCGCCATCCTGCTCGCGGTTCTTCTGCGGGCTTAAGACGCCGATCGGGTATAAGAGTGGTTTGGTTGAAGAGCGGGTTGCAGGGCAGGAACGATAGTGCTGGGGCTGGATGGGAGAGCAACAGGCGTTGAGCTTTGGATGAAGCTGTGGTGTGAACGCGAAGGTGCGCGTTTCAAGTGATTCGCGCTCAACGAACGCACGGACCTTGCGACGAGACGCGCTAGCACGTGCTTTCGTTTCGTCCCGATCGGCCGATCGCGAAATCTCGAAAAAGGGGAGGAATGTAAGGTTGCAGCAAAAGGAACTTAGGTTAATTGGTGCAGGAATCTGGGAAATGTGGTATGGCAAACGTATGGGGACGAATTATTGCTCCATGTCCCATCCGCCTTCCAGTAACCTCGAAACTCCCCTGTCGAGAAGACTAGGCTATGGCTCCAAGGCCAGAAGCAAGATAATGCCTCGGAATATGCAGAGATATGAAGAAGAACTTTTGTGGGAGATATCTGCCCGGAGCTGCCATGCGTCCCATGGTGCGCCCCAATTACAACGCCGCGCAAGGCGAGTTTGGATCCATGGCGGCATCGAATGGCGGATAGACGCTCTCCTTCCAATGGAGTCAGCGCCTCTGCGCTCCGATCGCCCGTTTAATCAAGTTCGATCACCGTGTTCTTCTTCGCGGGAAGACGCCGCCGTTTCGCGTTCCGCTCTTCCACCACGGTCAACTCGCCTTCCTCATCCTTGATCTCGAAATCGTCCACACGCTCGCGCTTCACGTCCATGTCGCTATTACGCGTCTTTGCGTCTTGCTCCTTACTGGGTCAGTCGGCGATACTCTTCTTAAAATGAACTGCGCCCTTACGCTATAATGGTCTAGAAGAGCCTCCAACGCTTGTCGACCTAATCCTGCCCAATTGCTCTTCCGACCAGTGTAGTGGTTGAGAAGGGCGTGCATGGCATTCGGAGTAAGCGCTGTCCAGCGGCTGCTTGGTGCAGTTGCAACCCTTGTGATTGGAATTGGGTTTGCATTCGGCAGTGGGGTTGGAAGGAGGGGCGGAGTGGGACTTGGGGTGCGTGGGACAATGCAGAGGCTTTTCAATCCCGCTGCGGCGTGGTTTAGCTCTAGTAACATTTGTTCCATGTGGATCTCATCACTCACCAAGGGAGCGGTAAATGAAGTTGAAGGTGGCAAATGGCTCTTTCTCGACCGTGTCAAATTTGAAGAAGCTGCCGCCGACAGGCTTGGGCTCTTCGAGACTATTTCTCTCAGCTGTGCATCTCTCAGAAAGCACATTGTGCCGGTTAGACGGTATACCTCGCGTAATGCGAAAGTGCACTTGCGCCAACATCCTTTGCTGGTAAGGCATCGATTCTTGAGTCGAGCAGGATTCGGTGATCTGATTTCTTCTTCGACTTTCTCACGTTGTTGATGTAATTCAAGGCAACGGTTATTTGGCCAACTGAAAGGCTTCCCTTCTCCACCATGGAATCATTGTCGGACTGGTCTGTGTTTGTGAATGAGTGAAGGTCTATTTCGTGGGTAAGGAGGCGATTAACTCACCCACGTTCAGCTTGGAGAACCGGAACTTGCGTAGGACTCTTTTTCCCTCAACCCGGAGAGTTGCGCCCTGAATCTTACGGGTCCTTTTGAGCAATGCGCTTTCGCGAATAATAGGTCTAGCCACATCTTCACCATCGACGTAGACGATTGCCCTGACGGCATGTTTGTCCGGAAACGGCTTCTCAAAGGATATGGCAATTTCGAAGTTAGCACCGGATACCGCCTCAACGTATTTCGTAACCGTCTTCGGCTTTGCGTTGGTCTCGTAATTGTCGTCGTGCTCTTTCAGCGCTTGTCCGGCAACGGCAACCTCAACCTTAAGACCGGGACAAGCTGGAAGGATCACCATCTTGGGCGGCTCGAATGCCTAACAGAAGAGATAGTGTCGCGTGTGGTAGGAGAGTGAGAATGTGGAGAAGAGGAGGAGGGAAAGTAGAAGGTGCAGTGGATATGGAGGGCGAACTTCCGGTGAGAGAGAAAGACGAACCGCGCCACGTGCCATAATCAGCGAAGAGTAAGAAAGGACTTCACAGGCTATGCTCAGCATGAACCGACACCCATACGGCATAGGAAAGAAGAACCGTATGTGAGGAGATTTCCCTTTCCATATCTAGGTCGGACATCTGAATACTCCCGGCCCTATATGGTATAAATACATATCCGCTAGGTTACCAACCGGATCGACCAGCCACCGAGTAGATGCTCATTCTAACGACGTAGTCCCGAAGACCATTTTTTGCATCGTCGAATAGGAAGGGAACGCCTCAAGCTCACCCGTCTCAAGCAAGTACGCGTTGTCTATTGTTTGTTTTACGGCCGCGAGCGTGGCCAATGACTTCCCAGCCACCCAAGGAAAGACCTTCAATCCAGCTCGACCACCTCGTCTTCCGCACTAGGCAGTCTCCTCTCATACCGCCTCCTCTTCGCCTCACGAGCGCCAACGCACACGCAGTCGTCGTCAGCCACTCTATTTATCTCGTCGTCGCCAACTTCAGTGACAGATTCGGCCCTCTCCCGCTTCATCCTGTCTCGCACCTCTTCTTGCCTCCTCAAGCGCGCAACTATCTGCTCCAGCTGCCCTCGAGTGGATGTCTGGATGACATCCTCGGTACAGTCGCTGAGCTCGAGTGGTTCGGGCGAGCGAGGCACAATGTAGAGGGCCTTGAGAGCAGCTGAAATACATCAGTAGCCACGCAAGTGGAGCGAAGTCGAGGAAGCTTACCAATTGAGTGATAATGAAAATGAAACGTAGAAAACGGCTCGCCGTTGTCCGCATACTCGGCATCAAAGTACTCCACGTTTTGAGTTGTCTCAGGTTCGGCCAGGCTGCACGACAGTAAGTTGACGCTGTGTTTAGCCACAAGAGTTGAAAAGAGAAGACGTACCTGACTGCATGAGAAAGCGCCGCACCCTTGACGACAGCCTTCTCGCTGACCGTTCCAAGCTCCCGTATCTCTTTGCGCTCGACTTCTAACCAGGTGTTCTGGCGCGCATTCTCGAGGAAGTAGAAGTTGAGAGTGATCGTCCCGACCGGCTCAAGCCTTTGCTTGACATGCTCAGGCACCGCCTGGAAATCCCCTTCCTCTATTTCGCGTCAGTTTATTATTGTTCTATTTGAAGAATCAGAGAGTACTCACCGATGTCCAACTCAGCAAACCGGAACTTCTGGACGTAGTGCTCGGAACCAACATTAGAGATGGAACCCTGGCTAGCATGAACCTTGCGGCACAGGTCCCGCGATCGCACAAGAGGCTCGTCTACGTCTTTTCCGTCGACGGTGACTATCATGGACACGGCGCGATCGGTCGGGAAAGGGTGGCTGAAGCGGAAGTGCACTTCGAACTCGGCTCCAGTTTGAGCTTCCACGTAACGTTCGACTGTCTTTGCTGGTACCTGCGTCCGGTCGTCATACTCCTTGAGGACGTCATCGTTGACGACAACGCTGGCCTCGAGACCGGGGCAATCGGGATGGACCACCATCTTTCACGAGCTGAAAGCGCAACACGATGCGTCGGAAGAAACGTTGGTGCGAGAGAAGGTGTTGAGAAAGAAGTGGTGCCTCCAATCATGTTCTGAGAGATGGAGGACATCAAGTCTAGGTGAAGTAGGTGAAGCAAAGGAATGGCGGTGTAAGCAGTGTGAGAGACGGGCCAATGACGAGGTCAAAGACGCCACGGTGAAGGCGGCATCGCGGAGAGATGCGACTATGGATGGAAGGAGCTATGGTGGCCTTATAAGAGTGACGAGTAGAGAAATACTGAGAGTCGATTGCTCATAAGCCACAGAAGCACCTCATGTTAAAACTTAAGATGAGCCAGATTTCAGTCACATGCCGACGTGTCACCAAGCTCGCACCGCGACCTACCACTCCAAGCCTCCTTGAGCGCAACCCGTCCTCGCATAAGCACCATCGCTTCCACCTTTCGCGAGCTTGTCAAGCTCATTGCACACTGCTATTGTCAGCTTTCCCAATGACATTTCGGGGGCTATTGCACGGGAACATACGCTTCTCGGCCTTGCAGAAGCCCTCGCTTCTTCCTTCTTCGCGTCTGCCGGGGAAGATCTCACACCCAGCCAGGCGCTCGAGACGAAGATGCTCCTTCAAGAGAGACACCTGCGCCGGCTCTTCAGTGGGTCGGATAGACTTCACGACGTCGTAGAGGTGCTGTAGCGCTTGGGCCTGGGAAGCAGTATACAGCTTCAACGCTTCTTCAGTAGCAGGAGGCAGAGAAAGCCCATCACGAGAGAAGATGTCGCATCTGATGGTGGTCTCGGAAGCCGAGACTGGCAAGCCGGTCATGGTTGCCCAGATGTTCGAGTAGGGGAAAACGAGTATGACAGTAGTGGGGTCAGCCAGGAAGGTATGACACCCGTCGACTGCAAAGCCAGGACCTCGGAATACGGAGAGAAGAAACTCCATGACCGAAGCACTGGCTGAGGACGGGCTCGGCGTCCCGATGCCGGTGCGATCGCTGGCTCCTGAGGCCAATATTAGCCGACCTTGCTTATAAGTTGATGTGGATAGAATCAGCTTACCGATGGTCTTCCAATTGAATGCGCCACATAACTCCCAGCCGGTGAGCCACCTACTTTTGGCCGTGATGTCGTGTTCAGCTGCGTGTCCAACGAGATCTTCGCAACTGGGCGCCTGAAGAGACTCGCCGGCATCGAGATTGATGTGGATAAACCCAGCACGATCAGTGCAAGTGTGGATCTTGAATAAGCCGTTCTCAGATTTGTTGAAGCCTTCGATGCCGTCGAACTGAGGAGCTTTGACGAGGTTACCCATGGTGTCATAGGACCATCCATGGTAACGACATCCAAGAACGAGAGAAGAGCCGATAGGCTTCTTGGTGATGGTGTACGCCCTATGGCGGCATACGTTGTGGAAGGCACGGGCGATGCGATCTTTGCCCAGGATGATCAAGACAGGGAAGCCGGCGAGCTCCAGGGAGATGTAATCACCCGGCTTTGTGAAGCGGCTGCGGTGCACAATGCAGACCCATGTCTTAGTAATCAGAAGCTGTATCGAGCAAATCGTCGATGGAGGGTACCTTGCTGAAGATTGCTCGGCGCTCGAGCGAGAACAGATACTCCGAGGTCCACCATCCATCGAGGAGGTCTGGTTCTTTGGATACTTCAAACGAAGAAGCATCGCGAAGTGAAATGATGGGTGTTTCGGCAAACGGGGCCATGCTGGTCGGCCAGGCGGTGTAGTCTCGGTCCAAGCTCAACGCGGTGTAGGCGGTTTGAGATTGTGCTCAGAAAGAAACGGCGGATGTGCTGGAACAAATACTGAGGGTTCGTTATCTGCATCCACCACCAGATGCCCGATCGGGCAACCCGGGGACATCAACATTCAAGGCCGTGTTCAAGGACCTCGGGGTGGCCGGGCCGCTCGTATCAGAACACATCATCAAATCCCTCACGCTTGACCTGTTGGCTGGATGAGTCTTGAGGTAAAGCAGGCCATAATGACGATTGCGAGCCGCAGTGCGCCTCCACGTTTTCGAACGATGTTCCTGTTATATCAGCATGACCGTAGAGGTGGAGAAGCCGCTTTTCCTCTTCAGGCTAACATTTCCCGTATAGGCATTTGATTGGTCGCGATGAATACACTCGATGCACGCCAAATCAGACTACAAGATAAAAGAGCGTCAAAGACCCCGGAGCTTCCACCCTTCGAGTAGCTTTGGACGAATGAAACTTTGACATTGACCGTTTAACTGATTGCCCAGGCACCACGCCCACTGGAAATGAGCGGCTGAGCGCTACGATATCGTGGGCTCCACCAGCTGCGTGGTCATCGCCGTATTGATGTGGCCATCGTCATCGCGTGCCCTGGATTCCGACTCCGTTTCTGTCTCGTGTTGGGCGCAAACGAGATGCATGACCCGCTGCTGGTAGTCTGCGATACGTTAGCGTTTGACACAGTGAGGGAGCAGCACACTTACACGCTACTCCAGTCTCCTTTACAGGATTCAGAATGCCTTCGGCGTAGATCCCCTTCTCGAGGTTCTCTTGGGCTTTCTCGCAAAGCTCGTAGTCCTCCATGGCGACTTGACGTACGAACTTGAAGTACTCCTCGAACTTGTCGCCCGACTCTAGATGGTAATAGTCGAATTCCATGCGCGTCACTCCTGGCTTTTCGGTCGGGCACACCCGGAAAGATGACATGCCGCCTCCGTATACATTCAGCGTGCAGTTGGGGAAGAAGTAGAGAAAGAGTCCATCGTCGGCTTTGTTCGGATCGGCAACATGCTGGGAGAAGTTCTTGTGGTTGTAGACCGTGTAGAACGTTGGCGGGTAGTAGACGCTGAATGAGGGATGGGTGTACTGGCAATGGAGGCACTCTTGGTAGCCGTCGACCCTTGCAAAATTAGCCATCATTCAGGTCTTACAGAGAGAGAGCTGACATGGTCTTCCAGTTGAAGCTGCCCTCGTATTTGATGCTTCGGCGATATGGCAGCTTAGTGAAGTCCACCGTCCCGATCAATGGTTTGAGATCGGGGAAGAAGTCGTCGAAAGAAGGAGCCTCGTCGGAGATAGTGGAGAATAACAGTCCTGTCTCCGTGATGTACGACTTCAGCTCGGCTCCCTGTGGGGCGGTTAGCACAACACAGCGGAGAAATGGAAGGAGACATACAGAATTCTCATCATAGACCTTGATATCGCGAGGCTCCTCCGACATCCGACAGGCCGTCAACGCGACTTGGGCGATCTCATAGCCTACCTGCTCTCCAACCACGCCAAATCTTGTTAAGGGGCCGAGAAGATACCAGGACTGCCTCGCTTTAGCAGATGGCGAGTCAGGCAGCGATGGGTCCATTCCATACCTTGAAGAAGACAGAGCGTCGCTCGAGCTGATATAGAGGCGAGCTGCAGTACCACGATGCGGGAAGAGTCCTGGTGAGAGATGCCATTGCAAATGTTGTTTATTTCTCAGCACTCTTGGGGCATAGAGGAAGGCGTGCGATCGGGAAGACCAAGGACTCTCGACCGCGGTGATAAAATAGTGTAGGATTTCGTAGAGGTGCTTCATCCAAGAAAGGTAAAAACACCCCGTGCCTGCAGGGTATCGGTGGTGTACATGTGTTGACATGGTTAAGCGGGGTTCAGGTGAGGAGGGTCTGCCCGCCAATCGAAGGTGTTGATATGACACATATCGCGACGACTCCCTCGGCCGCTGGAAGTCTTCTTCAGCTACAGGAGACAGTCACGGTACCTTGGGTAGGTTTCCTTTCTTGCATGTGCTTGCAATGGCCGGATCGCGCAGTGGTTGACTCGAGCCTGGAGGCTGATCGTGGCGGCGGCTCAACCGCATCACTTTCCGGTCTCCTGGGTACGAAAAGATGCGTTCCCAGAACAGGGGGAGCTGCAGATGGCTGGATGCTGTTCTTGATGGCCTTTGGCTGAAGAAGGGCTCAGAATGTGTTCGAAAGGGCAGGCTTCGTCTTGGCGCTTAGTCAGATGGCGCATGGAATCTCTACATCTCCAGGACCTCTCCCAACTCCTCACACCCGACAGCCGACATCCGACATTCGACGATCGCGTCTCTTCTTTGATTGTTCTCCAGTCTCGAACAAACTGCATGATACCATAGCACTGGCTCGCCGTCCTCTCTTCGTCATCCAGCAACTGGCGTCCGAATGATTCCGCTTCTCATCTGCCGATTCGGCCCAGAGTCGGCTTCGAACTGCGCCGCTCCCTCGCCGTACGCAATGAAGGTCTTTTGATATTTCCAATATGATTTTTCAGAATTCACGTGCGCCAAAGGAATGGATAATGTCTTTCCACTCTCCTCTGAACTTGGCGATGCGCACCTAGGTATCCAAGGGGAGGCAAGAGGATGGTAATGGCGGAAAGGCCTCTATATTGCTCGTTTCTTCCTGTCCAAGGCACGGCGGACTGTCCTTTTTAGTGCGCGGCCACATGCGGCGAGTAGCTGGATCGACCGAGGCCTCCAGCATGGCGTCTTTCCTGGGCGCTCAAAATCTGTCCGTCATCTCTACCCAGAGTTCTGGAATGCTGGAAGGCAGTTAAGAGTTTGGTTGTTGCGCTTGTTTGAGCACGTTTCTCATGCATCCTTCCCCACTTCGGACCTGTTCCCGGCAAAGCGCCGTCGATCCCTGCTGTACAGACGGCCCGAAGCTTCCCACGCACCCACCATGCGGATACTCCCATGCTCAAGGTAACGCAATGGATCCATCTCAATTGGACGCCGGACTCGTGTAGGAAAAGTCGGCAGCTCCTGGCGGCGGCGGGGTTGTGCCACTGTCTTGGCAGCAGTCTTGGCTACTGGTCCTGCGAAACATGCTCAGTACTCCTAGATTGCTCTTTAAGAAGGCAGCATGGCAAGGCGTAGCCAAACATTGAAGGCGCGTTTCAAACCTCAACTCCTCGCTACCGCATCGTCAACCGCCCAAGATGGTCTTCAACGCGAACGAGCCTCATCTCGTCGCCCGTCACATCCAGGATCACGACAGCGCAAAATCATTGAAGTACTACTGGGGGTACTTTGAGCTCCCGCCCCATCTAATCCGGCCGCTGACATTTTGTGAGGTACCCGAGCCGAGTTGTACCATGCACCAACGACGCGGGGTCCTGCGAGTACCTCGATGGCGTCTACTGGATGCACACAGTGTCTATGCTATACACCTTCATTATGTGGGCGGTCATTGGCGGAATACTACTCCTCATCATTCTTGCAAGGCTTTTCCGACCACACCGAAAGAATGAAGAAAGCGTAAAACAATCATCCCCATATCGAGCCTGGAGATCGTTGTCATCAGCAACCCGGCGATATCTGCTCCCAGAGAGCCTTCCAAAGTTTTTTCCCTACACTACCAGACTGCAAATTCTTATCCTGGCAACGCTATGCGCCTATTCGACTATATTCTCGTAAGGGCACCTCCTGCTCGTCTCAGACTTAGCTGACATCAGTAGCTTTGTCGGCATCGTGTACAAAACATGGGTTACCCCTGTCAAAAACAGCGACAAATTCAACACACGAACCGGACTTGGTGGCTTTGCGGACCGCGTTGGAGCTCTCGCGTATGCTTTGACACCACTCACCATCGGCCTCTCTACCCGAGACTCTATCCTCAGCCTCCTAACGGGCGTGCCTTACCAGCATTTCAACTTCCTGCACCGCTGGACAGGACGTATCATCTTGGTCCAATCCTTTATCCACACCATCTTCTGGACTATCGTTGAGGCCAAACTGTACCAGCCCCAGCCGAAGGTCTACAATGACTTTATCAAGCAGACATACATGATCTGGGGCATTGTAGCTCAAGGCTTCATCACCTTCCTCTTTGTCTTCAGTTTGAGGTCTGTGATCCGCTGGACGGGATACGAGTTCTTCCGCAAGAGCCACCTCATTGTTGCCGGATTATATCTGGGCGCCTGCTGGGGCCACTGGAACAAGTTGGCTTGCTGGATGATCGCCTCTCTCGGTCTCCTCGGGCTCGATCTCGGCCTGCGCATCCTGCGCATATGCCTGATCCACATGGGATACAAAGACGGCAATAAGGGCCTCGGCTTTCGCGCCATCCAATCCAAGGTCGAGACCTTTAAAGATCCCTCAGGAGCCATCATCCGCATGTCCTTCACGCACAACCATCAGCCCTGGAAGGTCGGCCAACACTACTACCTCACCTTCCCCGCGCTCAGCATTTGGCAATCGCATCCGTTCACACCTGCCTCAGTTCCACCAACCGCCCTGGTGCCACCAACGCACACGTATATCATCCGGGCCCGCAACGGCGAGACGGGCAAGTTGGCCGCGCTCGCTGAGTCCGCCAAGCACGAGAAGGACTCATTGGTCGAAACACCTGTCATCCTCACTGGCCCGTACGGCGTTTCAGCCATCGACAACGAAGCCTCCAACCTCCTCGCCATCGCTGGCGGAACAGGAATCTCCTTCGCGCTGCCCATCTTAACAGCTGCGGTCACGGACCCATCCTCGCCAGCACAAAACATTGAACTGATCTGGATAATCCGCCACGTCGACAATGTCGCCTGGATCGGCCCCGAGCTCACGTCTCTAAAAGCACAGCTCGATTCCTCAGCACCTCTGATCGGCGGCAACGCAGACGCCATCAAAGCCGCAGGCAGCGTATCCGTCCACGCCTCAAAACGCTTCCGCATCCGCATCGTCGTGACCCGCGCCCCGGAAACACGCACACACGTCCACCCTCCAACAGCCCCGCAGAAAGACCTTGAAATTTCCTCAGCGTCGTCAACCGCCTCTTTCCCAACCCACTCCCACGAAGTGCAACAGCTCATCAAACCGCATCCAAACTTCAGCATCACGTATCTCAACCACGAGCACCCAAGCGTGGCGTCGATGCTGGATACGTTCATCAGCGAGACAGTCGTGAGTGGGCGGACGCGTGTTGTGGCGAGCGGACCAGCAGCGCTAGGGACAGACATCAGGGCTGTGGTTGCGGCGAGGAATGCGGTGGGTGGCGTGTGGAGGGGCGATGAGAAGGGCGATATTGACTGTGTGTGGGATGATCGGATGGGGTGAGGGAGAAGGAGAGGGAATGGTTGTTTTGGTTGATGCGATTACTGGATATACCCTATGCTAGTTAGTCTCAATTGAGATGTTCCTTTTGCAGGGCTGTCTTTTGTGAGCATGAGAGCTCATTCATTGTATATTTTGCCCCTACCCCTAAACCTCGCGCCACCACAGCTCAAAGCCGTTGTAGCCTAGTCCCAACTTCCAACTGCGAAGCACAAAAGCACACTCCTTTCTTACAACGGCCTCTCGAGCCCGCCTTCTCGGGACCTCTATGGCCAAAAAAGACCCTCTTGCGACATCGCGAAAAAAATGCAGTCATCCTTGTCCGACCCGGCCCAGTCCATCTGCGACACACCCGACCTGTGGCGGGCGAACAATTCAAGCAGTAGTGCAAAGCAATAGTGTAAACCCGTCTTCAGGATTCTTCTATCTACAAGAAGAAATTCAAAGCTCAAAAAAGCCGCAAGATTTGAAGGACCAAGTCTCGCTATAACGCCAACCCAACCCAACGCTACACGCTAAACCAAGCGACCAGCAAAGAAGCGACCAGCAAAGAAGCGACCGTCCCGACAGACGCAATCCACCAAGCCGAAATAGCAAAATACAAATTGCGAACTGAATATACATATTCTACCCTTCCTTGCTTACCGTCCATAGTCACTCACTCGTCAACGGCCTTCTCCTTGCCCTTTGTGGCGGACGGCGAGCTGCTCTTCGTCGGCGTAGTCAGCGAGGTCGAGCTGCCTTTTGCCCGCACCTTGAGCGACTTGATGGATGGTGATGGCGAAGGCCTAGGAGAAGCCCGCGGCGTCATCTTCGGCGAACTCATCTGCTCGTATCGACCCGCAAGGTTCTTGACGCGATTAGGAGTACTGCTAGCAGGGCTTCCGCTCGACTCTGCCTTCATCTCATCGCTGTCCTTCGAGTTCTCTCGCGGTAAGGACAGGATGCTACTCCGATCGATGTCCGCGTTGACGACGCGCAGCTTTGACTTGGGCACCGTAAACATGACCTGCACCACTCTTCGCTCGACCGCAGCTTCAACATCCCAGTCCTCTTCATCTGCAGGCGTGCGCGGTCTCTCGCTGCTAGCCGGTACGCCTAGCTCGCCAGGCCGGATGGGTGTACGGGGAGTAGGGAGCTGCTCCTCGTCGGCGAGATTGACAAGGAGGCTGCTGCGCTCTCTCCACTCGCGGCGTTGCCGTTCCTCCTCCGCAAGCGCTAGATCTTCCGGTGCGCCCCAGTTGTCACCGCTATTTCTCCTCCATCTTGCTCGTGGATCGTTCGGATCTAGCTCATCGTCGAGCCAGTCCTGCTTCCCTCTCTTGCTGCTCCAGAAACTCGCATCCGAAGCCGCTCGCCGCGGAGGATTGGATGCTGGGAACGACTTCCGATTGCTTGTTGAACCAGGTTCTCTGACTGGGCTTGGATTATCGGAGTAGCATTCCAGCTGAGTTGTTGGTGTCGTTAGTGATCTCGTGCGGGCGGCATTAGACGTAGACCTGGACAATGCTCTCCTAACGCTACCCAGCCAGCTTTTTCTCCTCTCCCTACCATTTGCTGCGCGAGAGAACCCATCTGTAAATGATGTCGCGGCGGTGATAGTCCCCGCACCGCTTATGGTCCCCTCGGCGTCTCGGTATGAGGGGCCATTTGAGCCGTTGGACGTAGAACTTGTCCCAGGCCTCCCTCGTTCTGGGTTTCCACCAAGCAGCGCTTCGCCCTCCGCTTGGAGTGCCATAAACGACGACCGGGCCGTGGTGAACGAATCCGCGTCAGCGCCCGCGGTAGTGGGTCGACCATTGCTACGGATACTGGTGAAGGACCGTGTGCGCGGGTCAATGGGCGTTTGCCAGCCACTACCACCTTGATTTGCTGTATCTGTGGTTGGACTAGCATCTGGCGTTCTGAACGGGTTGGCCTGTGACGCGTTGTTCAGGATAGGGGCAGAGCGCATGGACGCGCTGCGCCCAAGGCTTCCGTCAGTGGAGCGGGATGAAAGGGTTGACCTTGTACTTCTCTCACTAAGGTTGGAGCCTGTACGTTCTGAGGATTTTGTGGGTGAAACTCTACCGGCGGGGTTAGGGCTGGAGTGCCGTGGCAGGTGCAATGCGACGGATGGTTGCCAATCTGCGGGGCCATCTTCTCGTATCGGCGACGTAGGTGCGGAATGGAAAACGCTCTTTTGTTCCCCGCTCGGTCGACTGTTGTCCGTAAAAGGATCTAGGATTGGTGCGTTATCGAAGATGGATGCTCCCTTGTTTGTCATTCGCTCCGTCATTTCAGGCCGTCCGTTCAAGGGGGTTGTATCATTTGCGCCGTCATGCTCCTGCTCTTCTTCCAATTCGTCAATAGGATGAATGTGGCCTGAGCCCCTGACTCTACGTTCATCGTACCGCGACATGGGAGTATTTGCTCTGCCACCCAAACTGCGCCGTAGGCCCCGTGTTGGACTAGGAATCTCTACAAGCAGTCCCGTTCGCTCTGCATCATGGGCGTTCGCTCGTCTCCAGCCCTGACTCTCGGCTCGGCCGACTGACGGATAAAAGTACGAATCGCTCGATTCGTCCAAGTAATTCGGATGGCCTCCTCGTCCGTCAATTCCGGGAGATATGCACTCGAGGTTGTACCGGTGTGCGCCCATGGCGAGTTCTTGGAGCTGCTTCTCTCGCAGGTCGCGTTGTCTCTTTAGCCTCCTCGTATACCAGAGATAGAAGGCCAGCAAACCTATAACGGCAGCCACGCCAATGCCTAGGCCTGCGCCCAAACCTGCTTTCTGAGAGGGAGTGGAGAGAGGTCCTGTCTTGACTGGCTCCGCAGGCGTAGCCTCAGGCGGAGGGGAATATCCGGTAATCCAAGCGTTAGATGAAATATTGAAGAACAGGGTCTGGGTATTGCTGGCAGGAGACGCTCTGCGCCGTCGTGAGCTGGGCGCAGACATTGAATACCCGCCCATAATCATCATGATATCCCCGGGAAGCATTGCGGCGCCGTGGCCGTAGAGACCGGAGCCATCCGATAGCCCTGAACTTGAGGTAGAAGGCACAGTCCATTCCCAGTCGCCCTGTCCTCCATAACCGTCGCCAACATTTAGTACGGCCAACTGAGGGTCAGCTGGGGTGTCAATGTCTCCAATCCAACCCCCAAAGACGATGATGCGCCGTCCGTCCGGAGTCAGAACGGCGCTATGTCCAGACCGGGGCTCTATAGCGGTGACGTCTGTTCGAATGGCCAGGTCCGTCCTAGATGTATCCGGCTGCGAGACTGGAATAAATGTCCAACTCTGCTGCGGAAGCGAAAAGAGTGCCACTTGCGACGTGTTGATAAAGGCCGAGCTAGTATGTCCGCCGACGAGCACGAAGTTTTGCTGCTGCGTTTGGGTGCCATCGCTCTGGTTTGAGAAGCTCGGCAACAGTCCTGTCAGAGTGAAGCCCGCTTCTGCAATGGGAGGTCCCCGGCTTGAAGACACGCCTAGATGGTAGTCGAGAGATCTTGTGGTGCTTTTAGATGGCTCGAGCGCGATCATGAGGTTGGAATAGTTCGCGGCTGACTGCCAACTGGCGCTGCTTTCGCCTTGAAACGGACACATGCCGCCGAAGAAGTAGACCTCCGTGTCCATAGAGTTCCCGTTGACGATTGCCGAGAAAGCCATGCCGCCGCTGAGGTAGTTTGCGCCTATGTCAGAAGCATGCCTGCCGTCCTCGTCGAAGGAGATATCCTCTTGTCGCCAGGTACCGTTCCCACTCTTATCTGCCGGCTCAGGTATGAAGGTCCAGAGTTCGCTTCCTCGGGCTCCCGTAGAACAGTCCCCGGTGTATACCGTTATGTTGTCTCCATTGTCAAGTATAGGGTTGAAAGCGCGCTGGTTGTTCGCGTCGAGAAAGGGCAATGCGGGGTACAGGGCGGTGTAGGGCAGCGCAGATGCCGCTACATGGGACGATATGTCGACCGCACCGAGCTCGAATTGCGACGTTGAGCCAGAGGAGGGTCGGAAGACGTAGACGAGAGCGCCGCTCCGAAATATCTGGGTCGGGTTGTAGGGCATCTGGGCTGTGGCGCCGGAGAAGAGGACGAAGGCGCATAGGAGGGGCTCACGCAAGAGCGCGAATGACGGCGTGGTCGGCGAAGGCATGGTCGGGCCTGTCTCGGATGGATGGTGAGCACCTTTCAGCGCGAATGCCCCTCGGCTTCCTCCATCGAATGCGCTGCTGTGGGGTAGGCGGGACAGCGTAGCACAAGAAGTCGACGTTGATATTCGAAAAGAGGCCTGGGAGGAGGCTCGAGGGGTACGGCAGATCTACAGTTCATGCACGGATGCGTGAGGGAGGCGGGACATTGGGTCTGTAAACAGAGGCCCAGCCACCCGTTGCGCAACCTCCACCGTGGCGCCCGGCCCACGCCTGTCACAAGCAAAATGTCCAGGAAACAGGCCAATGAGATCGGCGGGCTGTTCTCCGGAGAATTGCGCAGGAATGCAGTGGGCGGCGCGACTAGCCCAAGCTGCAGCAGTGCGACGATCCGACGCGGCACATGCCAGCCGGTAAACAACAGTTACCCGGAGCAACCGCTCGCTTGGCCCGCGCCCAGCTGCGCCGGAGAGATACGGACCAGACGCATAGCGTTCTATGTAGGCTGGAGGCGCCGCCATGGAGCGATTCGAAGATACGGGAGATGGGCGGGTGGTTGCTGGATGGAAGAGACGTGACGTCTGAGAAATGACGGTTGGGAAGTGGGGAGGTTGGTTCTTGGGTTACACGGATTGTGCCAAGCGCCTGCCAGACGACGGAGAGGACATTCATTTAGGTTTTGCGCGTGCATCCGCAGTCCGTCGTGTACATAGAGCCGCTACGGAAGCACGCTGACATGCACATGCAGAAGCGTACCATGGTGCTTAGCCCAGCCTCCCACGGCGGCACACACTCCGATGCAAATGCGGCGCTGACTACCACGCCCCATCTAGAAGCTGAACCTCATGCCCCCGTTAGCGCAAATCACGCTGCCCGTTGTCCATCCGGCTTCCGGCAGGCAAAGCATGCCTATGACACCGGCAACTTCCTCGCTATATGCGGGCCTTCCCCCTGCCTTCATTGACGCCTCATATATCTCCTCAGAGTCTATGCTCTTTCTCGGTGCCGCGAGCGGCGTGTTCTCAATGAAGGGCTTGTTTCGCGCCTGGAAGGTTTCGTCGCTGCCCCAGTACATGTCCGTTGCCACTGGGCCTGGGTTGACAGCGTTGACCGTTGCTCGTTCAGCCAGCTCGCGAGACCAAGTCCGCGTCATGCTCTCAAGCGCTGCTTTTGTCCCGCCGTAGACGGACTGACTTATGTATCCGAGCGATGAGCTAACCGACGAGAGGTTCACGATGCGGCCGGATCGGTCGTGGGGTAGATATGGCAGCGCTGCCTGCATGAGAAGGAGCGGGCCTCGTACATTGACGTTGTACTGCCTGGCAAAGTCTTCGCAGTCCACATCCTCGATGAGCCTGTTGCCGGCCACGCCCGCATTGTTTATGATGATGTCCAGCTGGAACTTGCCCGTCTTGGGGTGCTTGAAGTGGTTCTTCGCTACCTCGACGACGTGCTTCGGTCCGTTCTCAGAGCCCATGCTGGCCTGCACAATTGCCGTCTGGATACCACGTTCGGATTCGAGCTCGGCGGCGAGGTCTTCGGTGATGTTGGTGGACGAGTCGGACGTGTAGTTGAGGACGAGGTTGCAGCCTTTGCTGGCGAGATTGCGCGCAATTGCGGCGCCGATACCTGACGACGGTGAGCTGCAAGTGGTTCAAATTGCACGCCGTTCGTACCTCTCGAAGCTCCGGTGATGATGCCCACCCTGCCCTCAAGAGCTCGGAAGTTCGAGCCACCGCCGAGATTCGTGGAAGCTGCACGCGTCGGTGCTGGTCTAGACATTGCTACTAAAGTCGATAGCAATCAGGAAGTGTGTAGCAAAAAGAAAGGTTCAAGCTGAAGTGAAGAGGCCGCCGCACCATGGCGGGGTCGCGCCTTAAGTGGGACAAGGACAGCTGCTGTGGAGCTCTTCGGCCCAAGTTCCGCCGGCGACTTCTCCGCCACGAAGAGCAGACGCGGAATTGTGCAGGCACATGATAAGTTGCGCAGGGATGGAAGTGCAGATCTACGGTGGGTTTCGCGATGTCGCTCTTGGTGTTGAGCTTCGAAGCCTGAGCGTCGCTTAGTAAGGCGCCCTCAGTCGGCAGACCTGAGACGAATATTCCCTGGCGCAGGCTCGGGTCTTTGCTGGACCGCAATTGGCAGAAGTGCCACATGTGCGTTATGTATCGATAAGAAAACTCTCCACAACCCCGAAAGTCTCCGAAGTCGGGGCAGAGATTCGCAGTTGTCTCTGCGCTCTGCAGCAGCACATGGCGCCCCAGACAGACAACGTATCCCGGAAAGACAGGCTACTGCATGCGGGCGGCCTCGAAACCCGGTGGCGGGCAATGCTCGATATTGAATGTGACGTGAGGGGCAGGAGGGTGATGGACATCGGGCATCTTGGTGAAGGCGGTGTGCCAAAAGTAGCCTAGCGCAGACCCCGCCTGCAGAAGCCAACAAAAAACACTGACACAAGCACACCACCGCCAAACCTAATATTGTGCTTCGTCTCACCTCCTCCTCCTGCTCCTCCCCTCTTCTCGCAACTCAGATTCTTCCCTTGCACACTCTTCTCCATCAATTGCCCTCAAGACGCCCCATAACTCACTTCCCTTCCTTTCATCACATCCCCCGTCATGGTGCAGTCATCGGTGCTCGGGTTCCCCCACATGGGCGGCAACCGCGAGCTCAAGAAGGCGAACGAGGCATACTGGGCCGACAAGCTCTCGCGGGACGAGCTGCTGAAGGAGGCCAAGCGTCTGCGTCTGGAGCACTGGAAGATCCAGAAGGATGCCGGCGTCGACATTATCCCCAGCAATGACTTTGCTTTCTACGACCACATCCTCGACCACATCCAGCTCTTCAATGTATGGACGCAGCGATCATGCTGACAGATTCTCGGATTCTGACAGCGATAGGCTATTCCGGAGCGCTACTCGAAGCATGGGCTGAACTCGCTCGACGAGTACTTCGCCATGGGCCGCGGTCACCAAAAGGACGGCGTCGACGTTCCTAGCTTGGTAAGTTGGGCCACAACTGCGGCGCGGAATGGATGGTTAACAATCCCTGCAGGAAATGGTCAAGTGGTTCGACTCGAACTACCACTATGTCAAGCCTACCTTTCAGGATGGCCAGACCTTCAAGCTTGCTGCCGACCCCAAGCCCGTCGTTGAGTTCCTCGAGGCCAAGGAAGCCGGCATCGTCACCCGCCCCGTCCTCATCGGCCCCGTCTCCTTCCTCGCCCTCGGTAAGGCCGACCGTGGCCAGTTGGTCGACCCCATCTCCCTCCTTGACAAGCTCCTCCCGGTATACGTCGAGCTGCTTGAGAAGCTGAAGGCTGCCGGTGCCGAGACGGTGCAGATTGACGAGCCCGTCCTAGTGTACGACCTTCCCCAGAAGGTGAAGGACGCCTTCAAGCCCGCTTATGAGAAGCTCGCTGGCGGTAGCCTGCCCAATCTCGTTCTTGCCACCTACTTCGGTGACATCGTCCACAACTTCGACGTCTTCCCCAGCATCCAGAGCGTCTATGGTATCCACATCGACCTTGTGAGGAACCCAGAGCAGCTCGACAGCGTCATCGGCCAGCTCGGCTCCAACCAGATTCTCTCTGCCGGCGTGGTTGACGGCCGCAACATCTGGAAAACCAACTTCAAGCGTGCTATCGAGCTCGTCGAGACTGCCATCCAGAAGATCGGAAAGGACCGTGTAATCGTCGCTACCTCCAGCTCGCTGTTGCACACCCCGCACTCTCTGGACAGCGAGAAGAAGCTGCCTGCGGAGGTCAAGGATTGGTTTTCTTTCGCCGTACAGAAGGCCTCCGAAGTCGTTGTGATTGCTAAGGCGGTCACCGATGGCCCTGCCGCTGTTCGTGAGGCTCTCGAGGCTAACGCGAAGTCGATGCAGGCCCGCGCCTCATCCGAGCGCACCAACAACAAGGCCGTCCAGGACCGCCAGGCTAAGGTGACCCGAGAGATGCATGAGCGTAAATCGGAATTCCCGGCACGATATGCCCAGCAGAAGGCCCATCTCAGCCTCCCCATCTTCCCAACCACCACCATTGGTTCATTCCCTCAGACCAAGGAGATCCGTATCCAGCGCAACAAGTTCACCAAGGGTGACATCACGGCCGAGGAGTACGAGAAGTTCATCGAGAAGGAGATCGAGGATGTCATCAAGATCCAGGATGAGCTTGGCCTTGACGTTTACGTCCACGGTGAGCCAGAGCGGAACGATATGGTGCAATACTTCGGTGAGCGGTTGGACGGCTACGTTTTCACCACCAACGGCTGGGTCCAGTCCTACGGCTCCCGCTGCGTCCGACCACCTATCGTCGTTGGCGACATCTCCCGACCTGCGCCAATGACCGTCAAAGAGTCAAAGTACGCTGCTTCCATTTCCAAGAAGCCTATGAAGGGCATGCTTACTGGACCCATCACCTGCCTCCGATGGTCCTTCCCCCGAGACGACGTGCATCAGTCTGTGCAGGCTCAGCAGCTTGCGCTTGCTCTCCGCGACGAGGTCATCGACCTTGAGGCTGCTGGCATCTACGTCATTCAGGTTGATGAGCCTGCTCTCCGAGAAGGCCTTCCCCTCCGTGCCGGCACGGAGCGCGAGAAGTACCTCTCCTGGGCTGTCGACTCGTTCAAGCTTGCTTGCGCAGGCGTCAAGGACTCCACGCAGATCCACTCGCACTTCTGCTACTCTGAATTTCAGGACTTCTTCCACGCCATTGCTGCTCTCGATGCTGATGTCCTCTCTATCGAGAACAGCAAGAGCGATGCCAAGCTCCTTAAAGTCTTCGAGGATAAGGCGTACCCCCGCCACATCGGTCCTGGTGTCTATGACATCCACTCGCCGCGTGTACCCTCCGAGCAGGAGATCAAGGACCGCATCGCGGAGATGTTGGTCTACCTCAAGCCTGACCAGCTCTGGGTCAATCCTGACTGCGGCTTGAAGACTCGTCAGTGGAAGGAGACCAAGGCTGCGCTGACCAACATGGTCAACGCTGCCAAGTTCTACCGCGAGAAGTACGCTTCGTAAGAAGCACGCCATTTGGCACCTTTTTCCGGTCATGTTTCATCAACGCGACTGGCTAAGCAGCACATCAACAGCTGCGTGTAATGTGTGTAATGTGTTCATGATACCAAAAAGTTCAACCTGCATTAGTGGTCATGGGGGTTGAGAGATTTATGAGCGATCTCAACATCGGCGTTCATATGACAAGGTCCGTCGACGACTTTCTTCCGGGTTTGGGACGGCGTATTTGAGGATTGCCAATTTCGGCATGGCGTCGTAAAAGTGTCATCTCGGTTGGGCTACGGATACTTCAACAGGATACCTGCATCTTAGATTACGACCTTGTCCGAGAAATGGACGAGTGGAGAGGGGCGGGAGGGTTCGCGCCGTTGCACCTACAGGGTTACTATGCGGCGAATAAGATAGTAAAAATGAAGTTCAACACCTTCGATAGTTGCTACTATTTGTTTCTGTGATATGTTCCTGCCACAATTCCCGTTCCCTTTTTCCCATCCGAACATCCGTGGCAAAGTAACGCCAGAGGTTGCTAAGGCCTACAATCAAGCTCTTTTGACACCTGTCATACGCACGTGTTAGATGCGCCGAATATCCATTGATGGGTATGAGAAGGTGACGGATGAGAGACGGCACGCGGCACCAAGCAGGTTGAGAATGCCGTGTAGCACTATCACTCTGTCACATTACACCCGTCCGGCGACCGACAGGATCTTCGCATTGTCTTTCTTCGAGAAGGTAGAATGTGAGCTCCAGAGCGCGTCATCTCGAGGACGGCACGAAGCCTGAGGCTCAATGATATTTTTGTAACTGGGTGCTTGTGCTTGAGCGCTAGCACCATGGTGTGGAGGCTAGATGTGGAGATGGAGTGTTTATGGGCATTAGTCTACGTAGATACGTTGCTCGAAGATGTCATGTGTTGGGCGTCCTGATATCTATTTGTCTCAAGCCGGTTTCTGGCTTGCTGGAGTTCAGACCTTGGAAGTTGCGTCCTTTTTTTTTTTTGAGGGCTTGAGAAGGGCCAGCCATGCCATCTCGCACTTCTAGTCTATCCATCCCCGCTAGCCAGGCGGAGGTGTCAGCCGTCGTATGCTATCCGTCTTCCTCTTCCACGGCGAGTATCGTCTCCTCCGAACCCACTTCGTCCCCTGCAAGTAAGGTCTCAACGCCGGCATCGTCACTTCCTTGCTCGCCTGAGATCGAAACACGGTCCGCCATTCGGAGCGGTCATACCAAGACTACGCGTACATGGCGCTGGTGGAAGACTGACAGGGTATGGAGTTGGCGCCCGTGGTGGCAGATACACAGGAAACGCAGAGTCGAAGCGGAATGGTGGGAGTTAGAATGCGGAGCTGCGTCGTCGTCGCCGTCGTCGACCAACGTCTGGCCGGATGAAGACTGCGATAAAGGCATAGTAGCGGTCTCGTCCAAGGAGCCAGTACCGCCGCCAAAGCCGATTCTGTGCACCTTCGACTTCGAAGACGCGACTTATGCGTACGACCTGGACTTCGATGTGTATAGGAGGTGGAGGAATATGGAGACGTTGGTTGAGGAGTTGCTGGACAGCGATGGGCTGCTGCATGTGCAATTATGGGACGAGAAGGAAGGGATGGAGATCATGGCTGGGGACTGGGAGGCGAGGATTAGGCCGGGCTGGGAAGTCCGTGCTGTTTGTACGGATTATTGGGAGTCGTGTAGTAGCTATGTAGATAAGATGAGGTGTGAGAGGGATGAAGGGGTCGAGAGGGAAGAGTGCGAGCAGTGCGGGGGTCGAGACCAGGATAGATATGAAGATTCGGATAGTGACGACGAAGAGGGGGAAGAGGAGACAGGAGATATCGAACTTTGTATTGGGGAGAAGAGAGAGGAGTGGAGTTTTGCGTCGTGGAGAAGAAGGGTCGAAGTGAGGAAGCAGAGATATGTGACGGGGACGAGAAATTATTTGGTTGGAGCTGTTGGGTGGGTGGTGGTGCTTGGGAGTTTCTGGGTCCTCATGTTGGTTTCTTCCAAGCCATAGGGAAGAGTCCCCCCGTTGCGATCTAGACGGCCTTGAAACCTGAGCAATGGGAGGCGTGCTATCCGCCGTCGTTGATTGATCGCTTTTCACCAGGATAAGAAACATAGTGTCCCCACTGCGCTGCCGTGCCAACCGACGGCGTGTTTTTGGCTTGGCGCTCCGCGCTGCTTCACGGCGAACTTCCCCTCGCGCAGTCTCGCACACTCGCGCCGCACTGTCTTTCCCCCTACGACATTGTTACGAGCTTTGATACCCTTCTCTCATCACGAAGTGCCCTGTCTGCTCGTTTCCCAAGCCACCGCACCGCGATCCTAATTCACAAGTCATCGGCCACCGCATTCCTCGCACCCCTTTCCCCCGTTCCCGCGGAATCGCGTACAGCGCATGACATAGCACCTGTGCGACAGTTGAGAGCCCGAAGCAATGTTAGGCTTCCGCCCGCTCGCGGTGGCGAAGCGGAAGCTGCATTCCTACAACCAGGTGCCCTCGCACGACCTCGAGGACGCCGACTACAACGAGAAGCGCTACGACAGCGACGACGACGACAGCTATGTCTCCTCCGCCACATCCTCCCCCTACTCATCGCGAGTATCCTCCGGCGTACACGCGCCGCGCAAGCGATCAATATCACGGCCGACGGTGAGCGCATACAGCTATCGAAATCCACGGGCATTCTCTCGGTACCTCGGACTGGCAGTAGGGAGCACGCTGCTCCTATTCATGTTCTTTCTCCTGAATCGAAGCTGGGCGTCGATACGGGCAGCAGAATTGGGACTGCACAAACAACCTCCTCCGCCGCCGGTGTGGGAGAGCTTCCCGTTCCTCAAGAGGTATCATGGCGGGATCCGGACGCTGATAAGTAGGGAGAAGAATGCGCCAGAGTACCCGAGGAAGGAGGATATTGACCCAGAGATGCCAGCCGACGAAGTCAAGAAGGATGCGCCGAAGGAGAAGCGCAAGGAGGGTGGGAATATCCCGCCACCGGTGGCCTTTAATCCCTATCCAGACTATAAGAGCTTGGGCTATGTGGACACGTACGGCCCGGTGGAGACGTGCTATCTTGACGCGAATGAGACGGTTACCATCCCGTCGTTACGCGTGTATGAAGGGGTGACGGAGGGAATGCCGGACAATATCATGGGCTCATACGATTTGCTTGGGTTGCGCAACGATGTCTGCTTCGAGCGCTTCGGTCGGCTAGGCCCGTACGGAATGGGCTACTCGAAGAGGCGTGGAGGTACAGGTGCTGCCATGGAAGGCGACCGAGAAGGCATTGAGGAGGTCTGGGCCGAGACACCCGAAGTTGACTTTCGGGAGGTCAAGTGGGGTGAAGTTCTGGATCGCTGCTTGGAGAAGAACAAAGGACGCTTCAAGGCCATGCCCAGAGGCCGCAACCACTTCTTCCAATCTATGGCGACGAAGGGACCGGATGCCGAAACCCTGGAGAGTGACGGAGAAGAGAAGAGATATCCCAATGACACTGTCCGCGTCCAACCGAAAGCGCAATACAACAAGCTCTTACCACGAACTGCAGTGCTCATCAGGACGTGGACTGGGTATAACTACGACGATGAAGACATCATGTATTTGCGCGCCCTCATTTCGGAACTCAGCATCGCATCCGGTGGTGAATACCAAGTGCATTTCCTGATCCACGTCAAGGACGACAACAAGCAAATATGGGCCGAGGAGGAAGTATATCAAGAGGTTCTGAAGAATGCCCTACCGGAGGAATTCGCGGGTATGGGGACGCTCTGGTCCGAGCGACAGATGGGCCTCATCTACGGCGGCGTCGAAGACTCCATGTACCGCAATCTCCCCGTCCATGGGGCGTACCGCAGTACGTACATGCCTGTGACGTATTTTGCCCACCAGCACCCCGAGTTCGACTACTTCTGGCACTGGGAAATGGATGTCCGATACACAGGCCACTACTACCATTTATTCAAGCAAATCGGCGAATGGGCTGATAAGCAACCCCGCAAAGGTCTCTGGGAGCGTAGCTCACGCTTCTATGTCCCTGCTGTGCACGGCTCCTGGGAAGACTTCTCTCAGATGGTGCGTGTTCAGACGGAGCATGGCACTAATAGTAAGGCGAACGCATGGTCGTCACATCTTCCTCCGAATCCGCACATGCCTGAACCTGAGACCCAGAAGCCGGAGAAACCGATCTGGGGCCCAGAGCTTCCACTCGACTACCCCGACATTGAGATTGATGACGCCGTCAAGCCGCCCACCGGCATAACGGAAGACAAGTATGAATGGGGCGTTGACGAGCCCGCTGATCTGATCGTGCTGAACCCGCTCTTTGATCCCGACCACACGAACTGGATCCTCGCCGAAGACGTCACAGGTTACAATCGCTCGCAAGGCTTTCCTCCCCGCCGAACCGCTATTAACACTTCCGGCCGTCTCTCCCGCCGCCTCCTCGAGACTATGCACCGCGAGCAATCTATCCATCGCCATACAATGTTCTCCGAGATGTGGCCCGCATCCTGCGCCCTGCATCACGGTCTGAAAGCCGTGTATGCACCGCACCCTGTCTTCATCGACCGCAAGTGGCCTGCGCAGTACCTCGCTGCCATCTTCAACAACGGGCGGAACGGCGCATCGGGCGGTGCTCGACTGTCGGTCTTCTCTGACGAGAGACAACATAACTTCTTGGGAACGACGTGGTACTATCATGCAGGCTTCGCACCAAATCTCTGGAAGAGATGGCTAGGATATAAGGTCGATAATGATGGCGGCGAAGAGGAAGAGCTGGCTGGTGAGGGACGCATGTGTCTTCCTGCCGTGTTGTTGCATCCGGTCAAACAGGTGGACCTGATCCAGGAGCGGCTAGACGATGCTGGGGAGATTGTGGATTAAGGGCCGATGGAGATGGAATGTTGATAACGAGCGTACGGCATGGCGTTTTCTGGGTCCTTGCTCATGATCTTGGTAGCATACGCAGCGGCATGTCTTTAGTACCCCTTTGGGTTCATATTTGGTAGATTGTATGTATGCTCGTGCTTGTATAATACAGTATTTTGATGCCCATGGTTAAACGGTCATTCGACGCCCTCTTCGGCATTTGTACCTCCGAGGTAACAGAGTGTTGGCCTGCTCCGTCATTGGAAGAGCAAGACACCGTGCACTACACGACTCGTGAGAGTGGTCCGTGCGATGACGTCTGAGTTGTGGTCGTCCACACTCTGTGGAGCTCAAGCTACACGCTTCGAACCACTCCCATTCCCGCAATGGACGATATGGCCTCGCGAATAGCGGCGCTAAGATCTCTCCTTCCCGATCTCGAATTGGCGCTGAACTCCTTCACATCGTCGCCGTCCAAATTCCGCGTCGTGCGAACGGTGAATCCCACCGCGAACCAGCCCAGGACACTCTACATCCTCGATTCCTCGTTTAATCCGCCCTCTCTCGCGCATTTCGCCCTCGCTACGTCCGCATTGAAGCATCCTGCGCCCTCGGAAGCGAAGCCACATAGACTATTGTTGCTATTCAGCACGCATAATGCGGATAAGGCACCGAGTCCTGCCAGCTTCGTGCAGAGGATTGCGCTAATGACAATCTTCGCCGAAGACGTGGCTCGCGCGCTAAAGATGTCGGAGCCTTCGGGCTCGGACCTTGCAGATGTTTCTATAGACATCGGCCTCACGAAAGAACCGTACTATACCGACAAATCAGTCGCGATCTCCGAATCCACGCTTCCCTTCTACGCCTCGAACCCCGTCCACGTCCACCTCGTCGGCTACGATACACTCATACGCTTCTGCAATCCGAAATACTACTCCAAACACAGTCCACCGCTCTCGGCTCTCAGGCCCTTCTTCTCAGCCAGCCACAAGCTGAGGGTCACACAACGGCCGTTTGATCCGAACGACAAGTCGTCGAGCGAGTTTGGCACGGCCGAGGAGCAGCAGAGATATCTAGAGAGGTTGAAGGACGGCGAGCTGGAGAAGGAAGGGTTCGAGTCGGGGTGGAGTGAGAACATTGATATGGTTGAGGGCGGGGCGAGTGTTGGTATTAGCTCGACGAGAGTTCGAAAAGCGGCCAAGGAGGGTAATTGGGGCGAAGTCGGTAAGCTTTGCACGGAGGGGGTATCGGCCTGGATTAGGGATCAGGCATTGTACAGTGAGGACGCCAGTGGGAAGAAGACGATGGAGTGAGCGGTGGTATCGGAGGATGACAATTTCCTTCCACCTGAGCCCACATATACGGCCCAATTGAGGTTATATGGCATGTGCCAGGAAGGGTAGTCCACGCTCGGACACGATTTCTTCCCGAGGTCGGGTTGCCGTGCACTCCTTCTGGCACCGTCGGGCTGCGTCCTTTCCTCCTGCCATCAGGACAAGCCTACTTGTGCTATGGAGAATAAGCACGGTAAACGCGACGGTGCTCGGCAGAAAGCTGCATTCCTGGCTGTTTCCATGATAAGCCCTTCGCTCTTTCTGGTTTGCGAAGGTGCGGTGGGGAAACATCGTACGGTACGCATCGCCTGATATGCCTTCTCTCCTCATACAACTGTCTCGCGTCTCCATCTTTGTTTCGCCTTGGTCACTTTGTACTGCTTTATTCTGCTCGCTTTGTAGCGATTTCCCCCTCCTTGTCATGTTCTGGTCCTGTTTGTCATCCAGTTGAGGCTGCGGCAAGTACTCCGCGTGGGCGTGGACCTACAGTCAAGACCTTTCAGAGTCTCAAAACAAACCACACTCCCCCCTTCGGCAACATGGCCTCCAAGCTATGCTGTACGGCCGAGCAGGAGGGCCGAGCAGACTCTCCAGAGCTCCCCAACGTCCGCGTCACCGAGGCCACGCCGGCGAAACGACCTCTTCTATCGAAGGGTTCCACGTCCCCAAACTCCCACGTCACGAGCACCAGATCGGAAGACCTCCACGAACTCCAGCAGATCTTCGACAACGCAAAGAACAATGGAGCGGGCCAGGCGTCCCCAGCAAAGGCCGGCCGCACACACTTCACTCGGCCTTCGGTGTACAGCCTGCACTCGCTCCACAAGATGAAGAGCATGCACTCCCTGATCCGGCGGAAGTTCTCCAGGGACTTATCTAAGAAGCCCTCGGACAACCCCTCGAAGGTTACCGGTGCGAAGAAGCGTCCTCCGGCTGATGATAACCCAGACACGGTGCTCAAACAACCGAAGGACGGGCCCAACGTGCAGCTCAAGATTACCAAGGACGATCTGAGGAAGGACCTGCTCAGTGACAAGAAGCCGGATGAAGGTGGCTATGATTCAGATGCTCAGGTGCTGGATGATATTGCGAAGAATATCGGAAAGAGGACGCCGAACACGAGACCGAGTTTGCATAGCATCGAGTGGACGCCATCGACTGCAAGGTTCGTTGTATGCCGGATTACTCCTCGACTTCGCTTACATTAGCAGCAAAGCAACGCCGGGCTCATCGTCTAAAGGGCGCAACAGCTCGGACCTTGGCCGTGATGTGCAGCCATACCAGATTCGACACCCACAGACGCTCTCTGCCCGCTTCAGCCAGGTTTTCAGTACACCTAACCTCCACGCCGACCGGTCCAAGCCCGCCGAGCGCAGACTCAGACGTTCTCACTCTGCTACATCCATCGACCTTCCAGCATTGTCGCCGCTCTCGCCTCTTCGGTTGCCGAGTCTCAAGACACACGATCAGGAAGGCGTGCCATGGTCGGTCGCTTTGAGCGAGAGCCTTCGTCTTTCGCAGTTCCCTGTTCCTCCTCGACATGTTACTCCACAGCCTTCTAAGCGCTCCTTGAAGGTGCACGTGGGTTCTCAATCCACCGGAAGCAAGGCTGGAAGCCAGTACACCGAGGCGACTGCGAAGGCTGCGGTAATGGATCCTGAAGCCCCTCAGCGGACAACGGCTACCCAGAGCACCGACAAGGATCCTTCCACCCCGGTTACTGTCGTGCAAATTCGCGTACAGGAACCCACCTCGTTAACAACACCGCGCACTTCAGCCTCCATCAGAGGCACAGCTCCAGAGAACGCCCCGCCTGCTCCGCAGGATACGGTGAAGCAAACCCAGGACGACGATGAAGAGGATAATCCTCGACGATCGGTCCACCTGTATAGCATGCGCATCTCGCACCATCTACGCTCCGGCTCACTGCTCTCGTGGGACAATCTCGCTGATGCGCCTGAGCTGCCGAATCTACCTCGTACCTTTCGTGACCGCTCTGTCTCGGACCTGAGTCGTGTTTCCCAGGGGCAGAAGCAGCTTAGCCGGCATGTGAGACAGACGTCAAGCTCCGGGTTTGCTAGCTCCAAGGTTCCTGGGAGATGGGGCCGGGTAGTTCCTCATGAGTTTCGAGAGGATAAGTCTTCCGTCTACTCTAGTCGACCTCAGAGTCCGCCTGACAGCTTTGGCGAGTCGATGATCAATCTATCGAAGACCGCCACTCGACACCACGCTTCGAAGGACTCCTCTGTTGATCTCACAAAACCGAGGCGATCACACTCGTTCCCTACCGACAACGAAGAAACCCCCAGGCCAATCCGGCGACATGGCCTCACAAACCTTCACGACAAACCTAGTATACCCATGAGCAATCGGCGCTCGACAGAATCCGCGCGGCTGGCACGGAACAATAGCGTCGCGAGCACTAAGAAGTCTAAATTCCGTGAAGAATTCAGCCCATCACCGCCCAAGAAGAAAGTCATGCAATCAGCTTCTATCATGAGATTCCTCAACCCTAAACGAAGCAGCATGCGCAGCCAAAGCGAAGCAAATCTCAGATCCGATGCACCAGAAATTGCTGTGGATGGTTCCCTGGAGACTCCTCGTGCAGGCGCGCAACGCGAACGTCGGTTATCAAAGTCTATGGTGAGTATACAGGCCGAGCAAGCAGCTTTGGGAAAGGACAAAAAGGCGAGCCCGGTGTGGGAGCGAGCATTGCAGAACTACCAAGATGAGCGCGCATGTATGTTTCTGTCGGAGAACAAGGACCTTGTCACTCAGAGCAGTCCGTTTCGAGAGCGGAGCGGAAGCGTCGCGAGGTCAATGCACAGTAATGAAGAAGAACAGGCTTCATCGAGAAAGTTGATTCCGGCGAAGCGCTTCTCGGCCCCAGTCCTAGATCCGCCGGCGCCTGGCAAGCCTGGCCCGGAATACCCTCCTTCGCTTTTTTCGAGACGGACTGCCTTTATCGGAAGGGACATGGACGATATCAGCCCAAGTCGGGAAGTGCAGGCGTGCTTCGATAAGCAAACCGATGTGGCTGAGACTGTTGGTGCATGGGGACGCTACCCATCCCACACGCGCCCCGAACGAACCCTTTCTGCTGGCCACCTTGACAACGTCGACGCTCGCGATTTTGCACTGGAAGCAGCCATCAAGTTCGCCATGGGGAAAGACAGCGATCCAGATGACGACCTGATAGACCCCACTGCTCGCCTTCCTTCGCCACCTCTACTTCGAGGCGAGAAGAAGCGGAAGAAACGAATTGGAAATACTCGGATGGCAAAGAGCCACTCCATGACCTTCGGCAAGACATTCTTCAAGAACTATACCAGGATGTTCAGGAGCCAAAGCATCGAGTTTTCGAAGCACGGACGTGGGCATCGAAGCTCGATCACCACGGGCGGGACCCTGGAACATCCCGAGCTGGAGATGCTACCGCAGGTTTGGATGCGGGGACCGATTGACGAAAGAAATGGAGAGCATAGCGGCGGTAGTAACGAGTCACAAGGCGAACAGGAGGAGTACGGTGTTGGCGATAGGAAGGGCAAAGGCAAGCTGAAAGACGGGAACTCTCTGGCGACACTTCGTGCTGTCAACAGCGACAAGGCTCGTCGGAATTCTTCGATGGCCAGGCTTGACGGTCAGGTTGAAGAGGAGCACTCAAAAGACACAGCTCGCGTTATGTCCACATACTACGAGTCATTCATCCCGGCCTTCCCGCGCGCAAGCACGGAAGCCGACTTTGGGCTCGAGGACTTCGGCGTGCCGTCACGCCACTCTTTTGAGAGCAGACGCGCGTCCTTGCGTTCACGCACCGTGCCTGCCCGCTTTTCGAGGCATTCTCGCAATGCGAGTCGAATGAGTCGCCTCAGCGTCGTCAGTCGCACCAGTGCCAAACCGAGCTTCGTGTCTGCAGGGGATGATGAAGTGGGTATGGAGGCGCGGAGCATCGTGAGCGTGCGTAGGAGTACGATGGACTTGATCAATATGTACAAGGAGCAGGAGAATACAGAGCGAGAGAGGGTGTTGAGCTTGATGAGAGTGGAGAGTCAGAAGGAGAACCAGGGAATTACGGCGTTGTGAGGAGGATGTAATGTGTAATGTGGTGAGTGGTGGTGAGTGGCGGTGAGTGGCGGTGGGAGGGATGGTATGCGAGTATGTAGTATCGGTCTGAGAACATTGTATGGACGCGACGTCGAGGGAAGAGCGGTAAGCACGAGAAGTGGCCTTCTCACTTGGATGAGCTATCTGATAGTCTGGGGATATTGAATAGAGAATGTATGAGTACTAAAAGGCCGCGTGCTAACAAGGGGCTGGACGCTTGCGATACTCCATAAGTGATGCAAAGAAAGGTAAGCGAGTAGATCCGCGGAAAGAGGACGGCGTACCTAGTTATGATCTCGTCGAACCGTCTAGGCGGCATCCAGTCTTCACTCCTCGCCCAGAGTTGAAGGTTTAGTGTGAAATGCTGCCAGTTCAGCCAAAACGCTCGCCCTTCACATGCAGGGCACCACTGGTGCACCAAGGGGCAAGTCACATTTAATAAAATCATAAGTGAAATATAGTCATTCCTTTGTGATATACGGCTCCGCCTTGCAAGGACGTCTACAAGCAACATGGCCGCGTTAATCGACCGGACTTTCGAAGTAAGTAGAGAAGTAGGGGGTATTGGAAAGAACCATGGACTCGGACTACGACTACTACTACTCATGACACCTCGGGCTACACGGCCCCCCCCTGTGGCAGTACGGCTCCCGCGCTTCTTAAGCTGCGCGCGCGACAGACGCCAGGCGTTCATCAAAGCGCAACGTACTATTGCTTGGTCTCCTTCTCCTTCTCCGTCTCTTTCTCAAGGACTCCTCCTTCGATGGCGACGGCGGGTGGAGTATCCTTATCCTCGTGCGGTACTGTTTTAGCTTCTCCCGCGATGCTGGCGAACATGCGTGTTGCGCCTGATTCTCCTGATTCGGAATGCGTCGTCGGTGTCGGTGTCGGTGTCGGATGCGCGTTCTCGACGAGAGTTGTCTGCGAGCTTTGAGGGGGTTGGGTTTCGGAGGAGGAGGAGGTTGCAGGGGGAGTAGGGTTTAGTATCTCCTCGATGCTCAGGGCTGAGCGTCGGGAGGGGTCGGATGGAGCTGTTTGCTGTGGTGGCGAAGAGTCCTCGCCTTTCTCTTCTTGTGCTGGTGGCGTGGCGAGGGAGAGTTCGGCGGTGGGGTCTACGAGTGCGCCGGGTGAAGGCACCGGTGCAGCGGCATCTGCTGGATCCTGGGTTGTTGTTGGCAGGACGTCTTCCTCGTTTGTTAGCATTTCCCTTGGATCGGCGGAGGCCTGCGATCCTTCGTCCGTCTCGATCTGCTCTTCGTCCTTGGTGAAGTCGTTGTTGAGATGCGCGGTAGAAGCGTCCTCGGCTTTGCGTGCGGTCCAGAAGTATCTGAGATGAGAGCATTAGCTGTTATTCTATGCAGCAGCAGAGGGGTAACAAGGGATGGATGGACTGGACTCACGTATTCGCATAAAAATGCCGATCCTTCCTATCCTTCAACTCCCTCCTACACTCGGCCAGAAAGACCTCCACCTCCTCCCTACTCCACTTGAGCACCCTGGTAAACAGGCCCAAAGCACTGCTCGGCAGCCAGTCCAGCACATCCTCATACACATAGTAGCCCAGGAGCTTCAGCTTCGCGCCTTTTGCCCAACGCCCAATCGGCCACTTGTAGCACTTGGCGTGGATGTCGACGAAGCCCGCAGCACGCAGTTTTGCGGCGAGATTTGAGGGCGCTGTGGCGTCGAGACCGGTTTTTGCGGCTGCTTCAATGAAGAGCGAGGACCAGCGCAGGATGGGCGAGGTTTCGGGGGTGAGAGAGGAGTCCATGCAGAGGGCGGGGAAGGAAATTTCTTGGCATTCGATCCAGCCGCCGGGCTTGAGGTTGCTGGGAGGGGATTAGCTTTTTGATATTGGTAATGGTGGGGGAGAATAGTACGCGTATGCTTGTTCGAAGAAACGGTCCCAGTTCTTGATGGCTGCGACCATGGCTCGCGTGTGGATGTAGTCGAACTGGTTGTGGAATATCCAGTCTTGGTCGCAGTCATCGATGAGGAAGGAGCAGTTGGGCGGTACGCTGTCTTTTTTAGATGTCTCCTCGAATGGGTTTTGGTCGAAGTTACTGACGCTGTTGGCTGGATTGGACTGGCTCTTGTTAGCGAGGCACCTTTAGGGGAGATAGTTACATACCTTAAATCCGTTCCTATCACTTGGGCTGACGGATGATCATCTGCGAATTCAATCGTCCTGTTCGTCGAAGACAGAATGTTAGCGAGATCATGGAAGCTAGGAACTGTGACCCCGCGCTCTCAATGTCTAATCCGCTTTGCAGAGGCTTGATCGAGGCAAGGAGGTATCGGATAGCCGAGGGCTATAGGCTTTCTGGATAGGAGCTTTACCATATGCCAGTGCCGCAGCCGACATCCAAAACATGTTGGATGTCTTTCGCGATGGGAGCGCAGTAGAGCCTGCCGTCGAGGGTCAACCGGAAAGCCTGGTGTTGGAGATCTAAGCTAAGTCAGCCTGTTCTTGAGCACATGGTCCCCTTCAAGAGACGCTTTCCAACAGTCGTTTGATGAGTGGTCTTGACAGCGGGCCGACTGCGCCGATCCAACCGTACTGTTGGCTACCTGCAAGGCGATGCGCGATTCGCTCGGATTCAGAAGAGAGGGAAGGGCGTCAGCTTACCCAGTCTATCCTTCTCGATCTGGAAACGGCATGTTAGCCTAAATGGTGGGATTTCATGCAGCCGTAGTCCGCACGCACCTCATCGTTCGGCACAGGGTATTCTGTCGATCATTAGCTGGAGCTCGCTGAAGGATGCGTGTGATGCTTGCTTACTCCCTTCGGCGTATGCATGGTAGCGCCGGCCGTTCTCGTAGCGGAAGTTGTAGACACTAGACGTCGCTGACATTGTGTACCTGGTGAAGGCAGCGTGAGCGCAAGAAGTAGCAGCGAGAGCGCGTGGGCCCGTACGAAGACTGATTGTCGCCCAGGGCCGAGTCTCTGTCCGACGGGTCGCTCTGGAGGCGGTGTTAGCGGTTTGCGGCAAACCTTAAGTAGATAGCACAGCACCAAGGCGGGCAGGCGGGGTACTCACGTCCACTTCGAGCGAAGGGCCGCTGCTATCAATAGTGTCGCCGTCGCTGGCGGCACCGGCGTTGGCATTGGCGCCGGGGGAACACATGATCGCGATGGGGGTACGTAGCTACGTTCTAAACGATGGGGCGCGACGACGGCGAGACGCTGCAAAACTTTGTCGAGGAGAAGGGAAAAGCAACTGCTCGTGCAGGCTAGCCTAATATCTGCTGCCCTGGTGCGTGAATGTCACCATCGTATGTGCTCGCGTCTCCGAGGGGCACGCCGGCGGCCGGTACCAGGCCGCTGGAAACGAAGGCAGGCTCGCCCGGCAAAATAGGGCAGGCCGCTCGCGGTGGCCAGGAGGAGGGCCAGATAATCCGCCAACCAATCCTCTGGCGCGGGCGTCGTGGAGATACGAGTGCGATAGATGAGCGCTGCGTCGGCGTGGGCACGCGCTTCCATGCCTTACGGCCCCGGACCCCACGAGGACGCTGGTGCTATTTGCAGCCCACGGCAGGGGCTCACACGTGGGTGCTGACGCTCGAAGATGAGGTGCTTATCGCTATCTCCACACTCGCTTCCGCTACCTAGCTATGTACCGCTACTGCGAGACATGGCTAGGGAAAGCTGACCTGGACCTCTGTCGCCTTTCCGATCCTACGACCGTCACATTAGATTGCTGCCCGAACTCCGCCTTGTGCCGCAATACAGCGGGCCATCTTCCCGCCAGCCATCGTCCACAGTGCTCGAGCCGCTATATCTCGGCTTCCTTGTGCGACTGGCTTGCGCGGGGATAGCCGTCCTGTTTCGTGCGAGAGAGCTGGCGGGTAAGGACCCGAGCCGCGCGGGTTGTACGCCACCTCTCATATCCGCTGCCTTAGCGATCTCGCATTGCGGCCCTCATTGGCTTGTTGGACCGTTGTCGATGCTTGGCAGCGCGGATTGAGCCTGCACGATGTTGCTCGTGCTCGGTGGCCCGCGGTGGAGAACTAAGAGGGGCAGGTCTTTCCGTGCCCTGTTCACGGGAGGGTGGTCGGACGTGGGAAGACAGCGGAACACATGTGAACAGGTGGGTTAAGGATCGAAAGATTGACGTTGGGGGAAGCGAGCAGACGAGCCGCGGTTTTAGTCATGCCTCTATCCATATGATCACGTGATTATAGTTGGCTGCAGGGCTCCGGGGCTGGTATGGAGACCACCAGGCTGTTCACATACCGATGCACAGGCACTTGGAATTCAGGATATATCAGTTTGATGTCTCTCCGATTTCTGGATCTGCTTGAGCTCATCCCCGTCCCACCATCCCCTGCGAGTTGGGCCTCCCAGCCTTGGAAGGATCCTGGAAATGCCGGGATAGCTAGTGTTCCTTCTGGTAGCCCTCACCCCTCTGCTATCCCTTTGCTCCAGCTCCCTTCGAGTCCTCCGCTGCATCCTGTCCCGCCGGGAAGCTCCACATGTCGGTACATTCACGCCTCATCACAGCACTAGGACATACTTGAGTGCAACGCCGTAGCCGTAGCCGTAGCCACAATACCAAGCTTTTGATGCCAGACTGCAACGAGTAAACTAGAACGCTATGCCAATGATACGCTGAAAAAAATGCCCGATCTATCAATTTATGCCCATTCATGCGACCGTGTACACCAACTCCGATAACGTCCACTCATGCTTTTGTATCTCAAGGTAGTCCCCTTCTCCCTTCCTATCGGGGCTATCACCCTACGATACGCCGTCGCCGCCCACTGTCTACGCTCACGGTATTATCGGGGCCGATAGAGATGCTCAGGCTCGAGTCACCATCCTCAGAACCTCCTCTTCTCCTCAGCGCAGCGCCTTGCGACTTGCTCCTCTCGGGCTGAATTACTAGCCACGTTGCGCCGCCGTCAGGGTCTTCCTGCTGCATCAGCTGAAGCTGCGGCCCGTTGCGTCCTCGTGGACGCGGCGATTTTGGCGACGGCGGCGGTAGGAATAGTGTCGTGAGTCTGGTCACTTTCAGCGGAAGCGTTGTGAGAGCCGTCGGAAGCGGATGAGATTCGACAAGAGTGATCTTTTCGAGCGGAAGCGCCGAGAGCATGGATACAGGGAGGTCGACGGGCGAGCAAGCGAGGATTACGTGACGAAGATGCGTGTTGGAGGTATAGAAGGACAGGTTCTCTGGCACGGCATAAGCTCATTAACGCACATGGGAGACACAATGGTAGACTTACCCCTGACTTTCCTCCCGGAGCTTCCTTCCTTGCCAACCCCGACATCGACAAAGTCAAAGCTGGAAATCCGCCCGCAGAAGCCTGTCGCGAATGCACGAAGCTGGCCCAGATTTCGCACCTTGTCTTGCCTGACAAGGTAGTTCGCCATGCCTTCCAAGTTCGCGTACACCCGTACTACGATATCCAATGCGTCGGCGTCTTGGTATTGGGGTCGAAGGTATTCTCGCGACCGAATCAAAAGCTCGTCGGCAAGAGCTTCACCACCCTGAGCTCTTCGAGTAACATACTTGTCTTGAAACTGGGTATATCAGCACCTGGTAGCAGCGCCTCAGTAAGTTGAATCCACTAACCATGAACCCATCGGCGTCCGCGTCAACAAGTACGAGAGCAAATGGCCGTCGCGCCTAACAACGTGTCAACGTGGAAGTCCTCGCGACCTGCAAGAGGGATCCAACCTGTCTCTGAGCCATCGCATTTTCCCGTTCTTTCGCTTCTACAACCTCAGCCTGGAGTGTCCGTCGAACATTCTGCTCCGAGTTGAGGTCGAGTTCCGTCTGTGCGAGCCTCGCTTCGGTCTTCTCAAGCTTGTCCAGTAACTCCTTTTCGCGTGCATCTTGAGTCAGTCCCGTTCCTAGACGTCATTTTTCTCCTGCCGATTGCGACCTGGGAAAAGGAAAACATCTCACCTCAATCAGCTCAAACCTCCTCTCCTCCAAAATCTTGAACTGTGCCAGCCGCTCACGATACGTCGTGGGCAGTGGTACGTCCGCCATTTTGTTGCTCGAGATCTCGAAATCTGGGGCAACCTTGCATTTAAACAAATTTAGTGCTGTTTTGGGTGCCGCGCGCTGTGTTGGGCTTAGGTGGCTTCGCATGCATGTAAAGTGCGGTGACCCGGTGATGATTGGGATGCTCAACGTAGCGAGTCCTGATTGGTTGGCGAAGTGGAGTCTACGATCGTGATTCGATGCCTTGAGCTCGTGTCTCACCGGATGGGGAGGCGGTTGCAGAGCTGGATTTGGGGGGCGGGCATGTAGGAAGCTCTTGGTGAACAGAGCGAGCCGCTACTTGTAATGAGGTGAGGGTTGTGGTGGTGCGCTACTGGAATGTACAGCCCGTAGCCGCATATCAAAGGCGGGAAAGCTTGCGGAGAATACGCCATTAGGTCTTAGCCTGCAGCCTTGTATTATTTCGTTCATGGCCTCTCCGGGGCATCCCATCGAGGGTACACAGTCGGCGAACTTCCAGCAGCTTGAATGCATACCTTGGTGACCGAGAGGCCGAAAGTTGATGAGCCGTTCAGGTTCAGCACGCATTGAAGAAAAAGAGGCCTTAGAGATTCATGCATTTGCTTTAAAAGTACCGCTCAACAGATATCGGAGTGTTGGATGGATCGTTGAAAGGACGGCTGGCGTCGGTGGGATGGAACGGTGCTTCCGCGTGTCGCGGGAGGACAAACCGAAGCACATCGGAGACGGTCGTGTGGTCATCGGCAAATTTACACCGGGGTTGGAGATTAGACGGTGGTATTGAGGGTTTTACGAAGTGTGCAGATGTGACAGCGACGGGTTCTGAAACAGGCATCTAAAGCGGCCTAGTCCATTCAGGAGTAGCTCGCGACGAGGACCTTGGAACTTTCGTTCACGAGAACACTCAAACACTCCCTATTCTCGATAACAGAGGAGCTTGATAGACCGCTAAATTGAAACAATCAGCGGATGAAGGGCGTAATGGCGACCTGCCCGTGATACGGGAGCGATATATGCGTACGCCGGAGATTTATGCAAGTTTTGTGTCCTCTTTCCTACAGAGATGATCTAGAACTCCAGATAGGTCAGTCTATGCATACTCAGCCAATTCACATGGGGCTGTGCTTGACATACCGGTAGACCCAGCTCGAGAAATAGATAGTCCAAGGCACCCGGTCCAGTAATACATGGTATGATACAGCTAGTCCACTTCCTCTAATAATACAAGGTTATCGTCTATCGACCCATAAGCTCCATAATGCAGGCCCACGGGTGTCTCATGCACCCTCTTCTGTTTTACATACTCGTCATCTCTGATCAATGGGCTTGCTATGCACTTTCTTTCCTCGGCTTGGTCGAAACGCGCTTCTGTGATTGTCCCATCCAGGACTTCGTATGAGGCTTCGAGCACTTCTCTTCGTCGATTTCCGTCGGTGCTAGACCCTTCTCCTGCAAATCCGCCAGCCTCCGCGCATCCACTCGACCAATCTGGTACGCTTTCCACGGCGTAATATCGCAATCCATAAGCCAGACTTTGCGGCCTTCGATCTCGGTGTCGTGCATCGTGCGCTGGGCCTCCTCGGCGCCTTCTTTGGTCGTAAAGTCCATAAAGGTAAGGAATCTCGGATGCAGCTTCATGTCACCATAGTTCGGCGCTATGGCCCCAATAGACTCGAGCCCAAACTTGGAGAAATGGCGCTTGATGACTTCGCGGCTTTCGCGAATTCGGTTGCTGACGGTCGTTTCTCCCCAACCCGGCGTCTTCACCCTGAGCTGGATGCGCCGCCCCTCCAGGATCGGATTGATAGCCGTGGTGATTCCGTCATCGTCGTAGAAAACGTGGCGTCCGACCACACCTTCGACGGTTCGCCTCGTGCCCCAGACAAAGCCTGGGTCCAGAGGCCTAGTGATGATGGGCGCCCCAAGGGACATGTTTCCGTTGAGGAGCTGGACGGCTCGCTCCGCTTGTTGCTCATTCGCGAGTTTTACAACGCAAAAGCAATCGTTATAGAAGGTAAAGCGGCATATCATCATCTCCAGTTCGGCCCTGGTTAGTTGTTAGCTTAACTGCATGTGACGAGCAACTTCCGAGTGTTGGAAATGGCGACTCTGAGATCGAACCTACACCTCTAGTCCAGCATTTTTGAAAACTGCTTCAACCTCTGCCCGTGTAGCACGCTTTGGCACTCTGAGGACTGCCACGGATTGTGCGTTCCTGCTTCGCTGTGCATCTGAAAGCACCGATGGTGGAATATCGGTTTGAGAGCGAGACGGTTCGTGCTGTAGAGACTCTTGCAATAACTGTGAGCTTGATACGAATTGGCGATATGGGACTGTGACTCGTGTGGACAGAAACACGGAGCTGACAACGCGCGAGGATGGACCCCTAGAGAAAAGAGAGCGTCCGAGTGAGCAAGCCCGGGCCAACGCCATGGCAATCTAAAGAGAACAGAATATGGACTTCAAACAGGTAATTGGGGTAATGAGAGTCGATGGAAGTCGAAGTAATAGGTTGGTGTGGATGCGACGAGAGACGGAAAAAGCTGAAGTTCCACCGGCAAGCCTCGTCGCGTTCCTTATCGATAAACAACCTCGGAAGCGATACATCTCTTCGTGCACGTCGCTGCAACAATGACTACAGCGTTGTAATTCAACCCCTTCCATGCATGCTTTTGGGGGCTTTTGTGTCTTAAAGATGCCGATGGAAACACGACTTAAGTTGCAACTCGAGCCTACGGGAAGCGGAAGTAGTCCGCGACACGACCCACAGACAGCTTTCCTTAGGCCGTCATTTGATGGTGCAGACAGCAGGTTCGCCATCTAACGTAATGGGGATCCGGAAACATGATTGGCCTAGCTCAGCCAAAGCAGCAATTGGGAGAAATGGGAAGAACGCAAATACTGAGAATCCGTATTCAAGAAATACTACCGATCGCAATACGGCGACTCAGCTCCATGCGCTAATACGGGCTCCATCACTTTCCAGACGTCTTTGACCCCTTAGAGCGAGCAACATTCTTAAATCTTCGCCCGAAATTGCAATACCGGCCCATCCTTCATACTCGCAAACCTATCTTCGATTTGATACTCTGTCGCTCTTGTCCTTCCAACCTCCAGGTCCTTGCCTCCTCCTCCCAATGTGGTCCCTGGAGCCAGTCTCAGGTCATACAAGAACAATACCCTCGCAATCGTCACAGTCAACTCCACGTACGCCAATCCCTTGCCGATGCATCCTCTTGGACCAATACTGAATGGACAGAAGGCTGAAAGCGCGTCCGAGAGCTTTGCATGCAGAGGGTTGGCAGTAGAATCCGATAGCCAACGCTCGGGAACGTAGTCAAACGGGCGAGGATAGTAGTTAGAGTTGTGGTGGATGGCATAATGCGGGACGCCGACGTCAACGCCTGCTGGGATGTGGTGCCCATCGATGTCGATGCCGCCTAGCAGGACTTGCCTAGGGAGTGCGCCAGCAACGGGAGGTGTCATGCGCATTGACTCATCAATACAGGCGCGAAGATACAAGCAGCCACTCAGCTTCTGTCCCGATACAATCTCCTCGACGTCAGAGAAAGTATCGCGGATCTCTTTGCACAATTTCTGTAGCGCCGTGGGATTGTGGGCCAGGTAGAAGAACGTTGCCGCCATAGCCGTGGATGTGGTGTCTGATCCGGCGATGATCAAAAGATTCGACTCGCCCCACAGCTCATCCATGCTGAAGCCCTTCCCGGTCTCCGGGTCTTTGGCGTTCAGTAGGTGGTAGAAGAAGTCCTTCCGGTCGACATCGACGCCCAGCTTGGTCCTCTCCATGGCCTGCGACTTGCTATACTGCATGTACTGGCCGCGCTGAGCAGCGATCTTGTGGAACAGTATCTTATCAAGGTGCCACTTGTGGATCGTAAGATGGGTTCCGCACTAACAACATCAGTACGGAAGTCGGCTGTTCAAGCTGAAGACAGAACTTACGATCAAATGTCGATGCGCCGCGTTCCCCACCAGGTCGACCGCGAACCGATTGGCTGGACTCTCCAACATCCCGAACGCCTTCCCAAACACCAAGTCCCCCATGATATCGAAGACCAACCAGTTGCACCAGTTCGCCACATTCCAGGCATCGTTCCATCCTTTCTCATCCCCCTTCTGTTCGCCTACACCGGCACCATTTTTCGACTCGCCCAGCAACCGACAAGCCGTCCTCACGTTCGCCAGGATATACCTTTCCAGGCTCTTAATCGCGCTGTCCGAGAATGCGTGGCTCATCACCCTCCTCTTCCGCGCATGCTGCATCTTATCAATACTGCTGTGCACATTGACCGTCTTCTTGTTCGCAGGAAAAGCTGTGTAGAAGTCAGCTTTGCGGACATTGGCGCGGAACCCGTAGATGGTTTTTAGACCGGTGACGGTATTGATGGAGAGCGTGTTGGGGCCTATCCGTACGTAGGGACCGTAGCGCTCGTGTGCGCGGTGGAAGCAGAGGTGTCGCGAGCCGCGGTAGGCGTAGTAGGTTAGGTAGATGTCGGTGATGGCGGCGAGACGGGGCCCGGGATAGCGGGCGAGAGGGTGTAAAGTTAGGCGGTAGATTACTATGACCGAAATCTAGGATTGTTAGTTCGGACGCGGAATTTGGAGAGGATATGTGTACATAGAATATCAGGACTCCGAAGACGGAGACCAGTAGGAGAAGAGGGGAGGTTAGGAGCATACGAGCGACGCTCATCAGAAATTCCATTATGGAAAGTGTTCTATGAATCTACCATGAAATCGAAGTGTTTCAATCTTAGCAGTTGAAATGTGCTCGATTGCTCCAAGGACGGCGATAACAATCGTATGGATGAGACAAAGCCCGCCAAAGCGCAAGTCATCCCACCATAAATACTGACAGCCTTCCATTTCCATCCGCCGTTCCTTGAAATGCCAGCAGCATCAGCAACGTCATCTTAGCAAAGAGTTCGACTTGTTGAAGTTTGGTCGGCTGCACGCCGTCAGCAAACGGGAGTCGAGGGTATATGGCTCGGATTGCTACGGCTAGTGCCGGCTATCGGGGTTCGACACAATGATACCGTCACGTGCGGCGGATATTGGGGTCTTAGGCGGCTATTGGAGCATGATTAGTCTGAACCATTGAGATAGCGATGTATGGGACGGATGGAGACGCTTGTGTACGATGTACCAGCTTTACCGGGCCTCGGTGCTAAGCAGCCGCGCACCGGGTCACTCCGATCTAGCTCACCCATTGCCCCAGTTTCCGACAGAATATAACACGGACGGCAACTATGGTCGGTTTTGTAAGCTGTGGACCACGCTTGAGCGTTGTTAGGGGATCGGGTTGAACGGCGAGACACTGGGCGGCTCTTGAGGTTGGATCATCGCTAGACTGTATCGGTATAGTAGCTTTAGTCTGGACTGGAAACCTTGCAACGAGGTTCTTTATGATAAAATTAAGTGCTTGATAATGAATGAAGGTAACGAGCGTAGCCATATCACCCGTGTTCTGAGTAGCATGGGATTGCTTCTCCGCTGGAGCCGACATGACGAGGTGATTCGGAGTTGCAGCTTTAACCTTCAAATAGAGCAGATGTTAGCTACAAGAAGCGAAAGAGGACGCGTTTCTATAGAGGCTGAAGCAGAGTACGTGATGGTGTAGAGAGGAATCTGAGAGGAATTCAGGAGCTGACTAATAGCAGAGCCCCCGGCTTGGCGCCCGCAGCTTCAACCTCACCTCACCAAGCTTCACGATCCGACACAGATCACTACGACCACGTACCCCCGCCCATTGACCCCTCTACACTCATCAATTGCGGGCTCGCAAACGGGCTGCTCAATATGGCGGCCAAGAACATCCCGACGCGCTTCTCGGTACGTACGACACGGTAGCTCTCATCATTCCACGAGCCCGTCCACCCTCCCTCACGACTACGCAAAGCTCCCACTACGCCTTGCTGATATGCTCCTGTGCAGAAATATACCGTCCAGCCGAAGGGTATTTATGGCTTCATCAACAGGGTGTTCGCCCTTGACCCCAGCCGCTCCTCCGGTGTGCCGATGAACCCTCAATTCCGCAACCCGCCGCCGGGCGCCGTCGACCCAGCGACCTACGACGACCCTGTTACGGTACCCGCTGCCGACCTTGCAGAAAATCCGTACTGGAAGCGCGATGTGCGACGCCGATACCCGCAGCTATCGACTGTGACCCAAGCTGACGCCGTAGCGCTGCTGGAAGTGGGAAGCGCGGCCGCGCCGAAGCAGGAGCTGATTGGCGAGGCAGGGACGAAGCAGCTAGTTGCGGCACAGGAAGATGGTGCGAAGGGGTTGAGTGTGGCATTTGAGAGGAACACAGGGCTGGCGAAGGATGTGCTGGGACCCGGTGGCATGCCACCACTACCGAGTGGGCTGAATGCGAGCGGCGTGGAGGGGATGAAGAGGTACAATCTGGTCGGCGAGCAGAGTTATACTTCAGAGTACGATATCCCCCAACCTTTGATGCGATGAGCGTTGAACAGGGTGCTAACACGCGATAGGTACCCTTGCCGAAACTTTGTTTGACGAACTTGAGGGAGGCGGATATCGATAGATGCCATACAGGTACTGTAAATATGACCACCGGTGTTTCCTTCACTATGTTCTGTTTTGTCTCTTATGTGACCTTTCGATATGCACTCTCTGCCTCCTCTGTTCCGGCCGGGCTCTCTTCGCTTGTGCAATCGGCGCTTCGCGCTGGCCAGATTATCTGGAGATGATTTCGTCCCCATCTTTCACTTTCACTTTCACTGCACCGGTTGAGGCAGATCTGCGGCAGTTGCCCGAGCGGCAGTCGCGACGTCTTGGCACCCTGGGTCGTGATTTCCACCTTTGTCGCGGATACCTCCACCTCGTCCCTCGCCGCCACCATCATGGCCTCCTTCCTCAAGTCCACGCGCCTGGCAAAACTCGCTCGCATGGGCTCCTCTTCGAAGGCACATCCCGGCGATGAGGTCGTCAACCCCCTCGATTGCATCTTTAGCTGCTCCGTTTGCGCGAATACGTTCTCCGAGGTCTATGACGGCCGCGACGAGACAGTCCAGGGCCTTTCCGACGGCATCAACCCAAAGGAACGCCTTGTTACAAGGCTCTATGTTTCCAGCTGTGGTCATGTCATCTGCACCAAGCACATGGAAGGCGGCGGTAAGTTCGCTCGCACACAGCGAAAGCCACAGCCTGAGCACGCAACTGACAGTCTGGCCCCGCTAGGCCCGCCCTTTCATCCCGCCGGGACACGTCCTCGGGCTCCTTGCCCGGTTTGCGCAAAGGAGAAAGGCGAAGACCACCCGCGCGAGCTTTACTCGGTCCGCGGCTTCAAAGAGGGTCAATACGACCCTGCGATCTCTAAACACTGGTTCTCTACGCCGCCGATGAAGCTGGACGGGGCTAGCAAGGAAATGGAGGCTTTCCGAGTATGCTCGACGTCACCCAATCCAAGCGCGCGTTGCTAACTTCCTCCAGTTCCAGTACGTCGCATTGATTCGGTACAGCAAGAGCATAACGACCACTCTTCGTCAGGTTGAGAAAGGCGTCGCCGTTTTGCAGAACAAGCTATGCAACGCGGAGGACTTGGCATCTAGAGAACACGCCAAAGTGCTGTCGCTGGAGCAAGACGTTGAACGATTGCGACAATTCGAGCAGGATGCGCAGAAGCTTGAGAGATTTCAGGCGAGGTTACCGGCGATTGAGCACTACCTGCGGCTCCTGCCCACGTTGGTTGAGTACGCCTCCCTTCCTCGTTTCCTGCTCGGGCGATGCTGACCTAGCTTAGGCAAAACGACCTGATGCGAAAGCGTCTCGCTACGCTTGGCTTCCAGATGGCGCTGGAGCCCATTCCTAACCAGAAAGAGCCTTTCCCTCTCGACGAGAATGGCAAGTTCATGGCAGATTCCTCAGGCTTCCCAGAGACGCGGCTACAAAAGACGACTCCGAGCCGCACGGCAGGTTACACAGAGGGTGCCGGCGTATCATCCAGCCCGCAGGAGCAACGTCCGTTGAAGCGCCAGAGGGTGGAGTCGCCCCTACAGGGGCACAATGCCCACGCGCCTCCGACGAGTCGAGACTTGATGCCACCGCCCACCAAGCCATTGTCACGAATGAAGTCAATGCGCAAGATCATCCCGACTTTACGGAAGAAGTTCTCGAGCGGCCGAGCGTCACCCGCGCCATTTAGTAACCATGCCTCTGACCCTGACGTGCAGATGTATGATGATGGTCATTGGGAAGCCGTCGATGCGCCCACCCAGCCTAGCAGTGATCGCGAACGACCTCCGACCCGCCATGGCTACCGGCAGGAGACACCGTACATGTCAGGCGCGTTGCCGGTGGAGTGCCCGCGGCAACCGACTGCTTCTCAGGAGTATCAACTGCTCCCCGGCGTGGGAATGCGAAACGAGAACGCGGAATTCACATTTCGGTCGCAGTCCCCTGTCAAGATGACTCCGCAGGGGTCCAGTGGTCTACCCACTGAGCGCTCGTATATACGTCTGATGGACGGGTTATCGCGAGAGACCGGCCTTGACTTGGGGCTCCAGGATCCGCGTGGGAGCATTGACAGCCAACATCCATCAACTCACCAGCACAGGCAGATTGCAGACGCTCAGCAGAGCCATGTTGAAACTAATGGGGCAAAGCGGCGGAACAGGGGCTACGCATTTCTCCATCAGTCGCCTGACAATGCTCCTTCATCACTGTACGCCCATCCTGGTCATCTTCGGTCTAATCCAACTGATAACTTCACCAGAGCCCATAACAGCGTCTCGATTAACCCGGTTACCCCGGCACCCGCACGGTTCCATCGACCCGTGGAAGAGGTGGATAATGTTGTAAGTCCTTTCTTCAAGAGCAGCAATCGCAATTCACAAGTGTTTTCACGGCCCGGAGTCGCTGAACGAGAGGATAGTCACAATCACTGCGGAGCTTATCGATTTCCAAGGCCGAGGGCCACGGAACCCCAGGGAGACTGGCATGAACCGCGCGGTCTGAATGGACTCTCGTTCATGAATTCGCCTCTGAATGAGAGGAATGAGCCTATTGAGTATAGAGTCGAGCGTAGGGCTACGGAGTACATGGCAACTCCACGACACTATCTGGCCCGAAATATCGACTCGCGTGGTTACATTACGAGGCCAGAGCCCGGGCGGTCTCCATTTCTCAACGACAGCGCGTATGGTTCTTTCAACAGGCCCTATTCTCGCAAAGCCTCGATACATTCTCAGTCTGCGATCCCTTTCCCGTCTTTCGGTCGTTCTTCGCAATCGCGGGCTGGGCGGCTTCCGCCTACGATGCCGTCGATTGTCTCTAGTCGGTCACCGGCTCGGTCGAGACCACAATGGGATAATCTGGAGCGTGTGGGCGTGCGGAGTAGTCACCACTCGCAAGCGCACATTCCGGGAATTTCGTTCACGACCCCGTCGAGGGATTCCTTTTCCAGCACTGGACGACGCAGCGTGAGGAGGTGATCGACCTTTACACGGTGAGTATATCCAATGCTTTCTTTTTTGTTTTTGTTCTGCCAACTGCCTTCTGCCAACTGCTTGAAGATTTATGTCCTTTTCTTTCTGAGATGGAGCTTTTATGAGCTTGCTTGGTGCTTTGACGAGGGGGTGGTGCAAGGATACGAACCTCGGTCGTAATGAAGGGATCACGGTTGAGAGAGTCCATTTTCACAGCCTATACTTGCGGGAGTCGGATTGTCTTCGAGGTCTTTTTCGAGTGGCGAGGCCAACTACGTCTGATAGGAAATGATGTGATGGATTTGGTCATGGCTCGCTCTCTTTCGCCCAAATGTGAAGTTATCACATGTCAAGGTGCAAAGGTCAACATCAGGCCACGTACTAGTACGTTCCACCCTCTTGCCGTCTCCTAATCATTCCACTAATATTCTCTTGGGTGTTAGCAGTACCAGCAGTACCAGCAGTATCAGGCCAGCGACTTGGTCGACCTACGAAGGTGCAAGCAGCGCCAAAGTCTTCCTCCGCACGTCGAATGCAGTACGGAGGATACGGTTATTCCTTCCCGTAGTCCCTGAGAATCCCCATAGCCCAACGCAAGCCTTCCATTTCAATCAAGCGTGCACGATGACACAAGCTTCTCTAGGCACGCGCTAAAGAATTTCCGCTTTCGCCACGGAGCGCGATATCAGTCTCAGCATGCGCGGACCGAGCTCCGGAAACCGGGTAAAGATTCGTGTAGATGAAGCGCTTGTGCCACTTCGAGCAGCTTTCTAGAAGCACCGTGGGCAGACGCAATATGCGACGAATATGCAGAGAAGCTTCGAAAGGGCGTTGAGTAGCGTCCCTTAATATGCAACCCGGGGGTCTGATTGGGCTAAAGAAATGCCCCATTCTGCGCTCGCACTACTGGGATTTCGTCCCGAGGCTTTTTGCCACGACATCACCAGTCCTGCGTTTCAAACACGTTGTTTCTTCCTAGTTTCTCAATCCCACGAATCGCGATCCCGGTCCACCCCGCAATGGCAGCGCCGATTCCCCACCACTCAGGTTACCTAAGCGGGACCTTTAATTTGGAGAAGTAATTTATTCTCCGCCGCGGCTCAAACGGCGCAGATTGGCGACCCTCGATCTGGCAAGCGTTTTGATGAAAACCCGGTGATGAGCAGGTTCTAGTTCCTTCGAGACACGGAGCGCGCGGTCCGTATTGCTGGGGTGCAAATGAGGCGCTAGAGCTATGCTTGAGCTTGTATAAAGATGGTGTTTCCTAGTGCCGGAGCATGGCCGTAGGGCAGTTGGAACACGACTTCCTCGACGATCTTTGTTTTCAGCAGGTGGGATTGAATTGAATTCAGCATCATGCTCTTTGAGAAGATTTTGGCTGCGGCCGCTCTGGCCTCAGCTGCTTTCGCTGCTCCAGCGGACAAGCGTCAGACGCGCAAACTCAAGTTCTTCGGTATCAATGAGTCGGGCGCTGAGTTCGGCGAGAAGAATTTCACGGGTGTCTACGGCAAGGAGTATATCTGGTACGACCTCAACACTATCGACACATTCATGCAGCAAGGCATGAACATGTTCCGTCTGAACTTCCGTAAGCTCGCCGCCTCCTCTCTACCAGCAACCAAAAACTGACCTGTCCACACAGTCATGGAGCGCCTCACCCCCGGCAGCCTGACCGCACCCTTGGACCCACTCTACCTCGGCAACCTCACGCAGCAAATCACTTACATAACCGGTAAAGGCGCCTACGCCATGATCCAGCCGCACAACTACGGCCGCTTCCTCGGCGAGATCATCACCGACACGGCGGGCTTTAAAACCTGGTGGCAGAACGTTGCTGAGCAGTACAAGGACAACGAGCTCGTTGTCTTCGACACCAACAACGAGTACCACGATATGGACCAGCAGCTCGTCTTCGACCTCAACCAAGCCGCTATTGATGGCGTGCGCGCTGCCGGTGCTACATCGCAGTACATCACTCCCGAGGGGAACAGCTGGTCCGGCGCGTGGACGTGGGTGTCGTCCGGCAACGCCGCATCGCTCATCAACCTCAAGGATCCGCAGGACAAACTCATCTACCAAATGCACCAGTATCTCGACACGGACGGGTCTGGCACGCACGCCGAATGCGTGAGCGCTACCATCTTCAGCGAACGTCTCAAGGCCGCGACCCAATGGCTCAAGGACAACAAGAAGCAGGGATTGATCGGAGAGTTTGCGGCGGGCAACAACACGCAGTGTATTAACGCGCTTAAGGATGGCTTGAGCTACATGGGTCAGAACTCTGATGTTTGGACTGGCGCGTTGTGGTGGGCTGCGGGTCCCTGGTGGGGCGACTATATGTACAGCATGGAGCCGCCGAGCGGTACGGCGTACACCGTCGTGCTGCCGGAGATTAAGAGCTACTTTGTTTAAGGGAGTGGCATGGAGACGGAAGGGTGATGGGAAGACTTCGCTTCTTTTGTATATACTTTGATGAATGGATTCGCTAGACCGACGAGCACTCTCAGACCTCATCCAACCGTCCGCTCGCACTCCAGTCCGTCCTCCAAGGCAGCAACCAAGCTATCAATCTTTCCCCTCCCACGCCCTCCGCATATACTCCTCCAACCCCGTGAAATTATACTCCGGAAACCGCTTATTCCACTCCCCGCCCACATCCCACGCACCCCTCTGCACCCCCATAAAAAACATACAAACAAACTCCTTACTAAACTTCTCCCGCTCCGCCAGCGGAATAACCGGATGCGTCATCTGCGGCACCCACTTCGTCTTGAGCTCCCAGTTCTCAATATCCTCGCTCTTGACGTGCTCGATCGTCCAGTCGCCGCCGCGGAGTCTCTTGCCGAGCGCAATTAGCTCGATGATGGTTGTGCGATCGCCCTGCATGCCGCCTTCTACTGGCCACCGCCGATCGTCATCGAGCGCGAGAGCGAAGACGTTGGAGATGTCGGCTGCGGCTGTAAGGACGAGGGGCTGGTTGCCGTCGTCGAGGACGATGGCGTGCCGGCTTTCGAAGTCGACGAAGAAGGGCCAGGTGAAGAGCGAGGGGGTTTGCGAATAGGGATGCGCGAAGTAGTCCATCAAGATGCTGGGCTGGAAGAGGCAGTATTCGAGGACCTGGTTGGATGTCAGTACTGAAGCAAATTTTGGAGGTGTGATGCTTCGTAATGCTATTTTTCGGCGTCTTACTTACCTTCTTCTCCTTATTCAGCTCAGCGAGATATTCTGCGATCTTGTCCTTGTTCTCGTAGTGCGCGACTCCACTTCCGTTCCTGATCGCCCACTCGCTTGGCGCGAATCTTTTCACGCCGGCGTCGATGCACGCGTGGATAAGATTCTTCTGCGCTGTGCAGTCTTTGTCGAGATGCACGATCACGAAGCTTAGACAGACGTTGAAGCCACGAAGAGCTTCTGTGAGCGAGGCGCGGTCATGGTAGTCCACGGTTTTGTACTCTACTCCGGGCGTCGCTTCTTTTGGAGGAGCGCCGCGCGTGAAGATCGTGAAGGAATGTTTGCCGGATTGGATGGCGGTATGGAGGACGTTGGTTGCGACATCTATAGGCTGTTAATGAGAGTCTTCTGATGGAGGTTGGGAAAAGGGTTTCGAGGTGGCCTGGGCGGTGGAGCGGAAAGATCATGGACAACGTACTTCCAGTGCCACCAGCAACAGCTACTTTGACCATCTTGTCTGCTTCAACCTGCCCAAAACTTCCGTACCTTTGATAGAATCAACAAGCTGCGAACTGACCCATTTTATCTCAGGATCGGCCCGCGCCCAGCGGATGACCACACCCGCTCAGAGGTCCGTTTGCGACATATCCGAGCCGAGTAGGCACTCGGGACCCGACGAATCAAGAACACAAACTACAAACGCCTTTATCAAATTCGGGTGTTTAGCGCCCTTTCGTTAGCACTGTGGCACTGAACTGTCGTCGTTTGGGTATGGCGTCATGCATCGCGAAGAACATGACTCGCGGCGGAGTTTGACGGGGTTAAGCGGGGAGAGCGTCACGGGAGGAATGACTCTATTTCAAAGCACATCCCGCGCGAGTGTGTAGTGGTTTGAAGGACTTTTAGCACGTCTTCATGTCCTACAGAATAGAAGATCAGACGATACTTCTGACTTGAAGCATGCGGTATGCTCCTGGTGAACCTGATGGGACTCGTAGCGACCGGTTCAAAGAGAATATATGAAATAATGTGCATAGGGGAGATTAAAAACACTTTAAACTAACGGGAAACGTGGAGATGCGAGACATGTACTTCCCATAGAGTTCGATAAGCCGGAGTTAATACTGGGTTACCGGACACAAAAAACGCCACAGAAGTCCACGACAGTGGAGTGGGTAGAAGAAGCCTTGGTATCAGCCCTGATATACCGTCGCGCGGTGTTATCGCCTTGATGTATGGGATGACAGTTGATAAGTTTGAGGCGAACCAAAAGGAAATACTCCGACGTATGCATGTTGTTTTGACAACACACCCATCCCATGCTGTATGGACCGTACCAACTCCACCTTGAATTCACGCGAGAACTAAGGAGCCTCCCAGGGTCCCTTGTACAAGGCACCCTCTAGTGAATTGCATGAAGCAGGAATGCCCCCGTACCAAGGAAAGAGATAACTGCCCGAAGAGGCAACTGACCGAGTCTCTCGGTTGTTGAGAAGTTCCACTGTGCTTTCCCTCTCCACCTCTTCAAGCGATTTTACCGTTACATTAAGCATTCCATCATCGGATCGGCCCTTCAATTGCTCGACTGAAATGATAATTTCACCCCATGGCTGTAGGTTATTCTCTGGGGTACCGGGGTCATGGTTCCATTCGTTGAACGCAGACCAATGTATCGCGATCGGCGGGTCCAGGACCAAAATCGGAGGCTTAGTCCCGGCATGTCGAGCGATCATCCAATCTGCAAGGTAACAGTCCAGAGTGCGGTCAGTTGGAACAGCATGGATGGAGTCGACGAGGAGCTTTGTGATCCGGGGCGTGTTGTAATCGAAGCCAATAAGACCTGGGAATTGCAGTCCGGATCCCCAGGCTTTATCTGCGAATATCTCTAATTCGGGCTCTGGTAGGTCTGTTCTAGCTAGAAGGAGGAATAGAGATTTTGGCTGACGCAATAGAACAAACTGTCCGATAGTTGCTGACCAGATGAAATTTCCGGGACGGGCTTTCTGTAGTATACCTCGAGTGAGCCTAAACAGCTGCTCCCCGAAGAAAAAGCTGGTCCCGAGTCCCAATAGGGCAGTGTTTAGAGAGACATCGTCCAGTACAGGAGACATGGGCGGGCACCTCTCCAGAATGGATGGTCTTCGTGCAGCAAACATAACAGCGGAGGGTGATATAATGCCCTTCGCATCGCTCTTGGTATAGAGTGCTTCGGCCTTATCCAGCAGAACTTTGATGGTCTTGTCCTTCGTACCGGTCCGACACAGCGAAAGCTCTATTGCATCGTGCACCCAGCTTTCTACAGAGTCGGCAGGTAAAATGTTTAGAATGGACTCCACGACAATTTCGGTACCCTCCGAGATCGCCAGGGCCATGGCGTTTCCCGACAGTGTTTGGAGTATATCTCCCCCGGGGACCCGGGCGCATAGATATCGAAGCATTTCTGCGTCATCGGACGCAATCGCGGCCTGAATCGGAGATGAATGATTGTATCCGGCCCCGATCTTTTCATTAACGTCAGAGCCAGCCTCCACCAGATCCTTTGCAATTTCGGGAAAGCCTCTGATGATCGCGAGTTGTAGAGCCGATGGAAGTCGTCGTCGTGAGCCATCGTAGACTAGACCTTTATCTAGTAGCCACCGAACGACGGGGCGCAGACGAAAGAACACCGCAGCATAGAGTGACGGAACATCGACAACGACATTGCTCGGAAGGTCGCGGACGCATTCTTCCTTACGTGTTTTGAAGCTGGAAACATGTCCTGATCCTTGTTGTTCACTCTTGAGGTGCTGGTTCCGGCGCCAATTGTAGATCGAATACTCGGGAGTCCTCTGATGGTACAGTTCCCATGAATTGGTCATCAACTCTTCCGACGTCAGCAGCTCCATCACGGAAGGTAGCTCCAGTGGCATCTCATCGCGAGCCTGGATGCATTCTGAACATTTCTGAACATGAAGAGGCCAATATTTTGCTGCATATGCAAGAATAGGGAATGTGTCGTAGACATCCTCAGATACGAGATCCACCCGAGCCTCAGCTTTGCCTGTGTACCGTGAGCTGTCGCCAATGGGGGCGAGATTTAAGGTCAAAAGCTGGAAGTTCTTTGGCCGCAACCGACGTTCACTTCTCGGCTTAGCCTGCTCAAGAAGAAATAGTGCACGAGTCTCGGCGACGAGGTCTTGGCACGCGGCCTCGGTCGTGCGAAAAAGGGGCGTCGAGGGAACTGTGAGCCAGTCGCGGAACAGGTATTCCTTGACTGATGCGTGAGCCAAGTGAAATACGGTTGTTCGGAACTGGGTCTCGTCCTTGGGATCCCAGAAGAACGTATCATAGGTGCTAATGAGCAGCGGGCATAGCCGGAAGAGGGCAGCGTGGCTGGTGCGCTTCCTGGAGTTGACAACCAGTCTTCCATCTCGTTCATCGACGAGAAGGCAGTCTACCACTTCTTCCATGCGGAGCGGTCTCATAGAGACAAGTAACCATTTCAAAAGTGTAGCCGCCTTGATCTGGTGTTTTTCGGTGATCTGAGAAAGGGCATCATCGTATATCCCATTGATTCCGCGGGGCAGAGAATCGAGTTCTTCTTCGATCTCGTCTTCGTCGAAACAGTCCTTGAGTCTTTGAAGTGCACACGAAGCGTAGCGGAAACTGCCTTTGATCAGTAACATAAGGCTTGCTACCGAGAGGATGCGTACAGGACTCCATCGGACCGCAGAAGAACCGTTTCTTCAATTTTTGACTTCGAACCGAAGCTAACATCCTTCAACATAGGCTCGGCTCCCATCTGTTGCTGGAGAAAGAGCCGGAGATCGTGCGAGATACCGGTAAGGTCGGCGGCCAAAATACGAGCACAGGGTTTCATTGACGATTCGATGACGGGATCTGGGCGGCTCGTCAAAAACCACATTACTTTCCCATCGATCTCCCATGAGTTCGTAAGCCACTCCAGCACCGCATTCAGTTCTTCGCACTCATCGAGGCCATCGACAACTAGGTGTAGATGATAGGCCGATGCCATTCGGAACGCAACTTCAGCAGCATCTTCGAGGTCTTCCGTGGTCGGCTGATATTGCCAGTAGTTTCGTTCCAGCTTTTGAAGCAGATTATCTAGGATTGTCGTGGTCGATTTTTTGCCTAGTCGGCAGCAAATCCGGTGGAGGATGGCGGTAATAAGGGACATTAGTCGGCCAGTTGCTGGGTCCGTATAGTCAAAGAAGTGATATATTACGATATGCTCAGCATCAGGAAGCGAGCTTTCAAGGTCATCGATAATCACGGAGCTGAATTACGTGAGAATGAGAGGGATAGTTGAGAGCTCATGCTTTGCGTACCAGAGAACTGATTTGCCGCAGCCAGCTACACATTCATTCCTATTAGTACAATGATTCACTCTGAAGGAAAGGATAATGAACGTACGCAATCCGGAGAGCCAAACTTTGTCAATGGCACCATCTTTCCATGATTCATAGGATTCACTTTGCAAAATCCATTGGCCAGTTCCAGCTGTTCGACTCTCGCGGCATGCACGAAGCTTCTTTTGATCTAGTGGTGCAGGTATTGCTGCGAATACTTTCTCAAACTTTAAGTCTAAGACGCCGTAAGCATGGTCAAAGTAGAAAACCAAGTTCTCCTACCTAATTGGGACTCATTGAGGGCCTTGAGTACATCGATTAATGACTGATTGGCAGAGGACGAGTATCGCCTAATGCCACAATCAGTGACGAAGGCAGGAGGCAGTCGCCGCTCTTACTGAGTTGAGATGGCAATGTACTCGCGAAAGTGGTCAACCGCGCGCTCCACAGTCTCACGCAACTTCTGGATCGTACTCTCCAGGAACGGGTACCGTAGTCTTCTCCCACGCCACATTGCCTTCTCCAGAGCTGTTTTGGGAACATCCGACGCTTTGATCTTATCAAGCTTCTGTTGCAGTTTCTTTATCGCCTCTCCAAAGAGCTTGATCTCCTCTTCCACGTCGACCGAGAGATCGCCTTGGAACGTGCCGTCCTCGCATATGGTACGGAAAAGTGCCTGCACGCGCTCGAAGTGTTTCAAATCGTTCACGAGGTCCTTCATGTCCTCGCGGAAGGAAGACCACGAAGAGTAGAATTCTATGAGGAGCTTGCAGGACTCAATCCCTAGCGAGATAAATCCCGCTACGGCGCTCGCGACCTCGAGGCCGGACATAGCAACGAGTTGTCGGGCAGTTGAAACAAGGCTGGCGGAAAGAGAATCAAAACGTTCATGACGAGCAGGTCACCACAGCTAAATAGCCGAGTTCTAAAGGGGATCGTGCTCTCATAGCGTGATAAAGGTCGGAGGTGCTTCAATAATTTGTAGCCAATTGCGTTGGAGGAAAAGCGCCATATCTCGCTTGCACCTGAGAGTGTCACGTGAGTATATCACTCAATGGCTGATCTGATCTACCGCATCGACCATTTATCAAATCTCGCCTGAAGAGTCTACTGACGCTTTCTTCCGGGTGTTGACTTGAGGTCCTTGTAGTGGGTAAATCGCAGATGCGGAACATATAGGCGCGATTCGTCTCTCGAAAAATACGCTCGTGGCGAGAATTTGGAATTTGGCCTTCTATGTATCGATAAGTGGAGGAGCAGGTAGTGGCTTCTCGGGCAAAGGTTTGCTCGGCAGCGGCTTATTCGTATCCACCTCATCCGTATATGGTGGCGGTCTCGTCTCATCAGGCTCATCTCTATAGCCTGCACGCAACAGACCTTCCTCCTCTTCATCGCTCGGTTGCCGCCGCATCCGCTCCCAAACCACGTCCATGCCGTCCCATCTCGCCAGCTCTCGTTGTCGCTTGACGAGGAAGAACAGTTTCCAGGCTGCGATGAGCGCGAGAATGCCTCCAATGATGCTGCCGAAGATGATGAAGATGAGGGCCCACGGCCAGTCGTTGATGATCTTTCCCAGCGCGTTGGGGAGCGAGCCTTTCTTGCCGTACCAGCCCCATTCTTCATGGATGAAGATGACGTGCCCGTCTTCCTCAACGACGTCCAAGCCAAAGAAATGGCGGAACTTGGTCCACGGACCCAGCGGTCGACCCGGAATTGTAAATATGTGGGTTCTTTCTGCAAACTCCACGCTCGCAATCCCATACGCATATACCTTCCCCTCTTCTTTTGGGACGTCGAAGAGGCTGCTAGCAGCCTGCCGATCTTTCTCCCCAGCAAAATTCTCCGCCTTTATCTCCTTTCCATCCAGAATAATCCGTAGCATGTATTGCCTCTCGTCCCTGAAAAAAGCAAGATCCTCGCCGCCAATGGCGTCGAATGTGATCTCCCATTTCTGCGTCTGCGTCTCGGGATGCGATTCCAACCAATGCGAATAGTAGTCGAAGTCCAAGGCGACGCTAGATATCTGCGGACTCAAGCAGCGGCAGGGCAAGCTTCCAGTCTGACAATGTTCTCTAGTGCAGGCTATCGTGTCGTCGAGGTCGGCGCGCGTGAAGTTTCGTGGGACTTGGCCTGCGACAAGGTCCGGCGGTCTCGGAGACATTCGGATGGAAGGGTATATGGGCACATCGTTCAGGAAAAGGGTACGGTTGTCCGACGAGAGAGATATGTTGAAGAACTGTAGACGGCGTGTTAGCCGTGGCTCGGCCCGGAGGCAGCCTGGACGGGCATTACAACGTACCAAGTCAAAGTCCTGCGCTGCGTAGGTGACAGTTTGGTTCGGGCCCTCGCCAGTCAGTGTTTTGGTAGTGCAAAAGTTAGGACCACATGGAAGTCTTGCGACGTAGAACGAGCCGGGTACCACCGTCGCGATGGGCTCCGGCGGCTGTTGACAGGCCGCGTCTTCTTGGCCTTTCCGGCCCGCGCAGTCAAGCGATAGCTCGGTAAAGGCGGAAACAGTACATAGGAACGAGAGGAATGCGAACGCTTCCCCGGACGGCCGCATGGTGTGGAGTGACGAAGAGTTGACCGTCGTGAGGCGTGGGTTCTGGGGATCAGCCTTCAGGAACCTTTCAAGCCTGATAGGGGTTGCGGCGCGGGGCGATCGGGGCAAGTTTAGCCGGATCGCCGACAGGGAATAAACACGCACAACAGCTTTGGATAGGATCCCATAACCACATCCATACCTTTCCCATCGAAAATGCGAAGATACTTCATATTCGCGTCCTCAGTTCTGCGCATGGAGTGCATCTTGCTTTTAAGGAGAAGCGAACCAGTCAAGGTGGGGCCCTACAGAGTTGACCTGAACCATTCATCCACCTAACTTCAGTCTCCAAAACCGAGGGAGACCGTTGATAGTGCCACTTTTCCCTCTCCGACGGCAGCGACTGCGACGACTCGTCGTCGTTGTCGGCGTCGCGCCCTTCATTGTGCAAGGACTCGCCTCCCGCTGCTCCCCTGGCCGGTCATCTCCACTCTACGCTCAGTGATGACTTACAGGCTCACGGTAGGATCTTACTCACAGCGCACCATATCCCATTATTTCCCTGCCTGTCTTCTCCGAGGGAGACTATCGTGAAGACGGCTTGAATTGCTTGGTGTTACAAAAACGGCTCGCTAAGTTCAGCTCCCGTTCCCCGCTCCTGCTTCCCATTATCCATACGTTGCCCACCAGCCATCTTCCACGTATCATAGTCACTCTGACCTCTTGATAGACATTCAAGTCGGTCACGGTCATCCCTTCTTGGCCACTCATAAACCCGAGTCATCGTACTGTACCACTCTCCTCGTCGGTACACGTCGGTACACGTCACACTTCCGACGCGGCCAGCCACTACGTTTTGCGACAATCCATGAACAAGGGCGGGACATCTCGGAGCTTCACGAGGTGTCTAGTGACTCTTTCAAATCCGAATTACGGAACCCACAAAAGAACAAACGTGAACCACATCCGCGATGCTCGCTGCTAGCCTCAGGGCGTGCTCTGTCCTTGCTGGGCTTGATCTCCCCGAATTTGTGGGCAGGACACAAAGACTTGACTTCGGTGCCCATTCAAGAAGCCATACTATTACTCGGAGCATACACACACTCATATGCTCGCCAGTCACCACTTGAACGCCACCACCACCGTGCTCGCGTACAGCTATGAATGTAGCATACCGGTACAGGGAACTCACAGCAAGAGCCGCTCTAGTCATCCTGCTACAGGTATAAAAGGACTCTTCAACGACGACCCTTTCTCCTTCCTTCTCTATACAATTTCCTACATCCAGAGCCGAACTTCAACTTTGAGCGATCAAGAACCCGCTGTACCATCAATAGTGCTACTTCTGGCACTGGCGCCCTCCCTTGAGAAAAGCGATTACAGTCCTCTAAGCATCGCCCTATCGCTATCCTAAGCAGCCAGACTACACTGCACACACACCCTACCCACTTCCTTCGCATTCTTTTCCACCTTTCAACTGCTCTGCGAATCGTTGCTGCGAACCAGCACCCCTAGCGCCTAGTTATCATGGCCGAGTCAAGCGGTGCAGGCAAAGGCAAGCAAAAGGCCAAGCCATTAGGGGGCAACCGCGATGGGACAGTAGGCGACCCCGAGGAAATGTGAGACTCTTCCCCTTTATATTTTTCCTTCCAGTTCGCTAACTTATTCCTACCCCAGGGCCAAATATTCAAGCCCGGCACGGTGCCAAAACAATCGGAGATCGGACCCTTATATGACTGGGAACCGTGTGTGAAGTTTGGCAACCCGTCCTGGCGCTGCAAGGAGTGTCAATTGGAGTATTCCTTCAACGTGGCTGTATGCACGAAGTGCTGGAGGAAGAGGGCCGGTCCGGATGAGCAGGAGGGGGCTGCTCTGGCGGCGGAGGAGGAGAAGAAGAAGGGCGGGGATAAGAAGGAGAAGGAGAAGGATGAGGGTAAGGATGGGGAGAAGAAGAAGCACTGCTCAGTCATGTGAGTGGCTTCTAGCCGATGCCCGACAGCATCTATATCTTTCCCCCCTTTCATGTCTATCTTTTCATGTCTCTCCTTCACTGCAGTTGATGTTTTAGCTTTCTGCTTCATTCATGTTTAGAAGTCCACTCTATTAGTCTGTTTGGCCACAGTAGTTTCAGAATGGATATATATCTGTATTGACGAAAGTCGAATCTATTTTAGATACCAAAGGATATGCGAGCCGCACTTTCTTCATCCATCGGCTATCGGTCAAGGGTAATGGCCGTTTATCGGCAGTAACATCACCCTTGTTAAGAAGTGGTAGGCCGGGAGGAGACTTTAAGACCGTTGACATGATATTTTGCCAAGTTGGCGATGCGCAGAGCGTTGTCTCAAAACACCGCGTTCGTGTCACGTCGAGACTGCACAGCCACGCTAGGATGCATTGGGTAAATTGGATACGGGCGGCCACACCGACCGCGTGAACGGCCGGCGAATAGCATATTTCCTAGAGTAAGACGCGGTGTTCGGCTGTCCGTGACCAAGAATATACAAGACCATGGCACTGCACACAGCCTCATCCTTCTCTCGCGCTCTGCTTGAGGTTGTTGGAGGCATGCGGGATTGCCTTATCCTGAGATATAAGGAGGTTGAATCCATCTTCATCTTTCAACCAAATTCAAAATTCCGGGCCAACTTCTTCCTTCCATCTCACCTGCACTTCAGCTTCCTGTTCCTACCATGGGACTCTCAAAGCTCAAGAACAAGCTCTTTCCCCTATCTTCTGGATCTCAACCGCACGACGCACCTGAGATCATCGGAGGCACCAGCGATAAGTCCACGTTCCAATCTAACCAACACGTCACGACCATTCAGGCTTCGACATGGACCACCTCGCAACCCGCCGACCGAACCGCCGAGAAAAAGCCATGGACTCCGTGGATGCCGAAGGAGCCTCTCACGCAACAGGTGGCGCAACCGTCACCGCGCGACAACGCCGCCGAGCTCACCGAGAGAGAGAAAGACATCGAAGAGAGGATGGGCGTTAGCAATGCGGAGAAGGCGACAGAAGCTGAAGAGAGGAGGAAGTCGCTTATTTGAGGGATAATAGGGACACTCATCGATACATGAGTTATGCGGGATTTTAGAAATATAGAGTAGCATTATAGGCGCTGGGATTTACGACCCGCGCGAGCGTAGGGGGCACGGGGCCGTGAATAGAGCATTTCTGTCTACCTGTTGCATGCGAGCAAAGCAGTGTATTGTAGGTCTGAACTGCAAGCAGGTGTTCTGGTCGTGGCGTTGTCGCAGTACTTGCGGTCTAGTCCCATTATGACGTCACCTTTCGTCACCCTCGCCTCCAGACTTAAACCACCAACATCCAACATCCACACCTCAATCTCAAGAACCCGCAAACCTACAAAAAGCTCTCAAAAGCTAAACGACTACAAACCTTCCATCTCTCAGATCTTAATACCACAACGATCGAAAATGTCCAACAACACCCAATCGACGTTCAAGTCCGCCTCCTTCTCCTTCAGCTCCTCTTCAGTCAACGGACAGACCCGCTCGCAAAGCGAGTCCACATTCTCCGATCCCTCCGGAACCAAGGTCCACCGCACGTCGCAAGAGCCGGGCCAGGCAGCACGCGAGGAGCGCATTGAGTATGATTCGGCAGGTCGACGGCTGGAGGAGGCGGGCACGAGGGGACGCATCGAAGATGTGACCGATCGGGAGCAGGACGAGAAGGATCGCCAGTATGAGGAAAAGATGGAGAACGAGTATGCTAAGAGGGAGGGTGGGGCTTAGATGAAGATGGAGAGGAGCGCAGGAGGAAGGCTAGAATGTCTGTCTGAAGGATGGGAAAGGGGGCAGGCTTGAGGTACGCCACATGTGGTGGAATGGAGCAGACGGAAAGTGTACTTCAAGATGCATAATGAGCTCTCGTTTGCATCATTCAATACTGTCATCTTTCCTGCACTATGAGCTACATATCAGCTTCCGTACATCACCCAATCCTGCGTGCTCTTCCTAACTTTCCTTCTCCCCCGGTGCGCCCTACGGGTTCTCGAAGCTTAATTGCAGATGGCCGCATACAATTCAAAGCGTAACAGGATGCTTTCGAAGGGACTGTTGTAAATGTCACGTGCGGTCGGCATTTCACCCGGCCTTTAAAACCTTCATATCTTGGAAAGTCGGTCATCCCAATCGAGTGATATGAGCTTGGAGCCAATGGAGGACTAGCGAAGAGGGATTCCAATTTTCAGTCCCCCTTGAGACCATCCTTTTCAAAGCATCTTTAGATAGAGTCTCCTAACGTTTTGGCTTCTTTCATTGTGTTAGCACTTGCTCCTTTCTCCTCCTGAAACCTATTTCACAGGGAATCCTGCTACATCGAACTAAAACCGACCACCACTCTCGCCCAGACAACGCATCAGCGACTAAAGTTAGATCAACCACTCAAACGCCCCATAGACGCAAACGTTCTCTCCACCACACAATCATCAACACATCCATGAATCAACCGCAACAGAACAACTTCTCAAAAACACCTCCACTTCCCACCATGCACCAAACACTCAGTCCCAACCGCCCACCCACCGCCATCAGATCTCCCCCGTACCACGAAGACGACGCCTCTACCATCGAGCAATACGACCTCAGCCCTTCTTACTACTTCTCGCCCGCAAATTCTTTTGAAGGCATGCCTCTCAGCGAGTTCCTACCGGGCTCTGATATCCTTCGCTTGCCGCCTCCTGCGGCGCGCCCAAGGAACGTCATGACTACGCCGTGGCCGCATATGCTGGATTACAACTGGTTGAGGGATGAGTGGGATGATTTGGTGTTTAAGTGCGTTTGGTTGGCGCTGCTGGTGGGGTTTGGGTGGGTGGTTTGGAGGGTGGATGTTAGGGGTTAATGGAGTGGAGAGGGTTGGTGTTGGTGTGGACTGGTGACGCTGTTGGTGCTGGGAGGGTGTTTTGACGAGCGGGGGTTGCGGGGTGGAAGGGTGGTGGTGAGCGTGGCTGGTTCTTGTTTGTTGGCTTATGCTTGTCTGATCAAGGTGTTGCTTTCAAAGCACCAAGACCGAATACTCCGCTGCTCTCAACGTGCGTGAAGACGGCAAAGTTGGGCTGGGGCTGCTGCAAGCTAGCTTCTGCGACGGCGTCAAATCCGTGTTTATCTAGGACGTTTGCGGGAACGAGTTCTGCAAAGGCGCTGGCAGCGGCGTTGCGGGTGGGAGTCGCTGGGACCGACATGGGTGCTTGCTCCTGTACGCAGGGTATTAGCCACTCGATTACCATTTAAGAAAGCTTGTAGGTATCGACTGGTTTAGGTTTCTCACTCTATTATTTTAGGCGGTGTAAGAACACCTGCTGGCTGAGTACGCGGGACCCTGAGTATCTTCATGGCGGGATACATGTAGAGTTATATGGAGTTATTAGGGAAGGGTATAAGTAGAAGAGACATGATATCTAGACGGGCAACCACTACGTAGAAGAGACATGGCATCACATAGACAAGCAGTCACCAGAGGCACAAAGAAAGATATCATCGACAAGCAAAACGCCGCTCAGCACCAAAACGCCGGCGGGTATCCATTACTACATAAAAAAAGAACCAAGCGCATCCTGCTGCTGCTGCTGGATCGCTGGTGGGGCGCCTTCTCCCCCTCGCTGCCCTGGTGTCACTGTCGACAATCTCCATGATAAAGTTCCTTCGCGCGGGCGGCGGCAGCGGCGCTCAGTACCCCAGGTTGGGGTTCCAACCGAGGTTGTACGGGTGCTGGCGGCCAGCACGGCCGCGGTTCCAGATGAACCAGGCGCGGTCGCGCTCGTCCGGCTGTAGGTAAATAGTCAGTACATGTACAGTGAAGCGTATAGGGCGGGAGTGACTAACGATCCGCTCGAGGGCGTCGGCGAGCACCATGAACTGCTCGTACTCCCCTTCCCCGAAAGGAGCCCGCTGCCACAGGAAATCATCGAGACGGGCGGCGGCCTTGCGGCGCTCGATGGCCATCCATCTGGCGAAGGACAGCGGGGCAGGGTGCGTCCACGGCGGCGTAATTGGCCAGACAGGCCGCATGCCGTGGGCTGGCGGGGCTCGGGTCGTGTCGATCGGCATCCAGCCTTGCGGCGGCGGTGGGATGTCGTCGTTGGAGATCATGATGGTGGTGGTGGTGGCGGGTGCTGATAGCGAGGAGTCTGTTGTTGCTGCTGGTGCTGCTGGTGCTGGAGAGCAAGCGGAGGGCAACAAGACGTGTATGTTGCCGAAGAGTTGAAGCTCAAAATTTGCAGATATTTATGCTGTGGGCTGCCTGCTGGGAGCGAGCGTCACGTGCCGCCAAGAATCGAGGACGGCCTGCTCCATCTCCTCAACACCACACAACAGTATCTGGGAGCAACATAGTTATAGAGCCAGGAGCTGCTAAAAAGGTCCAGGTACGGTAGTATATGCTTATATGGGCCGTAAATAGCGCGTTTGCCATTGGGAAGCCCGGTGACCTTCGAGGGGTGTTGACGAGGGGCGTAGGACGTCGCCCCGGTGGCCCTGCGCAGAAACTTGTAGGATGATGAGGATAATTGCGAGGTGTATAGGAGGCTTAGGGTCTCTACTAGGAGGTTTTCTAGGTCATGAAGTGGGTGCCATGAAGCGTGTGCTTCGTGCTCGACATGAACATGTGTCGAACGGCGGATCGCGGACGGCGGCGTAGCATTGTGAGCGGGAGAGCGTACAGATGAGACTTGTATTTCTAATGAACGCCATCATAATAGAAGCTCTCAGCTCCCGGGCTGCTGCTTGACGTTTGAGGGGGTTTGTGCTGGGTTGCGGGCGCCGAATACAGGTGATAGCGGGCGTCGATGCAGCCGACTTGAGCTTCCACCTTCTCTCCACCCCCTCAACACCATCACCACTTCTTCGAGAACGATAACGTAGCAGCTCTTCGGGGCTGCCAGGAGGCCTTCGGAGAGTCTTTGCCATGAGCTTCGTCGAGAAAATCTCCTGAGTCACGTTGGGTCCCGCAATGAAAACGGTGGACGAGTCAAGGTGCTTCGTCTTGCAGCCTCTCCAACGCGGAAACGCGGAGGACCGCCATGGCCCCTTGCTCTCCTGGATATGAGACGCGAATGCTTTGAGCGGAGTCTCACTTCGGCGCTGCTCTACGTCGGAGCCCGCTATACAACAACGTCGGCAGCGTTCCTCCAGTACGAACACCCCTCTCTTCTTCCTCACCAGCTGAGACACCATATCGGAGGATGGCAGCGGAGGGGATAGCTAGCTAGCACAAGCTGCTCAGCGCGCTGTAAGTCCTCGCAACATTGGGGCGTGGCGTTGGCAACCTCCGAGCCCGTGGCCGCAATACCAATTTCCTCGTTCTGACGGACCTATCCTTTAGAGCGCTCCGAAAATCTCCCCTTACTAACTTTGCGTGTAGAGCAGCCCTTTGGAGCAGCCCTTTAGAGCAGCTCCTCGATCCTCCGACGCGACCCTGCGGCAGCTACCTCCGATGTTTCTCCCCTCTTCCCTCGCGGCGAGTGCGCCCCAGCGCTGATCACTACCTCCGCATCGCGCTTCAACCCTCATACCATGATACGAGTACGACGGAACACACAAATAGACGGAATAGACACCTCGATGCAAAAGCCGCAGCGGAAACGTAGTTCGCAGAAGTCCTGGAGCGCTCGCGAAGTACTAGACGTCTACCGGACGTGGCGGAATCCCGATTCCAGAGGCAGGCTCGACATAACAGACGTTTCTCTAGCGATGCGGGATCGGAGGGACTGCGTGTTACCGCGCGGGCGTAGAACAAGATCGAGCGATGCTTGTCGGGAACCGCGGACACGTCATCGCTAGAGGCGATTATGCTCGACAAAATTGCGTCTCCGGCAAACATTGAGCAAGCCGGGTACGTATGGAGAAGCCCCTTAAGTGTGTTGGTCGACCGGTACCCGAGCGTTCAAGCTCTACTCGAGGAGGGATCTGCTTCCCTAGTACAAATATATCTGCGCAGCAGCGAAGAATGGTGCTCCTGGCTTCTCATTATCTTGCTTCTACGAGGTGCCCCAGGCTCAGCAATCTTTCAACACAGTCGCAGGCGGGAGTATCGTTGGGGCTGTTCGCGGACGACGTTCCATATTGAGGATTTCGGCTTCCGCGCAGGCTGTGACACAGAAGCCGCGATGTCAGCTTGCGCCAGGGCGGTTAAAAACTCTCCTGCTACTTCCATCTGCTTGCATAGCTGCTAACTCTGTCGCACATGCCTTCGGTCGCAGCTCACCCTCTGCCAAACGGTACACGCATCGCCTCCTCTTCCTCGTACACCGCCGTCTGATCCCAACGACCGGTACCGAATCAAACTCGAACTAAACACGTCGAAAGCGTCGATGAGCTGATGGACTGGCACATCTGACGTAAAGAGCAGGGGATATGTCGTTGGGGGAGGGCTCATGCTGCGGGCACGCAACACGCACGGCTGCGTCGTATATTTCAACAAAATAGGCTCGAAGATACGTCGTTTTGAAGACGTCAAGCTCGCGATGGAGGCCTTGAAAGCCATGATAGATGGTGCGAGGTTTGGACGACGTTTCGACATTCTCCCGAAGCGGAAAGCTGACACGAAGTGTGGGGCGGAACGCCACGCACGCTTCATCCAACGGGACGACGACCGCCTCCTCGTCTTCTCTTTTACTTCAACGTCCACACCGGCAAGCAGTCCGAAAGGCCACCTAGACGTTAGGATTTCGGATACACGCCCCGTGCTGCAGCAAATCAGCGCCTTGTTTGTCCGCAAGCCCGTAAGGAAGCCGCCTCGAATCCCCTACCGTACCAGTACCAGATTCGATGCGGGTCGCGAATCTTCGCTGCGATCAGCAAACTAGGACATACTTCATATCCTCACCTGTCTTCTGGGAGCGCGCGCATTCGGGAGGCCTCGACGACATCACGAATGGCGATCACGATGCACACCGGGGTCGGTCCGGGGCTGAGGTCAGACGACTTTACCATTGTGCTATGTACAAATCTTCGACCTATATCGACACCAGGGCAGGAAACACAATGGCTATGTCTGCGACCAAGAGAGGAACTGTGTACCATGGCAAATCCAACGGGGCAGTTGTCGATCTGGCTCCCCCATGATCACGGCGGGTCCGCGCCAAGAGCAGCCGAGCAAGACTTGAAAATGTACCAAATGGCGTTATCGGATACTCCAAACTCGCGGGCAGTCCTAGGACTGACTGATTGGCTGCCAGAATCAGGTCAATGATGGACCTTGAGCTCTGGATATCTCCAAAACGCTTTGCCCCAGACATGAAGCCCCACCGGCGATAACCAAACGGGGGATTCTCGAAGTCGTTGAGATCGACATGAAACGACTTTACATCCTTTTCAACTTGCGGACCGCTTCGCAGGGGGGTTCTGAGTCGTTGCTAGTGGAGCTAGCTTTAATGGCTCGTCTTGCGGACCGAGATCCCATCCGGTTGCGAGCTTCGAGAATTTCGCCGACGGACCCAGGCTTGAGGGCCTGTCCTGAGGACCAAGGTCATCCAGTCGCGCGCTTCGAGATCTTCGCCGATGGAGCCAGGCGACCAGGAGCCATGCATGGTTGTGCTGTACAGCCTCAGGTCGTCGAACAAGAAGATGCTCCTAGCACTGTCCATGGATCGCTGGAGCTTGCTTGGGTTGACCTGAACGAGAAAATGCTTCCGAACTATCCTCCTGAACTGTCGGCGAGATGGGAACAGACCGATGCTCCTACGCTGTCCATGGAGCGCTGGAGCTTGCTCAGGTTGTCCGGTCGAGTGAACGACATTTCGGTCCCTGCAAAACAGACCTGGTTGTCTGCACATGCTTCCTCGTAGGTCATGAAGTTGCTGGAGTGAAGTCGATCCTGCGATCTCGATGACAGTGCTCGAGGAAACGGCCCAACCTTCCGACTATCTTACGAGGGTTCCGTAGTCATAGGTGCTCGCCTCGTTGCGACGGCGAGCAGCCTCAGACATACCAGTCGGTGGGAACAGGCGAAACGCTAGTAACACGATCCATCGACTCTCTTCTGTCATGCCAATCTCGGCCTGCCCTTGAATATCGTTGGCAGGCCCGCAGGCCAAAATCTCGATTCCGACTCTTCTGTCATGCCAATCTCGGCCTGCCCTTGAATATCGTTGGCAGGCCCGCGGGCCAAGACCCCGACTCTTCTGTCATGCCAATCTCGGCGTGCCCTTGAATATCGTTGGCGGACCCGCCGGGAATGGGGTTCCCCGCAACCCCAAGGCATAATAGCCTTTCTCGTATCGGGGTGGGTCGAAGACCCCTCTGTGATGTGGCGAAGGAAGCGGCAGCGACAGCACAGGAACCGAGCGACAAGACTTGACTGTCATTGGAGGCCATGGCTCGAACACGGGATGGTGCGTGCGTTGCTCTTGCCGTACTCAGGCGGGGTAGTCGGTTGACTATGCTTGCCGTACTTGATGTCGGAAGAGAAGCGACTGATTGACTGCACTACATAAGCAGGTCGGGTTGTCCCGCAAGTCGGCTCACAAACACCGAAGGGGCAGTGCGTAGTAAAGACTACAAGGTGTGATGAAGGCGAGTTGGGGCCGCCGAGCACCATCGAATCGATTGACGGCTGCTCGGAGGGACCATCGTTTCGGACTTGGTCCGTCCTCACTCCAATGTCCTTCCAGTCTTTTCCTGTCCTTCTGCGGCGAAGTCCGTGATGGCATCTCGGAAGGTGCCGCCGTGCAGCACATTCTTGTGGTGCTTCTCCAGGTCCGCTGGAAGGCTTGTTTGGAAGGATTGTTTGGAAGGATTGTTTGGAAGGATTGTTTGGAAGGATTGTTTGGAAGGATTGTTTGGAAGGATTGTTTGGAAGGATTGTTTGGAAGGATTGTTTGGACTCCAATACCGACGAGAATCCGCACGTTGTACGTCGTGACAGGCTTGCCCGATGCTTCGGAGAGGTCTCTCGCCCTCATGCCCGGCTTGGAGAGTGCCGAAGCAATGTCAACGCGCTGGCGCGCTTCACTGGACAAAGGGAATGAATACCCAAGGGACTATAGTCCTATCGAGTCAGTATGATTTGTTCTTGCATAGAATTATCGGGGCGACTTACCTCGAGATCTCTTCGAAGACAGAACCCCATACGGAGGGAGACACGACGGTGTCCCGCGGAACAACTCCCCCACACGGAGGGAGACACAACGGTGTCCCGAGGACAACTCCCCCCATACGGAGGGAGACACAACGGTGTCCCGGGGACAACTCCCCCCATACGGAGGGAGTCACGACGGTGTAGATGTGGTGCCGTACAAAATTGCCATTGTTCTGGGATGATGTTAGCGCATTACCGTCGAGGGTGCAGATACCAATACTCACGCGATGTCGGGGACCCGACTCAAGTGTCAAGTCCGACTGCAGCATCCACTCGTCGACGCCGATCTGCATGGATCGGGCGGTAGCCTATGTCAAGTCCGGTGGCGTTAGCGAAGTTGCTCAGAGTCAGGGAAGGTGCTCGCGCGGTCGGAGGTCCATCGCTGGTGATGAGGAGGCAAAGGAGGCGGTTTGGGAAGGCTTGCTTCGACTTACGACGGTCCTGCTGAGCTCCGAACGAGCTTGTTGAGCCCGTGGAGGTGGTGGAGAGATGAGGGATTAAGGCTTGGAAATGGAGGAGTGTGGTGTTCTGGACGTGGTGAGTGAGGCTGGAGGTGAAGTTTTATACTTGCCTTCGGTCGGGCCGCTGCCGCTCGGCTCCGAGCCCGATTCACCCGGCCTACGCTACCCCGGCCGCCATACTCCACAACGACGTCGTATCGAGGTGCAAGAATTTGGCGGAGTCTCTCCTGGGTTGTAGCAACCACCGCAAGCAACTTTTATCAAAATCGGTCGCATGGTGGTGGAGATCTGACGATGGGGGGGTCGCAGCGTTGAGGGCCACACCAAAAACCCAGCCAGGGGGTGAGAGCCAGACGAGGCAGGCGCGCCGGCTTCACGCTCACTGCGGGGCCGCCGGGGCTGGGAAGGCGCGAAGGAAGCCGTGCGCGAGGCTGGGTACCCCCTCGAAGCTATAGAGATGCGAGGGACGGGATCCGGGTCTTGCAAAACCTCCAACGCAGCTCCTGTTACACCAGCGCCGCCTGAGAAGCTGCTTTGCTGGGCCTCGCAGCGCTGTGGGCTTGCTACGGGAGCTTTGGACCCCCTCCCGCACCGCCGGATTGGCCCCTTCAAGCTCCTCAACAAGCACTTTTTGAAACCATGCTGCTATCTTCCTCCGTACGGGACTCGGGACATATTTCTAAGCATGCTTACGAGAACTGCTACGCCAAAAGTACAACTGGAACGGTCTGGATGCGCATGTGGCGCGTGGCGACGACCACAAGCGCTTCCCTGGAAATGGGGAGCAGTTGGGTTGGCAACGTTTCTTGACTGCTCCGAGGACCGCAACTCCAAGACGCAACCCTCCACATCAAAGAGTGACTCTTGTTTTATAGCTCTCGAGTAACTTCCGCGCCCTCGACCTCCGCCGCCGACTCGAAGAATCCCGCAAAACTCTGCTCAGGTCTTCGATGCGGAGCTTCGGTACAGCGACCGCCGCCTAGACAAAAGGGCCGGCGAGAACGGACCCAACAAGCCACGCAAGTACCTGGTCAAGATGGGAACGTTATTTATGCCTGGGGCCTACGGCTGACATTAGCACAAACATCCGCCAAACACCAGACTGCGACCCCTTCCAAAGCACTTCGTCGATTTTACCGGGAGCATCGTCGAGACCGTCTCCGTCCTGCGACCGGGCATGCTGTCGAGAAGCGCGCTCCTCCAGCGCGGCCACAGTAGCTACGAGCCCTCGAACTTGATCACTACACTTCTATAACCTCCACGCACGAAATCAGGACCGTCAGCAGCTGGGGGCCGCTCTTCCAGCGCAGATCGAGATGTGAACGCAGAACACAGGAGGAATTCGAAGGCAAGCATGCGAACGCTGGTAGACAACCCTCGGGCAATAGTATACGCGATAAAACCCACGGGTTACGAAAAAAAGACGCTCATGATAGAGCAGGCCACCCAGCTTCCTCGAGCGTGCCCCGAACCAGCCAACCTCTGTCAAGCAGCGGCTCGCGGCGTCAGACGGACTCCCACTCTTCGGATCTGCCCCGCACCTTCATGACTCGGGGAACGGACAGAGCCCTCACGCCCAGCGGGGTGGCACGGTGGAGCCAGCCTACAACTTGAATGATTGCAATTCGCGCAGGGCAGGACACCGTCATAACTTGCAAGGTTTGGGACTCAACTTATGGCAGACACTAGATCATCTTCATCGGTCCATTACATCCTCCCTCTGTCATTGGCACGCTCTGAACGCCGTCGTAAGGGTCTACACACTACACCGCATCCGAAAACCTCCTGTTTGCCTGAGATACCGACAGCGGCTCCACCTCATCTATACAACTTCAATACAATCTAGCTCTTTCAGCCCGCCTTTGTGGCTCCGCGACCCCGGGAATTTGGTATAGCGGCATAGCGGTACGAGCAAACTGGTGATTATCGAGGCTGTAGAGGCCCTCACTATGTTCGCAAGAAAAACTAGCCTAACGCCAAAACCTCGATTGCCGTCAATTGGACCTTGGACTATAGCCACCAGCCCTGCTTGCTTCGTAACACTGACACAAGTGGGTTCAGTCTACTTTCTTCGATAGCCGGCAGCTTCTCAGGTCTTACGAAATGCGAGCGTAGCTCTGGAATGGCATCTTCGACATTCTTCCCCAGCAGATGTCTCCAGTCTCTATCCGTTGCATTAAGCCTCGCGCCTCGCGAAAGCAGGAACTCCACAATATCGAGGTAGTGGTCGTCCGCCTCCCCATACGTGCCGAAGCCACCCAATAAACCCAAGTAGCCGCGCATGGCGTTGAACAGCGGACTGTACCCATAACCGTCGGGCTCATTGATGTTGATATGGGGGTTCGACCTTAACAGGGCCGTTAGGGCTCGGATCTTTTTTCCCTTCACATATTTTGAAACCATCCAGTCTTTCCTAGGGAGCTTTCCATACACAACGGCCCCATGCTGCCGAAGGAGCTTTACAACGCTGTCGTGGCCACAGCCGGCAGCGTAAAAAATGGGTGTGCCACTGCCCGATGCGGATTTTGATCGTCTCGATCCGTTGACGTTCACTCCGTATTCGATGAAAACACGGACGAGGTCTTCTCGACCCAGGGCACATGCCCGGTTGAAGACGGTCACGTACATGCCAAAGTAGCGATCTTCCTTGGCTTCGGGATCGGCGCCCGCTTTGAGTGCAGTCCTGGCTATCCATAGCCAGTTCTCATCCACAGCAATGCCAAGGACACTCTCTAGCCCGCCGTTGCCTGCTTTGGCGATAGCCCCGACTTTTAGGAGAACATCGATTATGCCGAAGTAACGCAACTTGAGAGCCATCCTTACGATGTCCGGTCCAGCATGGGCCCCTGATGCGAGCGCCAGTTCGGCCAACTCCTCGCTGCCTTCGAATAACGCAAGTTTAAGAAGGTCTTGTGGCTCGCTATCCCTCACTCGGAGTACAGCACCGACTCTCAAGAGGCATGTAATAAGCTTCAAGTTCTTCGACTTCATTCCAATCCTAATAGCGTCGTAGTTCGAGTCCGCTTCTCTGAGTCGCGCTCCTGCGCTGACTAGCTCTTTCAAGATGCCATCCCGTCCCTCTCCCGCGGCCGTATGGACGAGAGTGGAATGCGTTTTCGAGCCGGGATATGGATTCTTCGAGGTCCACTTCTTATCCTGGACATTGACCTGCGCTCCTGATCTGATTAGAAGCTGAACAGCTTCTAGCGAACCATTCTTAACCGCGGCCGTCAGTGGATGAGTGTAATATGTGCCTTCGATGTCGACGCTGCCTTCCTTAATAACTATTTCCATCATCTCACAGCAATTCTCATAAGCAGCAAACTCAAGTGCCTTTGCTCTCGCATCTTGGGTCACCGAATCTCTTAAGTCACACCGGACAACAAACTTGAACGATTCAAGCCGCCGGTAGGTGATGGCCAGCCTCATGATTTCCCACAGATAATCACTACTCAGCCGCACGCAGCACCTCTTCAGAATCTCGATTCGGTTCTGGCGAATAGCAAATCGACACAGGGTTGCCCGCAGGTACGCGGTGATCCCATGGTAATCTTCCTTCGCCTCACTACCACCTTGCGGATCATCATCAAAGGATTGATACGGTAGATCTCCCACGAGGAGGTCGTGGATTGGGCGCAAGACTTGATCGATGGAATCTTCTCGAAGGGCGGTCCCGGAGTTTTTCGAAGATGGCGTCGTAGCCGATGGGGATGGCGTCGTAGCTGAGGTGGTTGAACAAATGTTTTCCTCGCAAGCATTTCGAAGATAAACGGCACTTCCTGCTGAATTAGTTTTAGTCGTCGAACAAGGCCATGTCAGCCATATGGTTGCTTTTTTATTGGATTCCCACCTGAGCAGGGGCCCAACGTAGCCTAATAGAGTACAAACGCGAGACTAAAGCCAAGGCAAACGGCTACGCTACACAAAAGAAAGATCCTAGAGACTATAGGTCCGCACGGCCAGCCACCACGCAATCATACCATGCTCTATCACTAGCCGACAACTGGACAAGGTCGCATGACACACATGGCAATTCTCCCCTATAGAATAAAGATCTCCGTCTCAACGCCCTTCGAGTCTGACCAACAACTATTTTCAAGTCCCGGTCCCGAGAACCCTATTCCCACGCGACGATATGCATTTGGCTTTCCATCTGGATCGGGGATGAGGATAAGCATGCAATGGGTCTCGATCGATGGATCCTCGTAACGTACGATGCGCATGCCGTAAAGTTCGCTCCAGTCTTCAGTGTGCACGTCGTAACGCTCATCTGGGAACCACTGCATTACCGCGTTCATATCCAGATCGGACTCTTTGACCTGTGCATCAGAGGTCCCATCAGAGTCTTCATGGATTGGTGTTGCGTATACTACCCATCGGTGGGGATTGCCGCTCCATATCAGTTTCCAAACTGGACCTCGAATCCTTATGAATCCCCCCTTCACTTGGCTGAAGTAATTGCCGTGATCAACGGGTTCGACTTCGGCGTGGAGAATACGTGCGGTGTATGTGAATGCTTGGTTCCATCTATTGTTATCCCATGTTATCATACCCTCAGGTGCAGCCCAAGACCAGGACGGGGCACGGTAGGGTGGACGAGAGCCTATGGTTTCGCATCTCCAGAGCAATGCATGAGGAAGATGGGTGCTCCACGTTCCAGCTAGGTAATCTGAGTCCGGTCCGACTTCTGCGTGGATCAGGCCCGAAAAGTCTTTCGCCAAGCCAGCAAGCGCGATAAGTTTATCACCCATGTGTGATAGCTTGCATTCGGTGTAGTCCGTGACCATGTTCTGCCAAAAAAGTTCAATTTTGGCCTTCATATCATGGTTGCGTACTTTTTGGAGCCTCCCGGCTAGAGCCGCTTTGGAGAATAGGCGTCCATGAAATTGATCATAGGCGAACTTCGAGACAAGAAAAGTCGTGTCTTTTACAGTGTTGGGGAGTCCATCCGGAAACGTCTCGCAACAATCGTCGGTGCGGCATTCCCAAAATAGTTGCTCCTTTCCGAAATGTAGCACTCTCTTCGCCAGGAGCCTCTCTTGAAATACCCATGCCCGGGAAAATAGTGGTGACCTAAGGCATATCCGCTCCCAGAATGCCTCGTCGATCATGTGCCATGTGGGGTCTTGATCGCCGGTGCGATCATTCCTCCAATCAAAATTCCGGAACGATGGACACTCTGGCGGAGGGCCTACTCTTTTTGGATCCCGCACGAAGTACAAGCCTTCTGTACTATTGGAAGCCCCTGCAGCCGATAGGTTTAGCGAGGAATTTCGATACACTTTCTCCATCTGGGCTGCCTCGTAGCTCCAGTCCTCAGGCGAGTCCTGAACGATGCAAAGAGAGTCTATCCAGAGGTAACGGAAACCTAGCTTCAATGAGGTATCCACGGCGTCCTGAAAGGTTCTTGGAAGCGATAGTCGTGGGATGCTATCTTTGAAGCCGCCTATGTTTCCCATAAGGAGTCGCAAGACCGGCTTCGTTCCCCAGCAGTGACTCAGAGTGGCATATGGCTCCGAAAGGGCATGATCTTGAGTGACAAGAAGCCGCGGATCAGGCTTCCCAGAGTTTAGGTCGAGGAGTCTGGTTGGATAGAAGTGTTTATCGGAGGTGTAGTTACACCTCTCGTGCGTCGAGGTACATTTCCGAAGCCACTCTCGTGCTGTATGGAGTGCTTGTACAGTGGAAGCCTGCTTCTCAACCTCAAGTTGGAACCGAAGGCGTGCGTCTAGAGTGTTATATTAACCTAAATCTCCTAAGAGACCCTGAGATGTTCAGTGTACACCTACCGGACGATAGTGAGAAGCACCTGAGTTCTTTCAGGAGCTCCATTCCGTGCCTCTGCTTAGGGTGAAATTCAGAATAGAATCTAATCCAAGCATTTGCCAATCGGTCGGGACTTTCCTCATTCACGCCCGCGATGCAGTATGATGCAGGACGCAGAAGTTCGAGGTCTTCAAGGTCGTTCCCGAACGTCAAATTAGTCCACATTAGCGAGCAGATAAAGCATCCCTCGTCCAAGGACCGCATCATATCCAACCAGTGCCACTGATGGACAACGAAATCATCCCGAACTGTTTCGTACTCATTGCTGTATCGCCTTAGATGAGGTCGGAGAGACTGACAAGCACCGCAAAGGTGCATGTTTAGAGTAATGATGGGTACGTCCATCCGATCGAAGTCTAGCAGGAGGAGCTGCTTTAAAGGAGATGCCAACATGGCTGCGCCGCTTTGTACCACAGAATGGTGAACATAGGGACTTTAGCCCGCATTGCGCATGACATCTGATGTTGGTTGGCCATGAACTACACCTTAATTGGGCTAGACATATCTGCAAGTTTCGTCCTAGAGGCCGCCGACTCACCGGTCGAGTCGTCAGGTCATCCTGACTTGAGATTTGCCGAGGCTGACTTGAAATTGGGTTAGGCAGAAGCGTTAACAGAAGCAGCTAGCATGCTGTTAGGTAAGCAGGATTAAGCAAAACGCACTTTTAAACTTGTGTTACGATCACAGAATCGGAAACAGGGCTGGCCAGGACGGAGGAAAACGGCAGGCCAAGCCTAGGGACACGGGACAGAGAATCACGTGCGGAGTTACGGGAATAATCAGGGTCACGTAACAAGGATCAGGCGGATTAAGGGGATCAGGACCTAATCTATAGATTAGGACTAGATCTAAGAGAGCTACAGGAGCTAGGCCTTAGCATCTAATCTAGCTAAGAAGGCATATATATATAACTAGAAGGAGCTTACTTCTTACAGCTTCTTGTAGTTATTACTTTGTTTTATTAAATTACTATAGAGACTTACAATTTATAGTATTATTACCTCTACCTCTTTGTTACTAAAGATTCTAGCCTAAAGTACACCTCTTACCTTCTCTTATAAAAGTAAGCCTTAGTCTTAGTTAATAGAATAGCTTGTAACAAAATAACTACCTAACGTTAAAGAGTAGAACTATTATATTAATAATTAGAACCTAAGCTAGAAAGGCACAAGTCTAGAAGCTAACTACGAAAGAATAGATTATAGAACTCTAGCAGATTGTTACAGCACTCTAGAAAATAGGCGTCTAATAGGTAGAAGAGCTAGCTATAGTAAAACGCTAGGCCTAGGCTAAGATTACCTTACCTTAACGCTTTAATAGTAAGAGAAAGAACCTTAACGTATTTCTAGTAGCTATAGAGCTCTACCTATAGTATAACGCTATAGCGTTTCTATAGAATAAGAATAAGATTCTAGAAGCTATAATAAACATAGAAGAAGAAGCTCTTACGTAGGCTAAACTCTATATATTAGACTAGCTAGAAAATAAGAGTAATATAAAGAGAACGTAATAGTCTATAGATAAGATCTTTAAAAGCTAGACTAGGTTTATAAAGCACCTTAGAGAAACGTTTAAAAAAGTTAACGTATATAAGGTAGCCTAAGAAAAGTTATTCTAGCTACGATAGACTAGATTAGTATTCTAGTACGCGGCTACGTTTAGATAGCTAAGTACTTATCTAGACTAGAATAACTTTATATTAGTAGAACTCTTCTATAAAGAGCTAAAAGAGTTAGTTAAGAACAATATTACGCACGCTAAATAACTAGAAAATCTAAGCAACACAATAGAAATAGTAGTAAAGATTAATAACTAATAGTATAAATAGAACCTAGAACGTTAATAGAGTAGAGATTACTCTATACTACTAACGGTTAGAACTAGACGACTATAAACTCTATTCTAAGAGAACTCTATAGATCTAGACTAGATTAAAACTCTATAGAAAGAAAAACAAACTCTATAGAATAAGAAAAAGGTATAATACTTTAAGAAAGAACTATACCTAGTCTATAGTAAAAAAGAATATTTTACATAAAAATACCTAAAAGAAAAGAAAATAGTTAAAATAATCTAGATAGACTATAATAGCCTTATATAGATAGTATACTATAATAATAGCTATATAATATACTAGAGAGATAAGATTAACTTAGAATAGTACTCTACTAGAATCTAGGCTATTATACTAGAATACTCTATATATATAGAATATCTTACTCTAGAAGTAATCTAATAATATATTAACGTATAATAGTACTAGATATATATAGAAAACTATAATATATAAAGCTATTAACACGCGTACTAGAATATTCTATTTACTAATAAAGAATTCTAGAAAGCGTTAGACGCTCTTAAGAAAGTAGCCTAATTAGTGTAAGGGCTAGGTCTACGGTCTCTACTACTATAAGCGTTCTAGAATACCTAGCTAGGTAAGTTAGCTATAGGTAGCACTGTCTCCACGAGCTGTAAGAATAGAGTGCTAGCAGAGTAGGTTAAGTTAAATTTAGCTATTTAAAGGTAAGAAGTAGAAGGCTGCTTTAAGAGGCTCTATATATAGAGGTGCTAAGCGCTAAGGCGCTAGGCTAGGTTACGTAACAGGATTACGTAACTTAAGGTTATGTAACCTAAGGTAAATTCTAAACCTAACTATTATATTACCCCCTCTTATAGGGAGAGCTCGTCTCTAAGCTCTAAAGTACGCCTTCTAGGTCCTTCTCCTTCTAAAACTCCTGCGTTATGCTCTTAACCGTCTCTTTCGGCTCGTAGTAAGCGTATTCGTGTTAGTTTTAAACTAGAAGCGCTTTTACAGCTACTACCTTTCTTCTAGTTACTCTATTCTTATAGAGATTTAAGCTAGAAGGCTTGTTTCCGCGTCTATAGAGTAGCTTTGTCGTAGACTCTCTTCTTAGCAGCGCCTTTGTGTTACTCTCGTGTCTTCTACTCTTGCAGGTTTTAAATTCTCTACTATCTCCTCTAAGGTCTTCTCTTTTTTATACGCCTTAATCTAAGTATCTAATTGTAATAGCAGCTCTAGCTTATCTAGGTATACTGCGTAAAAGTCTCTTACCTTATAGAGAGCGTTAATAAAGCCTATAGTATTATACTAGGTAGAGTTAGAGTTATAAGTAACCTATATAGCGTGGTATTAAAGGTAATTTTAATAAAGATAGCTATCTAGAATTTTCTATACGGGCTATTCTAGGTTACTATCTACCTTAATAGGTAGCTACTTAGGCTCTACCTACTCTAGTAATAGCTCTAAAGCTTTCTATAGCTAATTAGCGTAAAAGACGTTATGTATACGTATATACGCAGATAGCTAGAGTTAGAAGAAGTAACTCTTTATAGTAATAATTAGGTAAGAGCTATACATCTATTAATCTAGCTTTACACTAGGCTAATCTATTAAAAAGCTATAAGGTTTAATATAGACAAGGTTGCCTACCGTAAAATTAGGTTCTTAGCGCTTTTTATTTGCTTAGAGTGCCTACCTAGCTTACGCTTTTGTAATATTACTTCGTACGATTTTAGTAGCTTTTTCTACGGCGTTGTATTGTTTCTTAGCGAAATTCTAAGCTTTTTAGCGCGAGAGACGCTTACGTAGAGTAGAGGCTTTTATTATATACTTCTTCTAATTCTAGTAGTGTATTAGCTAGTATCTAAATTTAATTTTATACGCTATTAGTTCTATAGTTTTATGTAGTAACGTAGCTTATACCTAATCTATATAGAGTAGAAGGTCTAACTAATTATTCTAGTAGTAGTTAACAAATAGACGTAGACGCTAATTAAGATATTAATTAATAATCTCTATATTTCTATTAGTTTGTAGATAGTATGCGGTAGAAAGCTTCTACTTAATTTCTATAAGCTAGTAGAGCTTATCTATAAAGGTAGAGGTAAACTATAAGCTATAATCTAACACGATAGATCTAGAAGGACTATATATACGCTAGATATATTAGTAATATAGCTCTACTATACGTTAGGCTATAATTTTCTTATAGTAGAGTAGAGAAAAGCTCTACTTACTTAGCTAATCTATAACAACGTATACGTAGTTAAATCCTTTCTTATTAGAGAAGAAGCTCTTAAAATCTATAAAGACGTTCTACTATACTCTCTTAGAGATAGGTAGAGGCTTTAGAAGACCTAGCGTCTTATTCTATAGAGTATAGCTCTAGTAGTAAGCCTTATATACTACTACGTACGTATTAACGTCTTTTTACATACCTAGCTAGTAATATTAATCTTATAGTAACTAGGTAGTTTTTCTTTATTCTAGGTAGGTAGTTACCTAAGTAGTATATATAGCGCGTATTAGGTGTATTTATAGATAGTTAATAGTAGAGACTATTAATTAATTCTAATAGGTTAATAAGCCGTCTTCTATTTTCTAGGCAGAGCTTAACATAGTAGCTTTTTCTTAAGTAGGCTGTAGAGAGTCGTCTAATTAGTTAGCTGCGATAACCTAATTAATTATAGTATATAGATTCTTAGTAAAGAGTACCTCTATAAACGTATTAGCAGTAGTAATTTCTGTAGCACTGCTAGCTAATCTCTAGGTAGCTAGAACTAATAGCTTACCTAATAATTGCTTAACAGCTAAGAGGCTAATTTGCTTCTTACTTAGGAAAGCCCTTGTATAGGCAGCGTAATTCTTCTTCTTTTAGGTCTTAAGCTCTTCTTACTTTTATAATAACGCGTTAGCTACTATATTAGCTAAACCTAGTTAATAGATAAGCTTAAGGTTATAGTTAGTAATATTATTCGCCTAGTAGACCTGCCTAGTAGTAAGTTCCTGCTTAGTAGTAAAGTACTCTAAGGCTTAGTAGTTAGTTAATACTATAAAAGGCTCTAGATCTTGCAAGCTAATTAACTAGCTTCTCTACTCCTATACGCTAAGAATAACCGCTAGCATTTCTTTGTTATAAATACTGTAGTTTATCTAGGCAGTATTTATTATCTTGCTAAAGAAAGCTACTAGTCTCTAGATACTGTCTTCTTAAAGTTATAAAAGAACTCTAGCAACTACGCTATCTAATACGTTCGTTTCTACTCTTGTATAGCAATAGAGAGAGTAATAAGCTAGTATAGTGTTAGACAGCATAAGATTCTTAACCTGCTAAAATACCGCGAGCTTAATTTCTCTAAAGGCATGCCATGCTCTCTGTTTTAGTAGCTTAGTAAGGGGGCGGACAATCTAGCTATAATTCTTTAAGAAAGCTTAGTAGAAATTATAGAAACCTAGAAATAATTAAAGGCTTTTAAGAGTTATAGGTACAGGCTAATTCTAGATAGTAGTAACCTTCTTAGAGTTCTTCTAGATTCTATTAGTGCTTATAATTAATTCTAGAAACTTAGTACTTTTAACAGTAAATT